TTGGACACTTTTTTGGGTGCGCTTCTCGGACTAGTTCGTCCTTCAGGGCCATGGTGTTTCGGTGTGGCGAAGGGTACGTTTTGGAGGCTTGCAGTACCAGTTGCAGCAGCAGGACTAGCACCACCAGCAACAGCAGCAGCAGCATCGTTTGGCCGTGTCTGAACACCGATTTTCTGTTCTGTTTCTAGTGTTTCAGACGCAACGTTAGACACTTTTTGGGTGCGCTTCTCGGACTAGTTCGTCCTTCAGGGCCATGGTGTTTCGGTGTGGCGAAGGGTACGTTTTGGCGGCTTGCAGCACCAGTTGCAGCAGCAGGACTAGCAGCACTAGCAGCAGCAGCAGCAGCAGCACCATTTGGCCGTGTCTGAGCGCCGACTTTCTGTTCTGTTTCTACGGTTCCAGAAGCAACGTTAGACACTTTTTTGGTGGACTTCGCGGACTAGTTCGTCCTTCCGGGCCATGGTGTTTCGGTGTGGCGAAGGGTGCGTTTTGGAGGCCTGCAGCAGTTGCAGCAACAGGACTAGCAGCACCAGCAGCAGCAGCAGCAGCACCGTTTAGCCGTGTCTGAGCGCCGATTTTCTGTTCTGTTTCTACGGTTTCAGAAGCAACGTTAGACACTTTTTTGGTAGGCTTCTCGGATTAGTTCGTGCTTCAGGGCCCTAGCACCAGTTGCAGCAGCAGGACTAGCAGCACCAGCAGCAGCAGCACAGCAGCAGCAGCAGCACCGTTTGGCCGTGTCTGAGCGCCGATTTAGGGTTTCAGAAGCAACGTTAGACCTTTTTTGAGTGCGCTTCTCGGACTAGTTCGTCCTTCAGGGCCATGGTGTTTCGGTGTGGCGAAGGGTACGTTTTGGAGGCCTGCAGCAGCAGTTGCAGCAGCAGGACTAGCAGCAGTTAGAAGTTTTTCGGTGGGATTCTCGGACTCGTTCAACGTTTGGCCGTGTCTTTGTGCAGTGGCAGCAGCAGCAGCAGGTGCTCGGACTCGTTCGTCCTTCAGGAACGTTTGACCGTGCAAATCATCACTGATGGGTTTGCCATCTTTCTTGGCTGCAAGTCTTGCCAGCAGGGGTTTTGTGTTTTACTTGAATTCGTCCGGCTGCCGCCGATGACAATACGATAGTCCCGCATCTAGGGCATGCGTGTTTGTGGACGCGACCTGACACAACGCCAGCATGAACACGAAACTCATTGCCACACGCATGACGGTGATCAACCTGACCAGTTTTCACTGTGCTGGCCACAGCAACTGTACAGAATGGGCACGTGTACTGGTAGCGCTTAGACTCCTGATTGGCTACTGACACAGCCTGCAGCGGAAAATCTTTTCCACCAGGTTGCTGGTGCGCGCCTTGTTGTCGTGTAATCGTTTCCTGCGGGCGACGGAGTCGCTTGCGAAGAGGCTCCAGTCGGGCCACTGCTGACGTGGCACTAGTGCGTTTGTTTCTGTGCTCGGCGATTGCTTCCCATGTCTCACGGAGAATTTGTCGCTGGCGAAGCTTTTTGCGCAGAGGTTCCAAACGCTTTGTACTGGCTGCTGCGGCGCGTTTGCGCATGGTCGCCTGCGCTGTGATTGCATGGCATGCGTCGCATACTTGTGTGCCATTTTGGCTGGACAGTCGTTGCTTGCAAAATATAGCAAACTGCAACATTGGCTTTCGTTTCTTGCATGCTGCACAGACCCACTGTCCACGTGTCTTTGTTTGGCATTGCAAACATAGTCTTCGTTCTAGATTCCTTGCATTCCACGCGGCGGAGCTAAAAGATTCGCGCGTCTGCTTTCTCTGACACAGACAACATTGTTTCTTCGCGTCGCATGATAGACAAACGCGGTACATGCTCCACCGTGGATTGTGGTGCTTTGACGCAAAGTGTGGTACAGCGTGCCACAGGCCGCACTGCGTGCATCGATAAGGTGTTCCTGCCTCGCGCTTCTGCGTGGTGCATTCTTTGCAGACCCGATAGGTGTCTTGTTTCCACTGCGCTTTGGTGAATGCGTCTTTGCGTTTCATCTCCCCACATTCATGACATGGCCTCTGCCAATTCTTCCGGGGTCGGCAGCAGGGGCGGCAGCCCTTAAATAAGTGTATGTGTATCACAGAGGTGTAACTAATGGCTATGAACATAATATGACATATACATAGATGATCATACATGTACATACACATGCTTAGTGTATGTACTGCACATACGCGAAGTTCAGTTAACGCATCTGTAACGATGTACAATACATAGCCGTATATGCTGCAACGAGAAATAATCGGTCTGTCGCAAAGGTATGAGGAGTCGAACTGCACAGGGATGATATGGGATGATGCACCAGTGCACCCGACAATGACATACCATGACTGTACGAAAGTTTAAGGCTGCTGGGGCTCTGGCACTGACGGGACTGAAGATGCTGTTGACATATGTGACCTGTAGGGTTTTCAACTTTAAATGGCTTCCAACAGATTCCAACCTTTCTATGTCCCTTCATCACAGAGCAATGTCCCTAAAGGGTGTGGCAATTTCCAGCACTCCGCTCGCAGTTGCCATGGTTGTTTCAAGCTGAAGTCACTCAAGGATGCCTGGACTGTCTGCTAAGGGGTGGCAGCCCAGAGTGTGTTGTGTGATTTGTCCTGGCAGACCATGCATTGTCGTCAGGACGAATGGAAATCTAGACACTGACGCACAGTGCATGGAGCAGTTGAGTTGAGATTTGGTTTAATCGAAAACTGCAAAGGCCAAGTAAAACAATGACACCTGTCTTGAAATGTCCATTCCACCTAAAACAGAATTATACGAAATGTCATGAGGGACAGCGAATCTCAGGAGTCGTATGAAACTCCTTCTTGGTGGTGGACGGACGATAAAATCGCTTGACTTTTCGTTGTTGTTTTCCTGCTGAACGCTTTGCGACAAAAATGCGTCAAAGATCACCCGCTGCCTCTTTGTGTCTCTAGTCCGAATCGAATCCTGGGAGTTCGGATAGTTGATTGAAATTATATAGCTGAACTTCAGTCTGAAGAAACAAAGAGGCAAATACCTTCAAAATGAAATAAATCTGTGCTTTGACTGTTTGCAGTTTGACACTTTCAGAAGTTGAAGGGCTTACAGCTGGGTCTGACAGTCTGCTAAGCAGGATTTGTTTAATGTTCCAAACCGGAAAATCTGTGTCTGCCGTGAATTCCTCTCCTGTCTTACACTTCTGAAAGCTTTCTGTGCTAAGATGACTGAGAGAGGGACATCCATGCGCCCTTTGCTGAGGCCGGCCTTGTCGATTCGATTGCATGACGTGATTACAGACTTCCAACTAAGAAGCGATTCTCGGCAAACGAGAATAAACAAATAGCTGCTTTCAAGAAGAAGCCACTGCTTTCACCATTGGTGGCTGAAACGACACGATGTCTAAAGAAATCCTGGAATCTACGGTCACTTTGGGTGAATCGAGGTGAATGATGCTGCGTCCCAAGCATTCTCTGATCGCGCGCAAAGGGCAGAAACCTGGCTGTTGAACGTGAAGAATACGGTCTTTTATTGATCTTCCTTTCTTTCTTTCTTTCTTTCTCATTTTTTCTCATTCTTTATCTAATGTCCTTTCCGTGGTGTGCGTCGTGTCTTTCCTTGTCAACACTCTTGAGAAGTCACGAAGAAGTCTTGAAATCTGCAGTTGAAAAATGCATGTTCTGAACTGATTCTGAGCATGATCAGCTCACTATTAATTCCCCACGCTTGTACTGCCAATGCCGACAGGCAGCAGGCAGTTTCAAATGGTCCGCAGCCATAAACTTTAGTTGCAGTGACCAGTCCTGGGCCAAAAGCGGCTTTGATCAGAAATATGATAAATGATGAGAAATGATGAGAATGCACAGGAATGAGGAGACCCATAGACTTGGTGCAGTGCCAGCAGGTATGACAATCGCATTGCACATCTTATAGCAATGCCAAAAAAACGTTGTTATAATACAGTTTGTTATAATACCAACCCTGCAGATCGTTGCGTTTTTGCCATTCCACTCAAGTTGGCGTGACCGCGAAGCTAGTGAGCGCTCGCTTATTCTTGGGCTGTCAAATCTTGTAGAAACTTTTTTTACTTTTGCTTCTCATGGCCTGTTGTCATACCTGTTGGTGCCCTTGATTCAAGACTGCGTTGTACTGCAGCCCAAAACAGTACTGAAAACCACATCACAAAACAGCTAAGAGGTTGAGGGCCCTGGAGTACCCGAGTAGTTTTGATATTTTTGTTTGAATGTTCTGCCGCACAGAATTCGAGAAAACATGGCAATCTGCCAGTCCCGGCCTGAGATCGCTTGGTGGATTCTCGAGGGGATCACAGCAAACAGCAACCCTGCAAGATCTGCAAGCAAAATAGCAATGCAAAGTGAGGCAAAGACGCAAAGTTGACAGACTATGATAGACTTTACAGTGACTTTACAGCTTCAAAGACTTGAAGAAAAATCAAATCACGGAGAATCACGGGCAAAGAGTGCTTCAATCAGCCACATATTCCACCGAATTCCATTCTAGCCTTGTTCTGGCAGCTCGTGGCCAGAAAGGATGGCTTGTCGGCAGATCAATGGGCTTGGCCGAGCTGTTTGAGTGACTTGTTCAAGATCAGCTACGCCGGTTGTTCGTTATTTTGATTCATGAAAATGCAAATTGTGGCACACCATTCGAGAGTCTTTTCTGCACTCAAGATTCTGATTGCATGATTTCATGTTCAGTGTGTTCCTGAAGCGCTCATGCATTTTTTTATGCTTTGACAGAGCTACTTGGCTGTAGGATGCTGTGGGATGCTGTTGTATGCTATAGGGGTGTAAACGTGCTGGGCCAAAGCTCTCGGTCATAACAGGAAGCCCTTGTCAAATTGTCGAAGCCTTTGCAGCCTTCACTCTTTGTGGAAAATGGATGAAAATGGTGGAAAGCTCCCGGCACAGACTCCGCAGTGGACTTCACAGTGGACACGTGTACAAATATTATGTACAAATATTATGTAGAAAATTGTATAAAACTTCAAGATCTTCACGAAATGCAAAGCTTCCAAGGCTTCGGACCCATGAGTTTTAGCCAGAGCTTTCGTCTTTCCTTGCCAACTTTCACGAGAGCAACCCTGCAATGACCACAGCGAGGGCCTTCATGTGATTTTTTATAGTTTCTCAATGTTTTTCATCTTCTCCTTCTCTCCAAATGTCTCGCCAACGTACGACATGAACCACCTGGCCAAAGACGGTGATATAAATATATATATATATATACTGTACATAGCTTGCGCAAAGCTTCTTTGGTAGCCACCGCGAATCATTAGCTCTGTGTATCTTTGAATATCAAGTTTGAACTGCTCTGTCCTCATGTAGAACTTCGGATCTCACACACTACACACAATCACTGAGAAGCTTGTTCACAGCCCCGACCTTAAAGACCGTTTGCTACCAGCTCCATCATCCTCGCCATCGTTCTGCTGAAAGTTCTCGCTGTTTTTGTTGACCTTAGACAAATGCCCTGACCCTTGAAGCGGTGACTTGAGGCACTGAAAACACTCACCACTGACTTTGCGAACAGGTTATTGGTGCTCTGTCAGACTCTGTCACTGCTCTCTGTAGACTTTAAGCTCTGTGCAAACGGAATAAGTTCTAAATGGGTGCTGTGCTGAGAGCGCTGCAGCATAGTTTGTCAAATGCATGCATTTTTCGTTCCTTGATGAGAAGGGAGCGAAAATTGGGAGTGGTGATTGTGCACGTGTTTTAGGCCAAGCCTTGTCTCTGCCGTGGGTGGTTGGTATGGAGTTGTACAAAGCCGAACCTCAACGGCTGTCACGCACTGCAGTGGCATCTTGCTCAATTTGTTGCATGCCAACTCCCACCCAGTGTTTACACTAGTTGAGAACAGTTGCATTGAATTGCCAGAACATCGTTGATCGAACTTGGACCCAAGCCAATCCATCCCGGAAAAGGAAGCAGCGGAGATCAAGTCCACTTTCACCGCTGGCCTGTGTCCAATAGCTGCAATAGCTTCTGGCTGGGACAGTCAAAAAGCGATCTCTCTGATAGAATGAAAGCTTCAAAACATTATTCACTGATATCCACGGGCAGTTTACGCAAAGTTTCCATCTCATGTATTTCAGGCTTCAACTTTCATGCCCCCGCACCTTTTTGGCAGCGATGAGGAAGTAAAGCCGCAAGTCAAACTTTAAGCCCTCAATGAGCATAGGCCTGCTGGATAACCAAAAATATGCTAGAGAAATAGGACATCCTTTAGGGCATTTACAGTAACTCACGATTGGAAGCATGATATCATGCAAGGCGTTGGGACTACAAAAATATCCCGCAGTGTCACCGATGCATCGTGCCTGGAAAGGTATCTTTGAACCACTGTGGCCTGCAATTTTCATACAATGCCAAGATATGCCAAGATTGACCAGGAGACAATGGGAAGTCAGCGCCGACTGTGACGGAGCAGCTTCACGAGCTATGACTGGCTATGACTGAACATCTATGGACCTCGTTCTTCTTGCGACTGTCATCCGAAGCCTGTCGCAGGCCTTAACTCAAGGTGCAGCTTAAGGGATTATCATTACACTGAACTGAGCCGAACAAGAGATGACAGAGGCCAGAGACTCGATCAACTCCAGGATCTGGGGTGCTGTTGGTCAGCTGTCAGCTGTGGATCAAAACCAGTGTCCCCGGAAAGATCCATCATGATCCATCTGTATCCCAAGGATTCCCAAACTAGTGAAGGTATTTCATGGTATTTCTACATGTGTTACATGTGTCTATCCTGTCTTTTGTGAAGGTGTTTCTCTGGTTTTCTGATAGCTCAGCGCACAACGCTCCAGTTCCGTGGTGAGGAATATGCCCCGTCCCTGCGCGAGGATGCACTCCCAAGCAACAGTTTTACTTCTATGAGTCTGTGCATCTATGTCTCCCAGGATAGATGAAATCATCAATTTGACTGACAACGTAACTTTGCCTTCAAGACACAAAACAAACATAATGTATAAATTGATTAAGTGATGTTGTAATATGTTGCAAGCAGGCAGGTCTGAAAATGATGCGCCCAGGTCTTGTTGTGACAGGACACTTTGGGTATGTTTGGACTGTTTGGACTTAGTTGAAGCGATTTCAGCCTGGCAAAGGTGGTCTGGCTTGACAATATAGAAGACCTCCATCGCACTGCAGTGTGACTGTGCAGCTGACGCCTTTCTTCAAGACTGGAGATGCAAACGAGTATCGTTTGACAGGAGTTTGACCGCGTTTATGATATCTGCATGGTTTTTAGTGCAGAAACCAAGGGGGCACTTGGTGCAGAAACCAACAGTGCACTGACAGTGCACTACATTCCAAGTTCCAAAAAGGATGGGTCACTGGGTCACTGGGTCACTGGCCTTTGACTCCGGGTTGTCACCAAATCTCTTCTCCAAGTCAGGGAAATCATCGGGGATGACCTCGGCAGCTCAGCGTAGTCGCTTTGTCGTCAGCTCAGTCTCCGAAGTCTCCGAGTCGTCTCAGAGTCCAACCCAGGTCGGCGGCACAAATTTGTATGCAGCTGGAAACATACGCTGGATTCTTGCCATATTCCTGTCGAACCATGATGTCTCACATGAAACAGGTTACATCGCCATGAAACCTTAGAACACGATAAAACAATATAAAACAATATAAAACATGTAGCCAGCATAGCCCATATGGTGAGCTACGTGTCCTTGCCAACCGGGTTTTCCGCGCAAGGGCATTGTTCATGCCTTCAGAAGTAAATCAGCGCAAGTTGTCAGAGCAAATTGGAGCACAGCACGGGAAGCTCTTCTGATGTGATCGTGTGAAACACCCAGACCCCATCAGCATTATATAAGACTATAATAGATTATATATGTATATAAAATATTACAGTATAAGATATTATAAGATTATATAAGTACCAATAAGTACCAATAAGTACCAATGAGTACCACCAAATGCATCGCCTGGAAAGTGATTGATACGCATCCACGGCTCCACCTGCTTCAAAATGCTTCAAATATGTTCAATTTGAGACAATTTGAGATGCTCAACTGAAGCACTGGAATCTCAGGAATTCTCAGGATATGAAATTTGCATAAATTTGCCCTGAAGTGTGCACCTTTCGGATCCAGTCACCAATGTTGGCATCATCTATCCAATGAACATTGCACCTAGCTCACCGTACAAAGCAAACTGTGCTCTCTTGAATCTCTTGAATTAGCAAAGCCATGACAGTCAAGCTCTGAGAATGGGTATGCAACGGTATGTACATAAGTTACATAAGGGTTTCAATGGGATCTCAGATGCGGACACTGCTGCCTCCAGTTGGTTGAGGAATGGAAGGATGAAGTAGGATGAACAAGGATGGAAAGGGAAAACCATGTGGCCTTAAAATGACTGAAGAACTCTATAATTTATACATATTAATACTATATCGGTGATCAACCTTCTAGCATGGATTTGTGGGCTTGGAATGCGGGCTGCCTTCCATGAGGATCAAGAGAAAATGAAATGAACCAAGATAAACCAACTTGGCCACTTCTCAGCTAGATATGGCTACAACATGCTACATCATGCAACACCAGACGCCTTCTCCTCACACTTTACCACGCGCCAGCCACGGTCTTCTGCTACCTGTGCCACAACCTGCACTTCACGAGGCACAAAACAAGCGAGTGCGAAACACATTAAACACATAGGGGCACTTGCCCCTCAACGCATCACAAATCCTTCACAATGAGTATTTCATGCTGCATACGAAACATGCCCAGCCTCATAATCACTGTGTGATAAGTTTAAAAGCACTTGCCCACCCTTTCTCCGTGGCCTCCATTCAAAGTCTGATCGAGATGCAAAAAACAAGATTTCACACAATTTCTGTGTTGCTGGCTGTCAGCTTCATGCTGACCTATCGCATGAGAATCTGGAATCTGTGGAGTGTGCTGGCAGGACATGACAGGACTTTGCATCTAGGGTTGCTGTACTGAAATGTACCAATGTGAATCCAATATGAACCAATGATAACCAATGCAAATAGGAGACCAGGTGCCAAAGCAGGAATTCACACCACGTGCCTCTCAGCGGCAACTTCGGTGGTTGTCCTGCGAAGCAAAGTGTTTTTGGTTGAATTCGAGTCTTGATATGCCAGATGAACGTGTCAAGAAAATGTCTTCACGTCGAGTCTTGAATATGTTGAACCGAGTTGAACCAAATTCTTACAGAGGCGAGGACCTACTTTGACAATTGTGGTCTTGGGAGCCTGAGCAAAATCTTGGGAATCTGCAAGGTGTCTCTTCGGGTTTTGGTGTTTGTAAATGCCTCTCTGTTAAAGACAGCAGCTGAGTTCTTTGCGAATCGGGGAATTTGCCCTCAAATGTGCCAGGTAAGATTTTAAACAAGCAGGCGATCAAGCGATAAGAAAGCTCAGGCACATGACAATACATCAGGATCGTTAGATGTCAGGCAAGGCACCAGCTCCGTTCAGACTGCACGTCTGGAGAGGGAGATCGAGAGAGCGGTTGAGGATAGTCGCTCTTTCTCGCGCGGGACCTTTGGCAGGAGCAAACATCAAGACATATCAATACAATTCCGAATGATTCCGCAGAAACTGTGGCGGAATTGGCAAATGGATTGAAGCACAGCTTGGCATCAACGAAGCGAAACCCAACAGGCAACAACAAACAAATGTCAGCATCAGACCGATCAGACTGACCTTCTCACCGCAATGCAGTCCCTCACTTTAAACACAGAAACCATTGCAGTCTGTCGCTGGCAAATGGCCTCAATCCGAGGCCATGCCCAGCGAAAACAACTCTAAAACGAGGCCTATGTTTCAGGCCAACCTTGCACGTAGTCATAGAAACGACTTAGACTTATATATTTGTTTGATGATCTGTATGATCTGTTGCGTGCAGAAGATAAAGCTATTCTGTGATGGTTCCGATCTCAATCAACACTTTCCCTGTTGCATGGCCCTTCTCCAAATATTCATGGGCTTTTGCTACTTCGTCAAGGCCGAAGGAGCGATCCTCAGGAAATGTCAAAGAGAAGTCAAGATGCAAACCTGGTGCATGCCAGTGCACAAGATATGAACACGCGCACAGTTGCGCCAACAGACCCATTCTGCCCGAAGCTAGTTCAGTTCATTGCACTTCTATTGCATGTTTGTGGCTAGCTATCTGCCCTGTGCTACCTGGGTTTCCAAACATTTCATGCAACAAACCCACGCACAAATTCATGCATCCAAACTGTTTATGGGTCTCTTGGAACACATCAACCTAATAAGTCGGACTGCTGCGTGAATTGTTGAGGCAAGTTACAACAACCGGCTTTATGAGGCCTGCAGGCACCAAGCTTGCATCTTTGAAGGCAGATTCAAAGTCAAAGAAGGGATGGTAAATTCAGAGCAAGCCCCACGGCATGTTGAGGGTCCTTTCTTAGTCTTTTTTTGTCAGTAAAACTCAAAATGCACCGCAGAACCAGAAAACTGCCAGACTTTGTGAGAGTTTACTTCTGCCAGACTCTGCCAGGCCTGCGTCTACCCAACTTGCAATAGATCGCAACCCTTGCGCGTCTGGGCTCACAGGATTGCAGTGATAGTAGATGCCAAAACCTGGAAGCATGATGCAACAAGCATAGCAAGCTCAATGGACTCAATGGCTGCTTAGAGTGTCAGTAATGTGTCAGCAAAGTGTCAGTAGTAATAGTGTAAAAGTCTGAGATACCCAGCAAAGTACTGCAAAAAGTGTGGCGATGTACGAGAGCCTTGCCTAGAAGGTCTGCGATCAAGCTGTAGCCCCATTTCCTGGTGGTGCAGAATGGTACAGAATGGTTTCTAAAGCTTTCTGAAACAGCACCTGTTGAATATTGTTCAATCACTTGTTCAATCATGTTTACTTGTGAAGCCATACTGCCTCAAGAAAGGCTTGGCGGCGATCTCCAGGAGGTTGGTTTCATGGCTATTGGGCTCCCAGTCACTGCTCAAAATATTGATGTAGTGCCCTTCACCTGTCAAGCGAAGTTTCAGCGGTCGTTGTGCAAGCTGAAGCTGACTTATCTGACTTTCAAATTTGAAACACCCACGGTGATTCTCATGTTTGGCTACAGACTTCTTGGATCTTCTTGGTGTATCCTACCACCATGTAGGTCCTACGAGCTTCTTTTACTTCCATTCGATAGAAAGCATTGCCTCTTCTAATAGAGGTGTATGGTAACACAAGAACATATTTTCTGATGGTATGAAAGAAAAATCCATTTGCACCTGACTTCAACACATTTGAAGACATCGTACGCTGCTCGTACTCCTTCAAAGGGGCAGCTGTGAGTTCTCTGCAAAATCTGCTCAGGACAACGAAGGAGAATGTGCACAAGTGATCATGTATAATTGATCATACTTCTACAGTGTAGACCCTTTGACTTGGAGTGACACGGTCCTGCGTCACAGTGTCCAAAACGACATCATAGTTTTTCACCACGTCTTCAAACTTGGTCTTCTTGTAGTCTATGGTTTCATCAGCACCCAAACCTCAGTAAATCGTTGAGGCCTTGGCAATGTTTCTCAGCTGAATCACACATTATCAAAGACGTGTCAACCTCTATATATATATATATATATATATATATACGCGTGTGTGTGTGTGTATGTATGTATGTATGTATGTATGTATGTATGTATGTATGTATGTATGTATGTATGTATGTATGTATGTATGTATGTATGTATGTATGTATGTATGTATGTATGTATGTATGTATGTATGTATGTATGTATGTATGTATGTATGTATGTATGTATGTATGTATGTATGTATGTATGTATGTATGTATGTATGTATGTATGTATGTATGTACTTTTATTATTATTATTATTTATCATTATTGCATTTTTTGCACCAAAGAATGAGAACGAGTGGACTAAGTCGCCTTTCACCAAGTCCGACTTTGAAGCACTGGCGGTGGTTGCCACGTACATCCCAAGCCTTGGAGAACCGCAACGCCGCCGCAACGCTCACAATCCAGCCTAGTTGGCCTACTTCCTCTTGCGAAATTTGGGAAGTTTGAATCTGGGACATTCATCCTTAGCCTCCTTATGGCTTCGTAGGCTTGTGAGGAATCTTTGTTCTTGCAGTAAACGTGGGATTTGTATGGATTTCTTATCTTACAACACAAAGGGGCTGAAAAAGATCCCAAAGCAGGTTGATACTATAGGAGTCGTACGAATGCTACAAGGTGTATTGAGAAAGGTCTAGCGGACAAGCCAAATGAGCTCAAATGGCAGCTGGCGACATGGGAAACCAGACTCCTGGATGCAAAGCCAAGCTGCACATTTTTGCAGTACTGGATAGCAAAGGAACCCACTCCTCCACCCCCCGCCTGTATCAGGATCTTCTTGCCCTTGCTGCTCTGACCCTGCTTCCGAAAATGTCGCAGCACCGGCGCCATTGCTTGGATCGTCGTCAAGCCAACCAAAGGCAGTCCCGCTGCTTCTCTCGCAGTGATCTTGGAAGGAACATGGGCAATGATGGAATAGTTTGCGACAACGTATTCCTGGAAAGCACCCCAGGATGTTCCCTGCAAAGGTAGCATACCATACACGGTATCTCCAGGTCTGAATCCCAGCACACCAGTGCCAATGCGTTCCACATGCCCTGAAAAGTCATAACCAGAGACGATGGGCAAGGATCGCATGGTATTGACGTACTGATTGCGTCGCATTTTGAAATCAATCGGATTCAGTCCACCAGTGCCAACCTTGATCAGCACTTGCGTCATCTCACAGCATTGTGGTCGCGGAATTCGACGAGTTTTGATAACGGAAGGCTCACCTGGTGTCAAGAACTGTGCTGCACGCATGGTGTGCTCCTTATCCTCTAAAGCTGGCGAATACCTGCAGGGTTTCCAAGCATGACTCCGAACTTCTGCTCACATTCAAACTTGTAGGAAACTCCACATAAGGAGGGGTCCTCTACCAGTATGTACACCATTGTATACCTACTTGCCTGATGAAGCCTTCCCGAATGTGGTAGAACTCATACATCAAAATTGCTAGCACTGCCACCAGGTTCAGGCACAAAACCTTCATTAAAGACCAAAGCATTGCCATGGCTGTCACCCTTTGTAGATGATTGGTGTCACCCGCTCACACGAGTCTCATATGCTCTTGGTCCCTTAAAAATGGCTGCCAACCTCAATTGTGCCATGATCTAGTTCAAGTGTTACATGTTCAATAGGAACACGTTGTCCATGCCTTTGTACTGACTCATTTTGTGATCTTCACAGCCTTCACAGCATACGTTGTGCACCAAGGACTTTAGAGCAACTGGAATGACTGCTGGACTCAAAGCATCTGCACCTGCTTTGCTTTAAGATGCTTCAAGATGCTTCAAGTATCTACAATATGTGTGGCATTGTGTGGCATTGTGTGGCCCTACACGGTCTGTACTGTAGAGTGGTCACAAATCGATCCTCGAAGTGGGCTGCAACAGTACGAGAGGAAAAGCACTTGCAGGGATCAGTTTTGCTGCAACACTCCGGGAAGGCCTGCCTCAACATTTCTTTACACTTCAAGACCCTTCAGTTTCCCAGTTTCCAAGCTTGACTAATGATATACAGACTACCCCTCCACTGGAACAGCTGAGTGTGACGCGATGCAGAGGGTGACCTCTCTTCTTCCCAAAAGGGAAGACCTGGTTCTGATATGTTCTGGCCATTTCTGGCCAGCAAACGTGTGTAGCGGCAAAGCATGGTGGCAGCATTTCGCTGGGTATGAATGCATCACATGGTTTCAGTGGCATTTCGCTGGCTTCAATCAGTTGACTGTCCAGGTTCTGCCTTCACTGCAGAAAAGGTCTTCTTCTGCATCCTCCATACTCAACATGCATTCAGTGGACAGCGGAATCAACTCAAAATATCCACTGAAACATGTTGCAACATGTTCGACATGTTGAAGTCCTCCTCGTCCTCTTTCTTGTCAGCAGGTGCAGAATGAGGATGGTTTGCCTAAATTGAGCAGTGACTCAGTGACTTGTTCATCCATTTTTTCAAGATTCCACTCAGCACCTTCACAATTCGGTCAAAGCATCTTTGAAAAACCGCTCGGGTGAAAGTCGGTGAACCCAAAAGGCCGCTCCCCTCCCTTTTGCCTTTAGCAAACTCAGCTGAGGCATTTCTTGCTCTTCGGAGCAGGCAAGGTTTACCACACCCTGCAAATCCAACTGTAGCTTGGGTCCGTTGCAAACCAAGGCAAAATAACACAATAAAAGACATACAAGTTAGATCAAGTTTGTTCAAACTATCTTCAAAAGCAAATCATTTGACTGTCAAATGATTCAAATGCGATGACAGCGCTTTGATCTCAGCAGCCCTCCTCCACGCCATCGGAACCACTATCCAAGAGCTCTGGCAATTCTGCACCAGCCTGAAATTACCAAATCACTGCACATCACCGCAAACATCGCGAGAGAATGAAGCCTCTCTATGGTATCTAGTGGCTGTCTGTCGCAGTGTCAGCAATGAGGAAGTGCTGAAGATAGTTTTGATTACAGTAAGCTTGATTTCTAAAGCTCCAGTGATAGTTCGTGCACCGCTCTGCAGACAAATCTACAGCTTCACAAGTTCATGCGTTCACTCGTCTACGATTTGGCAGGAACCCTTTTGACATGAGGAAGGGCGTCGCCTGTTTGAAATCCGTAGCATTCCAGCAATTCCCCCTTCAAGGCCAAAGACAGAAGGGTTTTTTTTGTATATATTATATCAGTATCATAGTATGTCATTGTCATTATTTATCCAAGAATTAGGATGCTGCGTCATCGTTATGTATTTGTGCGTTTCTCTTGAACGTTGCTCCCTCCCAAACCTACGCACCATGTCAAATAGCCAGCCTCAGTGGGAGTCTCTGATGGCGGTCGAGTAGAGGTCTCAGCCTGAAGGCCAAGAAGTCCGAAGTGAGCGTTCACCAGAATCATCCGGAATCATCCGGAATCATCCGGAATCTATGTCTGTTTCTTGCAAGAGCTTCGGGTTCAGAATGTTTCTGAATGGTGACCTGATGTGACCTGCAAACATCACGGCCCCATGTCAGAAACAAGAGTGCCTGCTCCCGTGGCATTTTCGCACAGGAGCCTTGGGAGAGAATTGCCCCAAAGATCTCTGTTCCAAACGATTCTAAACTTCACAATACAAATCACAATACAATGATATAAAATGATATAAAATGCGATACATTGTGCCGGCAAAAATCGTGGAACGCACACAATGTCACGTGCAGGATGGCACATTCGGATCGAATGAGCACTCTTGCCAGGCTGTTTTGAATTGTTTTGAGGTGAGTGCCTGGATCTGCGCTGCTCATCTCCATCGTCATCCTCGCACCAAGAAGTTGAACATCATTTCATATCGTGGGCTGGTGTATGGGCTGACGATGCTGCAAAAATGTTTATGGCAACATATATAGTAAGTTTTTGAGGTTTATGTTTCATCCAAGGTGAAGGCACTGATTCAGGGCAGCTTCCATACCTCCAGACACCTGATGTTTTTCTAACACGCAAAGCTTTGAAGCAACTTGATGAACACTTGACGATTCATGATTGGTCCAACCATGTCCAATCGCATTTCTTGTCATCCTGGCTTGCTCTATGATGTTGAGTCCCCATCTCGGCCATGGATCCAACAGGCATTTGGTCTGGATCGAGCCAGTGGCATCAGCATAGACAGCAAGCTAAGAGACCAAAGCGGAAGGAGAGCAGTTCAGTGGAAGATAGTAGAAGAGGCGAGGAAAGACAAGTTGCACAGCACTTGCACAACACCCTGCTGATGCTTTGGTCTGCCGCAAATGCTCTGCTGTACCAGCAATTTTGACAAGGCTGACAACATCATCTGCGCACAACAGCGCATGTCTCCATCACTGCCAAAGCGTGCCGTTCACAATTGGCAGGCTGAGATTCAGTGGAGGTCTACCAGTCTTAGGGCCTAGGGGCTGCTATCGAACAAGAAGGATGGCACCGCATTGTCACTCTCAGAGTCTTCGTCCAGCTCAGGCGTGTCTGTGTGAGGCTCTGTCTCTCTGGCATCTGGGAGCAGCTCCTGTTCGTCCGTCGTCATTTCCGTTGCTGGAATTGCTGGAATCTGCTGGACCTCATCATTTCTTGAGTTTCTTTCCTGCACTTCCTTCATTTCCTGCACTTCCTGTCCGCCTTTTGCTCCACCATTGCCTTCTTTGCCCGCATCTTTTGCCCCCAGTCTTTCTGTTCTCAATGCGCTGGAGCTATTCGCTCGATTCTTGCTCCCTCTCCAATCCACATCATCGTCTCTATGTGCCGGTTTTTGCAACCGACCCATGGCGAACATCTTTGCAGTTGGGGGTGGTGTGCGCGCCCTGTATTGCCTTGTTGGGTGGCCTTTGCCCTTGCCCTTTCTCATCCGATACTCATCATCCAAAGCCTTCCAGCAGACATATATGGCAAGTCATGACAGGTATGGGTCGGTATGAGGTTGCTCAGGTTGCAAGACATTTTCTTGGCCTCAAGACATCTCAAGACTGCCCACCTGAAAGGATTGCGTGAGGGCACCATGCTCCTCTCAGATTGGTGCTGGCAAGCAGTCATGGAAAATTACCATGTCCTTGCATCTTATTCTGACTTATCCACTCATCGGCAGCACCCACTTACAAAGACATGCAAAGACTGTCTGACTCAATTTGTCAATACACTTTCTGATTAAAGCAACACGATTTACCTGAACATCCGAAATAAGCTCTGAGATGAGGGCCAGATGAGGGCATGTCACAAAACAAACCAGTCTTCCAGCACTGGAATCGAACAAATGGACTTGCATCAGGGCTTAAGCTTAATCTGTCCTGCTGCATTTCTTCGTAGACCTGGCCAAAGCTGGAGATACAAATTTGATCCAATTAGATTGAATTAGGTTGAATCAAACGAACCACATGGAGGCTCCAGAATAGCTCAATCATCCTCAAATGTGCTCAATCCATCTCGAGCCTCCCGGTAATCCAAATGTGCTTGAATCAACATCTCTGCAGACTCCAACTGGTCCGAGAGGCCGATCATCTCTAAAGCCTTCCGTCTTGCAATGAACTCAACATGAAAAAAATGAGGTCCAATAGTATCGATAGTCGGTTCATGTCGATTCCAACATCCACTTCCATCATCTTCCAGCTATGTCCTTGAGGAAGGGGTACCCTCCACAAAGCTGTCCAACATTGCAGGGGACTAAGTCCACTGAGTCACGCTTCAGCACAAATGGTGCCTCAGTCTGAGGATCAAATCGAATGCTGAGCAATCCGACCTGTCCGATCGGATCTAGAAGCGGCCGAAAATGTCCACACAACAGAAAATAATACACGAGAAGGAAGGAACCTCATGGAACCTCTATCACATGTAATTATATAAGATTATAAGTATCACCAAGCAAAGCTGAGCATCACCTAAATGCGAAACGCAACTGATGCATTCAATGCCCCATGATAAGAGTCCTGCGTGGAACCTTGAAATTCTACTTTACTGCAACAGTAATTGAACGCTGGATTCATGAAACCGTGGAACCTGGAATGTCCTGGGATATTACAACCTTGGGAACTCTGGTAACATAGGAAGGAACCTCTGGAACCTGTATAGACAATCACGCTCCAGTTTCTCCACTTTTTGAGCGTTCGCTTTTTGCGAGACTTCAGCACCGAGAAGCTACTCAGCGCCCGCTCTTCTCTGCCTATGGATCAGCGATGAAGCTGTTTGAATCATAGTTTTGAATCAAAACTGGAGGCATTGATGGGCTTGACCAAGATACCCGAAGGAAGTCTCAAGCAATAACAGATTGAACAAGTACCCAAGCTGTATCAAACTGACAGAACAAATCAAAACAACTGTGTAGAGATCATGTCCAATGAACATGTCCATTGCCAAGAAATCAGTGGGTTTGAGAAGAATCTCCTGCTCCGCCCGCTCCAGCTGCTCGCGTTCCATGTCTGCCTCGGGTTTTCTGGGATTTTGGGTTTCCGTCACGTAACTCACGCAATTCCACGCTTGAAATGTGATGTATTGTGATGTCATGTTCAAGAAATTGGAAGAAACATGAAGAAACAAGGATCAAAGTCCAGCGGTAAAATGGGCGGCAAAACTTCTGCCCAGGCCTCGCGTTCTCTAGCCTCTGCTGCTGCTGCCAATTCTCCCACTCTCAAGATCTTTGCCTGCGAGGCTGTTCTGATCCTTCTTGATAAATATGACATATGCATTCATATGTATGCTATATCAGTTCCAATAAATTCATCTTCAAACATGCAAGAAATAGATAGAAAAAGTACAAACGAATCGAAATGATCAATTGTCTGGCCTGTGACTCCGCTCTGGCCTGAGCTGGTTTCGGACACTTTTTCATTTGAGGCAACGGTTGATGAATGATCAAGGTTTTCCTAGGATTTCGGTGCCCAGTTCTTAGCTCGGAGCCTTCAGTTCCTCTTTCTGTAACTCCTGCCGGATGCAAAAGTGCTAAATAAATCCAGGTAGAAACAGGATTGAAGTATAGTGAAGTCACATTTCGATTCAGATTGCATTCACCATTGCATTCACTCCCCAACTCTCTCTCTCTCTCTCTCAATGCAAGCTTGCATCATAGGACACCAGACATGCAGGTTGACTCCAAAGGATCCAAAGCACCGCATTCTGCTAGCATTCCACAACCAAAACAGACCGTACAAGCCTATGTATCTATGTATCTATGTATCTATGTATCTATGTATCTTATGTATCTTGTGTATCTTGTGTATCTATGTATCTATGTATCTATGTACTGTATCTTATGTATCTACGTAACTATGTATCAATGTATCTATGTATCTATGTACTGTATCTTATGTATCTATGTATCTATGTATCTATGCATCTATGTATCTATGTATCTATGTATCTATGTATCTATGCATCTATGCATCTATGTATCTATGTATCTATGTATCTATGTATCTATGTATCTATGTATCTATGTATCTTATGTATCTATGTATCTACGTAACTATGTATCAATGTATCTATGTATCTATGTATCTATGTATCTTATGTATCTATGTATCTATGTATCTATGTATCTATGTATCTATGTGTCTATGTATCTATGTATCTATGTATCTATGTATCTATGTATTTGTGTATCTGTGTATCTGTGTATCTGCGTATCTGTGTATCTGTGTATCTATGCATCCATGTATCTATGTATCTATGTATGTATGTCTGTCTGTCTGTATGCCTGTATGCCTGTATGCCTGTATGCCTGTATGTCTGTATGTTTGTATGTCTGTATGTCTGTATGTCTGTATGTCTGTATGTCTGTATGTCTGTATGTCTGTATGTGTGTATGTCTGTATGTCTGTATGTGTGTATGTGTGTATGTGTGTACCATCTGTATAGATGTAAAACTTCAATATACCGCAGGGGGCAGAGGTGCCCATGTCACTTCCTCTGCCAACGAAGCTGAGTGACATGCGGCAAGGATATAGTTCAGGGACGCCTGATCTACGTACCTGCTATGGTTAAAACTGTTGACCTTCTGTTCCTGTTCATGAGCTGTGCGTTGTTTATTCTTTGGCGATTCCGTTTCCGCTGTCAAACTACTGAATGCGATCATGATTGACAGTTTTGCGAACCGGCTAAGTCCAGAAACGGCATGTCGATCTTTTGCAGGGTTTCTCGTTGTAATGCACTGTTGTCGCAATCTGTGTTTCTCAGCTGTCAATAGAGGGAGAACGACTTGGTTCAGATGGATCAGTTGCTTCGAGCAGTGACTAAACTGGGATTTACTTTTCGATCTTTCTCGGATCGTGTTATCAACTCTCTCCTGTCAGGTTAACTGGAGTGTTTTTTGCGCATAAGATGCATTCCACATCAAAATTCGCAATGCCAGTTCTGAGCAAGTATGTGTGTGTCTGTCTGTCTGTCTGTCAGTCTGTCTGTCTGTCTGTCAGTCTGTCTGTCTGTCTGTATGACTGCATGTATGTATGACTGTATGTATGTATGACTGTATGTATGTATGTTGTATGTGTGTATGTGTGTGTGTATGTGTGTATGTGTGTATGTGTGTATGTGTGTATGTATGTATGTATGTATGTATGTATGTATGTATGTATGTATGTATGTATGTATGTATGTATGTATGTATGTATGTATGTATGTATGTAATGTTATGCAATGTTATGCAATGTTATGCAATGTTATGTAATGTTATGTAGTGTTATGTAATGTTATGTAATGTTATGTAGTGTTATGTAGTGTTATGTAATGTTATCTAATGTTATTCAATGTTATGTAATGTTATGTAATGGTATGTAATGGTATGTAATGGTATGTAATGTTATGTAATGTTATGTAATGTTATGTAATGTTATGGAATGTTACGTAATGTTATGTAATGTTATGTAATGTTATGTAATGTTATGTAATTTTATGTTATGTAATGTTATGCAATGTTATGTAATGTTATGTAATGCGATGTAATGTTATGTAATGTTATGTGATGTTATGTAATGTTATGTAATGTTATGTTTTATTATATTATATTATATTATATTATATTATATTATATATGATATTATATCATATCATATTATATTATATTATATTATATTATATTATATGTTGAAATAATTATATAATATCTATATATATATATCTAATATATATATAATATAATACATTTTATATACATAATATATAACATAATATACCTAATATATATATATATCATATCTACTCTATATATTATATTATATATACATATATGTAATATATATATAATATAACATAATATAATATAATATAAAACATATAATATAATATATAATATATAATATAATATGATATAATATAAAACATATAATATACTATATAATATATATTATATTATATTATATTATATTATATTATATTATATTTTATTACATTACATTATATTATATTATATTATATTGTATTCTATTTCATTATATTATATTATACTATATTATATGATATTATATTATAGTATACTTTATTATATTATATTATATTATATCATATTATATTATATTATAGGATAGTATATATATATATCTTATTTTACATTATTTATATATATAATTATATATTATTATATATTATAATACAGGTTATCAACACATAAACGACATCGATGTGAGTCGTCTGGAAGATGCAGTCCCTCCTGTTTTTGAATCCTCGCTTTTTCTCTGTCTATCCGTTCTTCTTCCTCTTTGGCAACCTGGAGACTAGCGCACTAGCACTACAGCGCCCTTTCTAAATTCACACAGCAACAATTGACCCTGAATCGCTCGGCAGCAATTACACGCACAATCTTTCTTGATGCCTAGCGGCCTAGCCTTCTCGCCCATGTTGGCTATCCATGTTGGCTCCTCCGGCCACTCCTGCACGCTTTTGGCTTGCTGGCACTCATTCCGAGTTTGCCCATGAAATTCAGGAAGAAATGCCAAAGAATGCAAGTTCAATCATTTTAATCGGCAGATCAAGGAGAGGTAGAAAAAAGGTAGAACGCCAGCCACCTTTCAAGATCTCACAGCAAATTGTTTCATCAAGCAACTTTCCCTCATCTTTCGTGTCCTGCTTGTAATCCCGCAAAGCGCAAGCTGTCTCTTCCGAGATGAAACTGTTCCTGTCGGCTTGCTAAAACGCTCAAGTGCTGACGCCACCAGATCCAAACTCAAGCCTAGCGGCCTAGCCAAAGCCTGCTTTGATTCATCCAAAGTCTAGTAACAGCGTTGCTTGATTTTTCTTGTATGCACTGAGGAGTCACTTAGTCACTCAGCCAAGAATGAAGGATCGGATGGCGGTCCAAATATCCACACAATTCACGAAGGACACTAACCTGCAGTTGCAAAACTGCGTCCGACACTGCAAGCTGGACATGTCACAGCGTCACAAGACTTCAATGTTCTCCTGTACCTTCTGCACTGTTCCCCAAATCTGGGGCCATTGCTTACAAAACAGCTTTACCTGACGTCGATGCTGATCATCTATACTTTGGAACCGGACTCGCTACTGTACTTCAAGCAGTTCTGAGGGATTCACAGAGTTGCCTCTGCTACAGTACGTACCCTATGGTTTCAAACACACAAACGTCACTTCAATCCAGGAAAAGGAACCTCACTGTCCCAATTCAGCCACAGCCAAATGTCTCACACCAAACTCACAATGGATCACAACTTCCAGTACGTGCTCATACGTGCTGTGCATCTAGGCTGCTTGAACCACAGAATTGAAGTTGAAGTTCTCGGGCATATTCTCGGGAAGGGCCTTACGAGCAACACTGAACCGCTTTTTTATCGTGTGTATATATATAATTGTGTAATAAATCTTACATTTGCATATACATGTATTTGCACTTTTTCTGCAAACTGCTTACTGAGTCCATGGCACAGAGTGGCAGTTTGTGATCGGCATAGTAAGTCTGCCAGGTCCAAGGTTTGACCTCGACAGCTGGCACATCCAACAGAACATCACTCTAGCATGTCTGATTCCTGCAGCTTCAGAATAGAAACGTCCGACATACCAGATGCAAAACAGACGAGCTTTGTGTCTGGCCCCGCCGTTGAAATGGAGCATCTTGCCCTTGTCTGAGCACATCCTTATCAGTGGCAGAACGGAAGTTCATGTCTGTTGGCAAGCACAGAAAACATCAGAAAACAATGACTCATCAAAAGGGCATCAAATCGAGACCAGTTGCAAATGTACCTTTCTTGACACTCCCGCTCCCTCTCTGATATACTTTTGCAGCACTTGAAGTCTGAGGAGATATCACTACGTATGGGTCCACACCACCGTCATCGCTAAAGACAGCTCCAATTTTGCGAACTGCCTCGCAGCCACGGGTGACATAGCTTTCATCGTCCGCACTGGGAAGCATGCACAACACACATCGTTCGCATTCGTTCGTTGTGTCAAAGCTGGATCGACCGCGGTAGATTTCCGAGGAATTGCACCGCGTGGTCGAAGCCGTTATCCCGCAGAAATAAGGCCTGCGGGCAAATCACTCACCGCTACAGTACAGTAGCTGCCGCTAGCTGACAAGGCGTGAACTTCTGACAGTAAATGCAGCAAATTCTGCAAACATCTGCAAACTGGCACCTCTGCATAGGGCATTTTGTCTCGACCCAGCGAATTGCAGTTCCACCTGTCACTAGCTGATGGCAACACCAGATTCAGATACAGTACTTGTACTGTAACACAAAAAAAATGAACCACATTTTTTTGAAAATCATGAGGGTGAAGCAAAATTTCACTGGGCACTGCAATGCTCGCATTGAGCAAATGCTTGGAGCCCGGCTCATCACCCAAATCCAAAAAGTCATCTTTCATGGCCAGGAGCCATGGTGGTTGCGACCTCTCCAGACTCTGCATCAACAAAACAGTACAAGACACTTGAACACTGCTGCCACTGAGCATCAGGCATGCCACTTTTCCAAAGAATTCGTTTTGAGTCTGCAAATCTCCGCATCCTGGGTTGAAACGCTCAAACGAGCAAAAGTTGTAATCCCTCAAAACTTCTGAACGTGTCACTTTGCTTCAAAAACCATTTTGAGAGTTTGGATGAGTTTGGCGCAACTTGGTGCAGCGGAGGTGCCATGTTTCAATTGATTGTGTGATCTGGAGTTCTTTCCATCTCTTAGCATCGATGACGAGCAGGCCTCTGTTGGCGATGCACGCCTTGGCAAAGGAATTGCAGCCACGGATGTGCTACACTCTGATACACTTGGACTCTCTAAACAAGTGAGGTTGACAAAGATTGTGGACAAAGCCCACTAACGATGCTTCAGAGATTTCAGAGTGAGTTACAGTAACTGTGTTGCAGTATTCTTTGTACTTGCTCTTGCAGCTGATCAATGAAAAGGGACTGTGGAACATGAAGCCTCTGCAAGAGTTCCTTCTACAATGCTCTGAAACTTACTGGATGCATCAAATTCAGCCAATTTGGTGGTTGGGGGCAATCAAGCTCAACGCTATGGATTGAAAAGCTGTTCACGAAAACAACATGAAAACAGTTTGTAAAAAGAGTTCAATCGTCGAGCCTTCGGGTTGTAGTCGTTAAAGCCCAACTCTCCTGAGGCATCTAATTGGCACTGCCTTTTTGGACCGATGCAATGTGATGCAATCCTGTATTGTATTAGAATGATGCAATCCTGTATCAATCCTTTATCAACCCTGTATCAATCCTGTATCAATAGATGTTAATGGCATGTTTCATCATTATTCATCATTATTCTAATTTATGTATTTTTTATGAACTATATATTTATGTATTATTTATGTATTCTATGTATTGATCCGAAATGATCCCTGTCTCGCCAGTCTCGCTTCCAGCCAAAGCTCGGAGTGCATCGAAATCAACGTATTTGTCGAGCGGTTGCAAACCTCAGTTGGTAAATCGTCGGGGCCAAAGATGTGCAAATGTAAATGATCAAAATATTATTTTATATTATTTTTATGTTTTATAAATGATGTTTTAATATATAATCAACATTGGAAATTATCCTTTGGTCTTCTTTGAATGCCGAAGCAAATCTGAGCATCCACACAATATTTCACCGCAGCACAAGAGTGACCCTGCAGATCCATGTCCTCCCACGCTTCTTGACATATCTATAATTTGCAGCTTTCCACATCCAAAATTACAAGCTACTTGCAATAAGCTATAATGTACAACACAGCCTCTAGTCTAAGCAACAAATAGAGGCACAGCATGTCAAACAAATGACTAGGTTCTAACTCAAGCAAGCTGTGGACGCATCGAAGCAATGGAATTTCCAAGCAGCTCCAAGCACCCTACTTGGCAGAGCCATTTTCTGTCTTGAATTCCCGTGAGACAAATTTCAAATGCCAATGACTCCAACTACGACTCCAAACCCCAGCTGTGACTATGTCAACACCCAGAGCAACCTCGGCAACCCCCAGACGACTAAGTATGACCATGCGTTTCCAACACGAGCAGAAATGCCACTGTTTCATCTTGTGTACATGGCTTGCACAAATGCTCGGCTGTCCATACGGTAGGACATCGAGTTGGATCTGTTGGAATCATCACAGCAACAGATTCTGCCAGTTGCCGGGTGGGTTTGCTCGGTTTGGTGTTGTAAACATGTCCATTTTGTCAGAACTGCAGAATGGGTCCATACTCCGTCCTGAAGCTCACCAAGGTCGCCCATAATCACTGTGTCTGTATCCAAATAGATCAACCTCATTACAACTGCGTTCTGGGACCGAGGTGATTCTTGGTGATCCTTGGTGTTTCTTGGCGTTTCTTGACTTCCCGGTGTGCTTGGTGTGTATACTGTCTCTTATCACAGTGGAACTTCGCCAGCCAAGAGGCCGCGGTGGAGACTCGCCATTGACTCCTGTCATGCGAGGATAGGATCGCCACCATGGGAACTTTGAAAAATACAACATTTACAAATCTTGCCAGGCAATAGGGCCCAATAGGGAGGTAGGAAGAGGTGCCTTGGACCAATTCCAGATGTTGCAAATTATATAACATCTTTCCCAAAGCGGCACGTGCAATTTGAATCTTTTCATGGCACTGCATTCAGTGCAGAAAACTCGCCAGCATTGCTGACATACCAGTCCAGATAGAAAGGCCTCAGACAGGTGAGGAATCATCTCCATGGCCACATGATACCATGACAATACGATGACATGGCATAGCAATTAAGACTTAACTGTGTCGCATTGCTTGCCTTGTCGCATTGCTTACAGTAGCTTTGAGGTGCTAACACAAAGTTGAAAATGCTGGTCAGCCCTTTGCGGACCTCGTCTGACTTGTAAAGTCATAAATCTGCAAAATTCTGCAAGCATCTCAAGTTGATACTGAGCTGATCTGTGGCCTTGCCTTAGCAGTCTTTGCGCGACCCGGTATCGAACCCCTCAGAGCGCACAGGTCATCACTTGCTCCGCAACTCCCACGCGTTCAGGAAACAGAGATCAGGCAACTTCTTGCATCAAAATGCATTCAAAAGGCATTCAAATTTCAAAAGGCATTCAAAATGCATTCAAATGAATGCGGAAATTTTTGCAGCACTTTGAATCATTCTCGGAAGATGCTATGACACCGGCGCAATTCGATCTTGCACGCTCTGGTCTGCATGCACCTGCTCTGCAAGTTCAGTTTGTTGCCTACTGATGTATTTCATCAGTGTGAACCAGCGTGTTCAGGGAATTGTGAATGTGTGGAGTCCTATGTTTAAATAAGATGGCCCATAGCTACATCAGCAGTTCTGACAGGCCATATTGTAGCATTGGCACAGGGCATTCTTTAGGCCTGGAGGGGTATATCTGCCAAATGCACACCTGATTGGCTGGTGGCAGTGTTGGTGGCACTCAGACAGCCGGCTGGAGATCAGCAAAGAGTGGCTGCTGGCAGTGAAACGCATGAAACGACGGATGCAGACCGTAGCACATGCATCATTCATTCTTTCGTGAAGGCCATTCATGTCACTGAGCTCAACACTAAAGAGATCACGCACAGTGGGGGCCTTGGATGGAGCTAAGAAACATGGCACATCTTCTGTGGAAATGTCTGCTGTGCTGATGGCTGCCAGGAGAATCAGATTTCTTTCGCGGCATTTCCTTTTCCCATGCTGAATCATTCTGCAGGCTACTGCAAGTAGCATCGTGTGAGAGGGTCAAATCAGCTGCACTCTGTGAGCTGATGCCATCTCCCAAAATGCAAGGTGGGTCCTAACTGTAACTCATTGCATGGGCGGAGATGTCTTTAAAAGGAGCCGACTTAGCCGGCCTGGACATCCGCTTCAAAAGCCACCACAGAATCTTGGTGACAGGGGTTGGACTACACACTAAACATAGACGAAGCACAATCAACACTGGAATCAACACCATTGTCACACCACTGTCACACCATCTGCCACTTCAGGCCAGTCTCGCCGCATTTCGCCCCTTTGAATCCATGAAAGCATCACACTGTATCAGCACCAAGGCGCTTTGGGAGTGAAGTCCAAACCATCAGACTTGGTGGCCAAACAACATGAGACGTGTTGGATGGGCAATATGATTATTGCACATGATATACATATACATATATATATATATGTATAGATTAATGCATGTTTATATATGTTTATATTGTATATAATATATAAGTTGCATGCGCTACTTTTCCGTGCCATAGAAGTTGTTCTATGCAGCGACACATGTTTTATGTGCAAAAGCTGCAGCATCTGACCCTGCTGAGAGATGACAAATGGGAAGGGAAAAATTGAAAATTTTGGGTGGGGTCCTTGAGCGCACTGACAATTCACTTGGCAACTTGCAGACAAGTTGCACGCGCTACTTTTCCGTGCCATAGAAGTTGTTCTATGCAGCGACACATGTTTTATGTGCAAAAGCTGCAGCATCTGACCACTCAACCCCTAAGTTCCAAAACTCCGTCTATCTCTCAGCAGTGTGAACCATGTGCTGCTGGGAATGGCAGCATCAGTGAAAAACTGAACCTTTTTCAAAAGGTCTGGGAAACCAGCGGCACATGTATGAATTACTTCCTTTGTGGCAGCCGGTAGCCTCTCAACGAAAGTGACGTACTGGACCTCTTGCAGGTAGATTTCCATCGTTCTCGTCGTAGCCCAGCGGCCCCTTCGGCGAACCATTTCGCTGTCTTCGCAGCAAGACAGAAGCCATGAGGCACCTCCTGGTCTGAGTGATGAAAGATCGAAGTGTTGAGATCCACTCCCCTCCGTAGGCAGCTTAATAGCTTTCAGAAGGTCAGCCAGTCCCTTTCTCAGCGTGGAAGCTGAAAGAGGCCACAGTTTTTGTTCCCTGCTCTTTTTGGAAAAGGCTATTTGGAGTAGTTGGACAATGTCTGCTGGGTCTATTCTGGCGGCTTGATGTTTCGCGTGGCGTCCTCGAGTTTTGGGCTCCCTGATGCGAAGCAGTGCATAGGTCATTCCTGGGGCTGCGTCTTCAGGCAGAACCAAATCAGAGCGGAGAGCTTGTAAGGCCTCCCCGATCCTTAATAGTCCAGCCCAAGCCATTCCAAAAATTGCTGCTTCTTCAACCCATCCCCAAAACAAAGCGACTGCTAAAATTGCCAGCAAAACCGAAGCCGGCATGGCAGGTCTGTGGTGGAAGGGCTCATCAGCAACCCAGGAGAAGGCGTAGTCCCAAGCCAAAGTTAATTGCTTTCGGATCGCAGGTCTGGCTGCGGAAACTGCGTTGATTGTCTCGGCGAAGATTCCGTAGGCCTTTCCTGTACGGAAAAGCTCTCCCCCAAAAGCGACCAACCATTCAGAGATCTTCTCAGGGTCGGGCGGCTTCTCTTGCAGCAAAAACTTCAGAGATACGCCTCGCTCACTCCAGAGCCATACCTGGAATTGCTTCAGAAGTTTCTTCCGTCTGTTTCTCGTCGCATCCAGTATTACGCGGTCTCCTTTCAGGACAGTCTCAGTTCTCATTGCAGCCCTGCGCCTCTCAGCAACGGAGGAGGCTTCCATGGCAAACGCGCCGAACTGAAATCCATCAAAACGGGGGCCTGGTGGTGCAAGGGACATCGACACACAGACACATCCGTAAAATCCAAAAAGGACACGGAGGACCCGAAACTGACAGCCACGACGGAAGAGAGCAAACATGAAAAGCCAAAAGAGGACTCCAACCAGCAACCGATGGGTAGTGAGAGCAAAACTCATGACACGCCCAAAAAGAGCCAGGAAAGTCCACTTGGCTAAACTGAAATCCAGGAGAGACATCTTGGCACCAAAACACCTAAGAGGACAATGGAAACTGCCAAAAGCAACTGGGTAAGTCCAGAAGGCCGGGTTGAAGTCCAAAGGGTCATGGCATCCATCAGCTTTTCCCCCAGAAACGCACGAAACAAGCAGGAAGAGCCGAATCCAGTTGGCAGCAAATCTCTTAAGGCCTACCCGATGCAGCAAGCGCAGGTCAATCCCATGACAGGCGGTGACACTGTTAGGAGCACGCTCACGGAGAACGACATCCCGTGTCGGGTCATCAGCAACATTGTGGCGGGTAGGGCAGAAAGGCCAAACAGGATACAAATCGAAACAGACCTGCAAGACAGCTGAGCGGCGGAGGAGGGGCTGAAGAAGGGTTGACGTGGAGCGACCCTTTGACAAGGCCCCCCGAGCAACGGCAGAGTCCAAACATGACACAACCCGGGAGTGTGGGGCATTTGGACCAACCTCATTCAGCACAGCAACTCCAGCAGACACCTCCAAAGCGTTGATGTGGCGAGGTCTTTTCCAAAACCAACTTCGGGCTTCCTGCCACACCGATGTGCACATGATGTCATTTGTGACAACAGACTCAAGGCCCTCGCAAGACATGTCGGATTCAGCCAAGGCAACAACAGTCCTCAAGGCAGCCCGGAAAGCCAAAGCAAGGTGAAGTCCAAGTTCAGGGGTATATATGGCAGAGTCCTTCGTGAACTTCCCCTGAATGCGTACATGAGCATGGTCTCGGGTACACCTAGCCTCAAGGAGCTCTGCTGACACGCGGCGCAACAAGAAACGGAACTCTTTCTGGTGAGGGGAGTTGAAGCGACATGCAGCGATGATCGCCTCTTCAAAATCACCAGACTGGACCAGGGAAATCCATTCATCAAGCCAAGCCATCTTTGACCGGCGGGGTTGCTCAAGGCCACATGGTCTCGCACATCGACGGCCAACACGCATGAGGACAAGGGACCTGAAAGAGAGACAGTTGCCATGCATGACCCTAGGGTGCATCCTGTCAAATCCATAAGGCTCAACGTAACTGCGCAAGCATGGGTGAGCTGCCGGTGAAAAGGTTGTGCAAGGCGGTTCAAGCAAAAACGACCTAAACCTGTTTTCTTCAACCATGTATATGACCCATTCCAGCAAGCGAAGGTCCCCAAGGTCGTAGTGCTCAGAAGCCGAAAGATCCAAGGGTGGAGCACAAACAAGACCAAGCTCACAGGCAGCCGCACTGACAGCTCCAACCCCTCCACAGATCTCAACGAAATCATAGTACAAGAGGGGTGAGGCTTTTGGCCTGATGAGAGGCGCAGGCACCTGCTCCTCACCCTCATATTCGCCAACATGCTTAAGCATCTCTTTGAAACCACAGTCAAGGAGAGCATAGGATCCCTTCTTTTCAGTGTCAAGCCAAAGCTCTTCGACCCTGTCAGCACCAACTTCAGCCGCAACAAAGGCTCCCTTCGACAAAGACGCGTCAGAAGCAAACAAGGTGCCAACGTAGCTCACTGCGACATTTGAACAGGTCAGAGGAGACATGATTGCAAGCAAAACGAGTTCCCTGGCAATTCTTCTGGGCAGCGGCACAACAGACGTTCCAGCACAGGACTCAGAAACCCCCAGGGCAAACAGTCCATCAACAACGCTCGAGAGACACCGCCGGTACAGCAACACAGACGACCAGTTTCCAGCAAGGCGAGATGCAAGCTGAGGGGAAAGTCCAGGGAGTCTGGCGGCTCGGAGGGACAGCGCGGCTAAGGCAAGGCGTTTTGCTCGAGGGGCACCAACCGTGACACAACCTGATTGCACCGCATGTTCATCAGAGACAAACTCAGCCCCGGCCGCTTTGAAGACACTAGCAGCCTCAATGTCCTTTTCAGTGGATCCGATCAGACCCTCAGCTTCATATGTTCTCCTGGCGGCGGCCAAAGCATGAAAAGCTGACGTGTCATGTTTTGGTTTCTTGGCACCCTCCCGGCTGATCAGGAAAAAGTCATCAATGACCAAACCAGAGTACACCGGGCCTTTTGGGAAAGGGCATGACCCCTTTACCTGCTGACCATCACGCAAGAGACAAGCATCCTCAAGCAGCTGCTGGTGGGCACACAAAGCAAACTCAACCCCAAGATGGTCACCCTGAAAGAGCGAGGCAAAACCCGCAAACAGTGGCTTTGGAGTTCATTCTTTTGGGGCAAGCTTTTTGGGGATAAGTCCAAGGCGATCTCCTATGACTTCACGGCCCTTTGGGCTCTGCTTCACCGCTTCAAGCTTCTCCCTCTCAAAAGCTTCAAGACCAACAAGCTCTTCAGGTTCGAATGAGAAAGGCAAAAGGTTTGTCTGGGCCCTACTTGCAGTCACAGCAGCTTGGTGATAGAAATCTCGGCGGTCAGTAACCGAGGCAACAAGGCGCTGGCAAAACCTATCAACCCTGACCTGTGCAAGAGAGGGACCTTGAGGCAGGAAACGAGAAGGGCCATCATAACACATTTCAGACATGTTTACAAGCCTCCTATCACCTATCTGCCTGTCGCACTCAGGACTCTTGAAGGCGTTGAAAACCCTACAAAACAGCCCTGGCTCAGCTGGCTCCTCAAAAAGCCTGACAAGTCCTTTGCTGTCCCAAAGCTTCACAAGCCGCAGGCATTCGTCACGGGACTCCTTCTTGAAATTTGGGGCAGCTGAAAAATCAACTTCCAAACCATGTCGCAAAATGGCAGGCTCTTGGAACGGCAACCAAAGCGGCCCTTCGATGAACTTCTCCATGGGCCAGGCACCTTGTCCAACCAACTTCAAGCGGGCTGAATCCAAAGACCTGTAAGGGAAAAGCTGGGGAAATTCATCACGGGGAAACAAGTCAGGGTCCTCGCGAAACCTGACGGGGCCATCCAAGTACCCGCCTTGGAAGACAGGTTCAGAGTCGATGAAACGCTCAAGCTGCATCAGAGCTGCACCTAATTCAGGACCGGATCTACCTGGTGCAAGGGGGAACAGTTCACCAGATGACCCACACACTGCAACAAAGGCCCGCAGTCTCGAGTGCACAGCAGTTTGAGAGACAGACGGCCTTCTCCAAAGCTCCTCAACGGTAGGGTAACGACCAAGGTACAGAAAGTCCAAAGCAAAGACAATGACATGCAGTAACCTGGCCCTGCAAAGCTTTAACAGCCTCCTCCGGGAGAGTTTGGAAAAAGATCCCCAGCACCACAGCGACGAGGACGGCAGAGGCAAAGGGAACACAGTGGTAGACAGCTTGGCAGGCTGTGGCACGGAAACTTGAAAGGAGCGACGAAGATGCCATGCAAGATCGGTCCGAGACCGCAAAATCCACCGGGGAAGACAAATGGCCCAGGTAGTGAAACTGATAGAGTCAGCAAGAGGGTTTGGCTCCGGCCCCTCAGGTGACGAATTCTTAGGACTTGATGGAGGGTCATTGCCTCCAGATGCTCTCACTCCTCCTCCTGATCCGGCGCTCCCGCACTTTGGTTCTTTCCCCTTCCCTTGGCGACTCGCTTTGGCTGAGCCTTTCCTTTTGGTTGTGGATCTGAGGATCCCTGGCCTTTCGGGCCTCCTCCCCCCACTCCTCCCGTGATCTCGAGGCGCTTGCTGTTGATGACCTCGAGTTCTTTTATAAAAGCAAGAGCCACCGTCACCCATCGTTGATCCGCAAGGTGGGAGAAGGTTCTGGAGCGAGATAGGGTGCTTTGTTGTCTGTTGATGAAGATCGAAGACGGAGGGTCTTCTTGAAGCGTCAGGAGGGCGGCCAAGTCGAACCGGCCATTGTCGATGACTGCCTGGTCGAGGCAGACCGCCAAAAGGGCAGTGGCGTCCCTCGCAGCTCCAAGATTGTCCGACTGCAAAAAGTCCAAAATCGACATCACCTGGTATAGGACCAAACCCAGATCCCGGTGCCTTCCGAAGCCCCCGTAGCGTTCCATGTATTGTGTTCCGCTGATCCCCCTGCTGAGGAGCTCTGCAGGAGTCCCAGTTGCCGGGGCTGTTGGCTGCATTCGTCTTGCCATCGATCTCAAGACCGACTGGTAGAAGGCGCCGGAATGGGTGGCTAGTTCTGCTTGAAGTCTCGCTCGTCCAAGAGCTCCCCTCGTGCTTGCTGAAGATGTCCCTCCACCCAAATCCACCATGGGGTCCTGGCTGGACTGTGCAATCTGCCCAACTAGTGCTGTGAGAGCTTGAGATTGCGCAAGGACTGCTCTCGCCAGGTCCCCTCCAGCAGCAGGGCCCAAAGGGGGCTTCTCCTCCTCCAGATCCTTGAGCTCGGGAGGTTGAAAATCCATTCCTCCAGCAAGTCCAAGCTGAGCTCGCGTCCTCGGTGGAGGTGCAGCAATCAGGTTCGCCACGGCCCCCGCATTTGATGCCGCTGTCAGACTGGATGAAAGAGGCTGGGTAAGTCCAAGAGTTCCAGCCCTGGTGGGAGCAGCCAACCTGGTCTCGAGTGCATCCTGTCTCAAAACCAAAGTTTGCACCTGAGAAGTCAGATTTGGCACCAAGTCCAAAAGCTGGTCCATGGAAGCTGCCAGGCTTGCCGTGGTAGGCCTCTTGGGCCTTTGCTGCTTTTCGGCGCCAGTAGGAGTGTCTGCGTCCCCTGGCGGCTTTCTCTGTTTTCTGGATGGCCTCTGAGAGGAAGGCGGCGGGGCTTCCACTGACGCTGCTGAGTAGTATGCCAGACCTGATTCCACATCTGAGTCTTGCACCCACTTCATTGCCAAATCGAGGGTAGGAGCAGGAGCTGGAAAAGTGAAGGGTGAGTCCAGGTCGAAGGGGATGGCTATCTCCTCCGCTCCCTCGGCAACTCGCAACCTTGGAACCAACTCCTCCGCCAAATCTACCAAAACCACGGTCACATCTGTGCCAGTTGGAGACACCAGACCTCCGTCCAAAATGACCCCTGGTATTGTGATTCTTGTAGAAGCCCCCACTGGCCCGGCATCTTCTCCAGCATTGGCCAACTCCAGGATCTGATCGGGAATCAGGCCAGGTGGGAGCGCCAGCAGCATTCCTCCGCGCCTTTTTGCAACCACCAAAGCTAGAGCCTCGGCAAAACCGTCTGCTTCGTCTTGAGCAGGCCATTGAAGCACGTAGGGCTCCAGATCCTCTGCAACAGTCACCAAGCGGCTCAACAAATCCTCCTCTTCTTGCTCGGGAATTTCGAGCGCCATTGCTCCCTTGCTCAGGGCTCAATGTTGATGTCGTCCTCTTCAAATCCAGCGGCAAGGAGGTATACCTTGGCCTCTGTCTCACTTGGGAAGCTCTGTGAGATTGAGTTGGAACCTTCAAGAGTCCCCAGGGCACGCCAATAGGATGCTGATGACCTGAAGATGACTGGACCCACGACAGAGTTGGCTCTAGCCACAGCGTAGAACCGAGAGCGCAAATCCAAAGGAGGCGTCCTGTTGGGAGAGTGCACCCTCTTGTCCCTAACAGCCCGAGCCCAGCAGCCAGCAACCCAAGCACGGTCAATGCGGGCAGAACCTGACAGAGTAGCACCTGTGAGCTTAACACCCAATCCACGCAGATGAGCAGGACAAGGACGGAAAGAGGCCAGGATCTGGTCACGGGTTTCAAGTCCAACAGAAACCGGAGCAGGTTCGGAAGGCGCAGAACTGACAACCTCAAAAGACCCAACGGAAGGCTCAGGGGAAGCAGACCGAGCAGGGCGGAAAGCCGAGATGAACTGGACAAAGTCACCAACCAAAGAAGCAGGGCCAGACACAGACACGGCCAAGCCGGAGATTTCAAGGGAGATATCAAGGTTGCCGTCGTGGCTGGTACCCATGCAAGTAGCCTGACAAGGCTGCACGTGGACGAGAGGAGGCTGAAGCGGGTGGAGACTGACCAGGGGAAGCAGGTGTGGAGGCCGCAAACGGGAACAAGTCAGACCGAAGCAGAAACCAGGCACACAAGGCAACACCAGACAGAAGTCCACAAAGGAAGCAAGCCACAGCCAAGGAGATCGAAGGGCCAGTGCAGTAGAAGGGACAAGCCAAACCCCACAAGTTGGAGCGAAGCCCCTGCACCACCAGAGAGATCAGCGCAGAAGCTTCGAGCATGAAAGTCCTTGAGCGCACTGACAATTCACTTGGCAACTTGCAGACAATTAATTAGTGCCTTAAATTGCCCTTAATGACAAAGTGAACTGCGATAAAAATGTGAGGATTCAGCGTGTAGTAGAGGCCCTCAGCATGTTCTGGCATGTTTTGTCCTGCAGGGATGTGCTTTCTGCGTAAAGAGAATTGATGTCAATGCCCTCATACATGTGCGAAGTGTGCCTTATGCTTGTCAAATCTCAATCTGTTGCAAAATACATCACAAACTCCAGAACACTGACCGAGAACGTGTCAAGTGCAAGTGGAACTTTGAGTTACTGTAGACATTCTGAAAAGGCCATAAAGGTTCATAAATCATGCATGAAGGATCATGAACACCCATAAATCTGAAGAAAACATGCTGCTTACAGTGTTAGCCAGGGATGCAGTATGAACTTTGACAATCTTTGACAGTGCCACTAAGTTGTACCATGGCACGCGTCTTGCTGGCGCCCCACAGCTTATCCTGATCAGCTCAGATTCGCTGACACCTCAGCTATCGACCGTCTCCTGACTGCAGTAACAAAATGCTCTGCAAGCTGGTTGGAGCCGTACGTGAGGTGTGAGATGCAACACAACAAACAACAAATCATCAACAAAACTAACAAAACATGATGTAATGTAAAACGAGTCACGTAGTATCACCTTCCCTTCTTTGGCATAATCTTTTGCCGGTGGACTGTTCTAAAGGCAAGAAAGATATACAAAGGGTGTACGTTTGGAAGGACCTGTGTGATTTATCCCGGTTCATAGATGTTTACATCATGCTGATGTTTACAAATCCCGTTTACAACATGTTTACATCATATCATGGGTGCCAGTGCCCGTCCTTTTCAATGTTATCATATCAGGTGGTGCATCTCTTTTGCATCAAAAGGGTCCATCCTTCTCAGCCAAGCCTCGCTGCCTCCTTAGGCTTGTGCTGACAGTCCTTGGACGAAAATCAGACCAACTGGTAGTGCGCCACATATCTGCCACTTGCGACACGCGGGGATTCAATGCCTTAGCTGAGACTTGAAAAAGGTCATGATATGTCATGATGACATATTAATCATATTATGATTACTCAATGATAACAGCTGAAACATGCTGGAACCATCCCCGGAAAAACATGATAGATTGTGATAGATTGAACATGATTGAACCATATTGAGCCTTGGATTCAGAATTCTACCCTGAACACCTTGATCCAAAGTTGCTTGAAACTGTGGCTGGGCTGACGGAGGTCGCGGTGCTGATTGAGGACGATCAAGTTGATTCTCATCAAGGCCAGTGGACACTGCACCACCTAACGAATGCAAGATCTAGGAATCTAGGCCATTTAGATCTATATTAGTCTATATTTATATATCTAGGATCTGGAATTGGGTGAAAATCAACTGACATCTATCTTACTCTGTATTCATCTGTGTTTCTGCATGTTTCTGTTCACTAGATAGACTTTACATGGGTCATAAGTAAAGATAAATAAAGCCTACAAATGCGTAAAGTGATTATAGTGATTCCAGTGCTTGTCACGTCCCACCAAATTAATCCAAATTATTCCAAATTATAGATTGTCAAGTCACCGGGAGGAAGCCAACGTCCAACCGAGCTTTGCGTCCAGCCCATGCCGCTGTACACTGAGTTGATGCTTCCCAGCCCTGGCAAGCTCTCGCCAAGCTGAAGCCGCTGTCGTGGAATGGTTGTGGAAAGCCTCCACTTCGACACACGGATACTTTGACGAATCAATGCAATGGCCGAGATGCTGAGATTTGCCAAATGATGTTAAGATATGTTAAGTTGAGGGCTGCATTCAACATAGGGGGATCATTGGGGTTTCTGCGGGACTAAATGACTCATGATCCAAAAACCGTTCTTCGACTTGGCTCCTTTGTGCGCTCTCAAAAGCATCGCTGCGAGCGGTGTTCTCTTTCATGATGCATTCGCGATAGCACACGCTTGCCCCGATTGGGCTGAAGCTTCGTGCAGACATTCCTGGAAAGTAGCTGACAATCCGTGCAGGATCTGGGGGCACACCAAAAGATGCCATGGCGGAAGCTTGACACGCCTAAAGCGTTGCCTGAGTCCCGCTAAACCAATGGACAGAACTCACTGTACTGTCTTGATCCATCAAAGAACATCAAAGTCTGTTTGTTTCCAGGACCTCAATGTATCGCGGCATCACAACAACTGACAAACCTCAATTCTCTTTCAGACCAGATCGTGCTCAATCATTTTAATGTATCCATATGTATCCATATGTATTCATGTACTAGTAGACCTAGTAGACTCTAGTAGGAACATGTAGGAACTGTATTGTGAATTGTGATTTTTCTCAATGTCGACGTGTCCCTCTTGTGCAAGTTGGCACGAACCGATTGGATGACCAATCTCAGAATCTCCAGCATCCAGCATCCCAGCTGCGGTTGAAAAACGAAGTACAAGGTCACCAAGGTCCCGCGCCAATTCAGGAGTGGTGATAAAATGGAAAAGTAACCTGCAGAACAAGCATCTCATTCCACAACAGGCTCAAAAGTTTGAAGATTGTCATGAGATGTCGTGAGATTCTTGTGAAAACATGAGCTCCAAATCCCTCAAGAACTTCCAACCTCATCAGACGGGTGAAAAAGCTCAGCTTCGCCACCGGCTTCAGATCATTGCTGGTCCAATTAGTCCATGAGGTAAACTGTGAGCTAAAGATTCATTTGTCACGTGTAGAATAAGCTAGGTCAAAAGTCTTTCACCCATCTCCAATCCAGCATGCATGTCCAAGGTGAAGCAAAGAACTTAGCCTCTTCGGGTTGGCAGCGTTGGTGTAAGCCTGGTCCATCAGCAAATGGCTGGGCTATGGGCACAAAGCGTTGAGAACAAACATCGCAGCAAATTCATGCTCAGATCAGTCAGATCATGCAGACTGCAAACATTCACTTAAGCTGCGGACCGATCGGACGACAACTGCAGCTGAGCGCAGATCTGCATCGTCGCTGGTCAAGCAAACGTGAATAGTGTCAGTTCCAGCTGGACCTGCAAGCAAATGTGACAATTGCATACACTGGCTATGACGATCAACAGCCCAGTGTTCTGCAAAGCCTTGCAATTCTACAGACATAGCAAGACAGTATGACGCAGTAAGAAAAGCTTGGCTTTAGGAGAACCTGAATGCGAGGAATGCGAGGAATGCGAGCGGGAAGTAGGCGTCCGTCCAGGGGCTTGAAAAGTGACAGCTTTGACCACCTTGACAACCTCTGACGCCTCAAATGCGCCCATGGCAGAGGTATCTTATACATTCTTATACATTCTTATACCACAATGCCTGAAGCAAATAATACCGAATATGGATAAATATGGGCAGTATGACTCACAATGTCTTAGTACCACTCAGTACAAGTCAGTTTAACTCACTATGACACAGTAGGACTACGTAAGTATCACAATGACTAAACATGACTAAACTTCATCGTGAGGCCACTCTTAGATCATGAGGGTCCAAGGTGATGTGGCCAATGGAGAGCGCCGGCAGTAGGGCCCTTGGTTACCATACTTAGAACCCCACTGTTGTCCGTCTGGCATTGCCAGGAGTTGCGATGCCAGTGACCTTGACAGCTAGCTGTAAAAGTCTTAAGATTTTAGTGAAGCTCAAACAAGAGAAATGCTCGAAACAGGGATGAATCTCCACTGAGAACACTACGCAAGCAATCAGCACGAAAACCGCAAATAAGCATCCTTGTTACTCTTTGCATCTCTTTGCCAAGCAGCGATTGCAAGATATTGCAAGCATAGTCAATGCAATGCATGCAAGCGAATCCGATTCTTCTCGTTGAGAGTGACGGTTTCTTCATGTTTCTTCTTAGGTTTGTAGATCTTGCAGTCTTTGTACATCTTTCTACATCTTTGTACATCATTTGGATTCAAAATTGGATTCAATGGATTCATTTGGATCGTTCCGTTCCTTCCGTTCCTTCCGTTCCTTCCGTTCCTTCCGTTCCTTCCGTTCCTTCCGTTCCTTCCCCCAACTCTGGTCCTGCCAGCTTCCAACGCCCAATTCGGCCTCCCAAATACCAAAACGCACCAGGAATCACCCGTCAACAGTGACATCCAAAGACGCGGAAAAAAAAAGATTGATCAACATTGATCAACCAGTAACCCTCTTTTTTTGACTCTGCCAAGAAAAGAAAACTGTGTTTTCGTTCTTAAGAAAAACGATGCACCGCTTCACATTCGAAGTTGCCATCCACAAACAATCACTCATCATGAAACTTGCCCCGGCTCAGGAGCATGTTTCCCACAATCCGGGTCCACAAATAGATGTTTACCCAGTTCACCCCTTCAAACTGAGAGCACTCAGGGTTGAGCTGTAGCACAAGGCATCAGCATCTGAGGTCAAAGCGACAGAGTTTGCAGATTGCGGCTTGCGCATCCATTCTCTTCGCACCGGTACGAATGGCATGCCCAGTCTAAAGATGTCTGAAGATGTCGGAAGGGAAAGGGATGAAAGGGGGATCTCCATGATATCCTCAGTCTCAAGGAGAGGATGCCCCTCGTCACACCTGAGGTCTAGACATGTCTAGACTGTATTTTCACATATTTTCACATCATGTCGTGGAGAATATGCGAAGACACTACACTTGTTCATGCGCATGCTTCAGAAACAGGCTGAGAGCATGTTCCATCTGAAGTCGAAGGTTTTAGTAGGGGTGTGTGTTTCCTTGTCCTACTTTGACATGACTGGGTATGTGGGATTTGCATGACAAGTGTGTCACTTTGGAGTGCTAAAGTCTTCATGAGCTACAGACAGAAATACACTGGCATTCACACAGACTTTTCGTGTCTTGATCATAGATGTCTCTACTTGGGTGGTTTCTTTGATGGCATTGCGTGCCACCTACGAGCCGAAGACATCAGGGCATTTGGGCTTGAAATTCTGCTCCTTCAATCAACACACAGCAACTTTCACGGGAAAAAGATTGCTTTTTGCTGCTGAAGCCATCGTAGAGTTCGTAGAGTTCAGCTTTGTTTGCGGGAGATTGGAAGCATCCTTGCTTGCACTTGTAGAGACCTTATAGTGCATTGTCAGGTGCAGGGCAGCCCGCCAGATTCCAAGCATCTGACATGCTAAGCTCAGCGCAGCAGGCGGCTTGGTTGTCGCTGACTCCTGGTATGCCATAAGTTGCATACAACCAGAGACAAGGCAATCTGAGCCAAGTGGTCACCTGTTCGCTTCCTGTCAAAGGGGGTTGATAGGCAGGAATCTTGGCATATCTTGTTTTCAGATGTGCTGGATGGGCGCTCAACTAGTCCTCGAACAGAGATGGAGTGCTTGAAGTCAGCACAGTCTGGCGCAATCGAATGTTTTACATGGAGACTTCACGTTGCAATTTGTACACAACGAGACTTTGCTGTTCATGTGTAAGATGGGGTGTTGGCCTGGTATTTAGAACGGCTTTAAGGAGACTTAAAAAATGATCAAATGATCAAAAATCAACTGAACTTCGCAGCTCTTCGTGGTTCAAGAAATGGACCATTGGTCGATGAAGCTGGGCTGCAGGCCCGTGGCTGAGTTGGCCATCCTTCTATGCTGCCCTTCCTGGCGTGCCAAGCGGTGAAGTATCCACAAGGTCTGCCCGGTTTCTTTTACAAACAAACGAAAGACATACGGTACACGAAGATTGGCAAATACGAATATAGACAACCCACTAGAAAGTGCTGGTACAGTGGAGTTTGCATGCTTGTGTGCCCAGATCCCCCTGACATATTTTTTACAGTAATATACAGTAATAGTTATGAAGCTATGCAATCCCACGTCTGATCTAAACTGTCTGCACCTGGCTGTTGATTGATGCAAGCAAACGCGGTACTAAATCGATGCTTCTGTTCGGCGCAAATCAGGCTAGGGTGCAGAGCACAGTCTTCTGTTTCCGTCAAGAAAGCCTGAAGCACTTCACAACTGCATCCTAGATGGTCCAAGATCATCAAGGTTTGCTCCTTCGGGTTTGAGGCCCCTGCCCACCAGAGGGTTGAGCAATTCAACAGTTGAATAGTGCGGCCCCTGACCTGCCAAGTCTTGGGTCGTTCGGACGTTCAGACTTGCCAGTGCAAGGTGAAAGCTGCAGCGGCTCACCTGGCATTGAAAAGTGTAGCCACCACCAGCTGCGTCCCAACCTGCACGCATGACAACCGTTCACGTGCAGTCTCCAAAAATACAGCACTGTTGGTGCGAGCCGTTTGGGCTACGGTGGGCTACTCTATTGCACGCCTCTTGGTGGCGTCCGCACCTGAGCTTTGATCACATCAGGGTTGATTCCGGGTTGATGTCATGCAGTATAAGCCTGATCTAGCATGTCGCAAACACTTTCGAGCATTGCTTTACGACTTTATGATCTCATTCCCTTGGCAAGAGCTCCCAGCCTCTCTCCTGTTCATACCATTTCAGAATGTGGCATACCTTTTCATATCTGTTCGTACCTTTTCCCTCTTTGCCAGTGTGACAGGTGAGAGATTGCGCCTGGGGAAGGATGCAAACCGGCTGCGTGGACCTGGCATTCTGCGAGAATGGAATTCCAGACAAAGACACGGCCAATATCTATCAAACTTCTATCAATATCCGCCAACGGTATCAGTGAAAACATGTGCTAGCATGTGCTAACAATACTACAATACGACAAGGCGATGCAAGACGTGCAAGTATCACTCGGAATCAAGCCAAGGCTTCAAAGGACCTCCAAAGTGCAGCCTGAAATTTGTCCAATACACAGGAGACCATTCTGATCGCTGTACATTGCATGGCTGATTCTGTGCAAATTGTGCAACAACTAAGTTCCAAGCAAGTGTGCATCAGCCTGATACGGAGCGGAAAACATGCCATGTTATCTAATCGCTTATATAAGTGATCGAAGGCGACTGAAACAACATACAGAACTGTACTTTGGGATACTTTGGGTGAATCCCAAATGACATGGAATCCTGGAACATCAAATGGCATCCTGCAGCCCTTGGGCTGTTTTCTGTATGCCTGAGTGATGAAAACCTGCGGTGTCTCGTTCATAAGTTATAATCCCACGGCCCTAAGTGAAGCTGCTGTGGTCGCAGCATCTTCAAAAGCTTCCTATACTGTAGAAGACTGGCCAGGGTGTCGCTGCATCGATGCACTGGAGGAGACAATGTCCCGAAATCAGTAAGTGTCCTGGCCTTGGCAAAAAATCTACACAATACTCACAAAGCTGCCGCAAGCCAAAGAATGCAAATGCACAAATGCGAAACCGCACAATTGCTGGGACGGAAACCATTCGCCGCAAATCCTGTCAAACTACTGGTGGCGTCAACTGCGAGTGCTAAACCACAAGAGATACCATTCGAGTGGCTGCCTCGTGTGAGAAGCCCAGATCCAAAAGCCCTTTCGTCAAGTGGAAAGGAAGCTCCTGCGATTCACGCCAAACCAAGATGAAATGACATGAAAGTGCTGTTTAATTATTGTGATTGAATATATGTGTTATGTACACAACTAAAAAAAACATGTATATATATATATTCTTACGTGATACATATATATATAATTACTATTATATATATATACAATATATAATATATTAGATATTACTATTATTACTATATTTATTATTATATTAATTATTATATTTATTATACCATATTATATTATATTAAATTATATTATATTGTATTGTAATATATTATACTATACTATATTATGTCATACTATATCATATCATATCATGATTTGTTATGTTATGTTATGTTTACATTATATTATATATTATATTATATATTATATATTATATATTATATATTATATCTTAAATATTATATATTATATATTATATATTATATATTATATATTATATTATATTATATTATGTTACATTATATTATATTATATTATATATAATAATAATAATAATAATAAAATATAACATAACACTAATAACATATATATAATAAGATATAACATAACACAAAAAATACATATTTTATCATTATTATTATCATATTTGTCATATATCTATATTAAAAATATTTTATTATATTATATTATAATATAATATAATATAATATAATTTATTGTATTATATTATATATATATTAAATATTATATTATTTTATTATATATATATTATCTTATTTTATATTTTATTATACTATATTATATATATGCATGTGGGGTCCGATATGCTTTTGTGTTCAATACTACAATAGGCTAGAATTATGTCTAATTAAACTTGAGTCTGTTTTTTGGCAACACAATCAATTGAACGTTGTTCCCGGGAGACTTTTTGAGGCGCAATTTGGGCAGGAAATCAATGAAAATCATTGAAAATCTCGAGGTATACTACCGTGCCACTTGGAAAAGCTCAAGTCTCCTTCATACCAAGATTTACGCAAGCCCACTTCCTCTCGAGCTCCAGAAAGCCCTGCGAGCGGCTCTACGCACAAAGATGTCCAGACCGAACTTGCTGCAATTCGCTGAAAACATAGCTACACAAAGATAAGTACGATGTGATACGATGTGATTGTTTGCAAGGTGTAATGAAATTAAAGATTAAATATCTTCGCCCAAATCTGGAAAGCCGAAAATGTCCATTCGATTGCTCCACCAGAACTTACTTGTGTACAGACCGACGTATCCAACTAAAACGACGAACGTATCCAATCAAAACTATGATGTATTCAGCCGAGCATCATACAATGAGAGCATCAATGGAGGTATATCGAGGCTATGCCACCAAAGATCCTGCCATCATGAAGTGAGTGACAGATACTGGAAGAAAATGGCAGAAATAATGCAGAAATAATTCATCTGGACAATGCGGTCAATACATGGGAGCTGATCCTTTGAATCGTTGTGAATATGTTTTTCTTTTTCTACTGGTCGTATGAAAATGCGATCACCAGAGCATCAAAGGCATTGACTGCAAACGGAAGGCAAATTTGTTGCGCATACTTTGAATATCTTTGAAATTCTTTGAATACTTGATCCCGCAAGGCCATTGCAATTTCTGGCTGAATTTAGCTATACCAATAATTTACGAAGCCAACTCCTTCAACCGGACAAAGGTGAGAACACCAGCAGACAAATGTCCCACGTTTTGCATGTTTTGCACATGAAAGCGGGCACCTCTCGGAGTGGCTGGTCCCTGTATCGAACCAACCATTTGAGGAAATTGCCAGAAATGTTGAGGAACCTTTCAGTGAAAACCAGGAAGCAGCGCAGAGAGACTGAACTCCAAGAAAGGTCAAGAACGTGCCATAATGTGTCTATGCAAATCTGGAAGCAGGAGCAATGCAGAAATTCAAAGTGCAAATGAGAGCGTGGCTGCCACTTGACTGGATCAATGACCATGACAGCCCGGCTTATTGGACAATCCTGTCACCCAAATGAAAACGGCGAATTCAGCATTATTCATGTGCGACTGTTGACAGAGGCTTTGAGAGAACGTTGTCCAATTTTTGCTGGCCAGGGACAAAAAGATATTATTTCAAATTTCGATCTAGTTAACCAAATGTCAGGATGCTTCTAAGAGCACGCATCTTTCTGAGTACAGGATAGCACAGCCGAATTCCTTCTCCTTCAACGGACCAGCATCCGTAAACCTTGAGCAAGACTCCACAGCATCTGAATCTGCAAATCAACATTTTTATGCAACAGCAAAAACCATATTCAGACTGGAAGAGAGTTTGAGTTTTTTCGGAAGTTGGACAAACGAGCACCGCACCGCTTGATCAAGCTGAAATCTACGATCTGCTGCAACTCGATCCCACAGTACCTACACCAACATTTGGCACAAATGTCTGAACCCAGGTGCGTAGCCAGTCAACGGGACAAGGGACGAACACAGCACGAACAATGACAGTGAACACGATGACATCGCACCTCGTTGCGGCAAGGGGATGACCTCTGAGCTTCATGTCGGCCAACTCGGACACGTCACCTAGAACTATGTTGTCGGTATCCTCAGCGGGAATTGGAAAGATTGGCAATCAGCTTGTCCATGGTACGAGATGGTACGAGATGGTACGAGATGGTACGAGATGGTACGAGATGGTACGAGTATGCGTCCAATTGCGTCCAATTGCCACTCTTTGAAAACTGCCTGCGAATATCTCTGAGTACACTGCCAGGTAAATCAAACGTGGAGGCAAACCACCGTAAGAAATCCTGTGCAAAGTGATTACGTTAAAGTTTAAAGAAAGGATGCCAATGCCAACATATCATCATATGTTTAACATATGTTTAACAAAAATACACTTGCTCCATCTTGCTCCTATGATCTCCTATGTGACATTCAAATTGATTGAGCTCGGACAAGGTCGAACGGAGTCACGGTCCTTCCCAGGAACCTTGGCTGCGGTTCCCTGCGCTTCTGTGTCTAGGCTCCGGCCAGCAATTAGAAAAATCAGCGAGGAATTGTGCGATCTTCGTGACATGTGGGGGACAAGTCATGACAGTTCCGGGGCAAGAATGCACAACTAATGCAGAGTCTGCAGAGGAAAACTTAGGAAATCGGAATTCTCTCAGGTTGCGGCTCTGGTAGGAAGAAAGGAACGAAACGAAACACGTTGGCCATCTCTTGCTCAGCCTGCCACAAGGCTCCACCGTTCCACCTCCGCGCCACCTCCCTACCACTTGTTTTACTGTCCTGATCCTACAGTAGTGGTCCTTAATCAACTCTGCGACACCGCAATATTTGCATTGGATTATATGTATTATCAATGATTCTCAATGTATAGCATTGCACATCTATTTTTGGTGACAACGAACAAATTTCCACCCAACAGTCAATGGGTACCTCCGAAGACGAACGATAAGTCAGGAACTGTCCTTGGGTAAACATCGCAATTTTACAGAAAACAGTAGAAAACATTCAAGACTTAATCATGACTTCATCGTTCTTTATCTGCTTCTTCTTTTCGTTTGGAAGTGCAAACAACGCCATGGTACAATCTGTCAGATCCCCGTGTCTGCTCAGAAGGATGCATACATGACTGCTGATCATACATGGATAGCTGATGATAGTTGTACCAAAATGGAATTTGCTGGGGTGTGTGTGTGTGTGTGCGTGTGTGGAACAACAAGGGGAAAGCAATATTCTGCTTCGCATGTATTTGATCTCTCTGTTTTGGAAGCGCAAGAGAGGCACCGTGATAGGCTTGGCAGGTTCCCTGGCGGGAAGGATACACTGATGTTGCTGTGATGTTGCTGCGATCTTGCTGTGTTGGTGCAGAAGGGCTGTGACGAAGTCATACACGGGAGCTGGGTGTAGTCCAGGGGTGGTGGAATTCTATCCGCTAAATCACAAAATCTCAAATGGCACCGGCTGCAGGCATGTCTTCAGACTACGGATCACCCAAGGGGCGCTTCACCATCTCTCATCTATGGTCAAAGAAAACTTAAATCTAAGGTGCTTATGGTATTCCGCGTTGTGCTAGTGGTTGTTCCGGTGTTGTTTTCTTTGTGTATCTCTGGAATTCCCTGATCTTGTTTTCACCTCAACAAGCATTTAGTCACATCAGTCACCGAAACAGGTGTCATGCTATTAAATGGTAACGAAATATGTGTGGGCTCTATCATGCTTTCCAATCAAACTGTTTGACTGATCACTGGGGAAATTCAACACATTTCAACAACTGGTCGAAAGTATGATCGCAAAAGACAGCAGCTATCACATCTATCACCAGCTAAAACATGCTAAAACCATAGAAGACTTGCGTGCTCACTATCCTGCACTTCTTGAATTTACGTGTAGGCTCTTGCAGGCAAGAGGCGAATCTTGCGCAACACGCTTGGATTGGTATGAACCTGTCTTCCATAGGACATTTGACTAAAAAATAACCGAAACTCATTGAAAAATATTGAAAGGGGCTGGTCATGGCTGGTCAAACTTCGGACTGTAATTTCTTTTGTTCGCAGTTTGAAGATTCCCATACTGTGCTTTGAAACAGTTTGCCTTCAGAATCTCGCATCCCCGATTGGGTCATTCATCCAACCTGGATTTTCACATCGGGCAGAAAGGTACCCAACATCCTTGGCAAAATGCTCGTCTGACTCGTCTGGTCAAAATGGTTTCAGTTGCCCTCTTCTCTCAAGTCTCTGTCGCAAGCTGAGGTTTCTGCTCAGAGTAAATCCTCAGTCAAACTGACAGTCAAACGTCCAAATCATCAAACAAGAACAAACAAGAACTATCTGTGCAGTTCTTTGCCTCAAAGGTCATGCGAACTCTGTGACAAGACTCTCATCCCTGCACTGCCCGCACTGCTCAACTCACCAAGCCAAGGGTCTTCTCAAGCTGTGGAGATGTGACGACATGAAACTGAAGCGCCGCAGGATCTCTTGCCTTACATAGTCACGACATCATAGTCTTCCATTAAGTAAGTGCAGATAAGTACAGTATGATCTCACATCGCATTCATATGCACTTTGCTTCGACGGTAGAGTGCAGCAGTGTCTGGAGTCGAGTCATGAAGTTCCAACTCGCAAAGTTGCCGAAAAAATCCTGTCTAGCATAGTCTGTCATATTCTAGCGTTGCAAAAGCTCCAGACGTGTTGCAAGGTCGTCTTGATGGTGAGGAACAGTGGCCCTAGAGCAAGGAAACTCGTGGACCCCATGTGGTTCCACTTCAGACATGCGTCATACCTTTCGTACGTCAAGTAGCACTCAGAGTAGCACTAAGCTCTGAGTTATCGTTGCACAGAACGACCTGAGTTTGTTTTTTGTCCTGTCTCGCCAAGACATTCTCAGCGTGTTGACTGTCACCCAAAGATATCCTCAAATCATCCGAGAAGTCTCCGAGAAGTCTCCGAGAAGCAAGCATGTGTGGCAGAGACCTCAGGCGCAAGGATGGCACAAAGACACCTCTCTGTCACAACGAAAGTCACACAGGGGTCGCTCAGTGCAGAGCATTCTGCTTGTCGAAGCCAGAGCTCAAAGAGTGCAGTGTCCTTCAACCAGATTTCAGTCAGGCTCCAGTCAAATATCATGGACTCTTGGAAAATTGGCAACCAGTTCTGAAGATTTCTGAAGTCAATATTCACCCTGTCCTCAAAGTGATCAATACTGTAGCCAGTACCACTACTGGCAGGGTGGAATGTCCGGTAGCTTCATGAGAAGAGTTGTTCGGCAACATACTCAGGATTTCCAAATCAAATTTAAATGAGCACTCTGTCAATAGTTTCGAAATGTTTCGAAGCCAAAACACGCCATTTAGCAACGCCAAGCCACCAGCGAGACCAAGGACGGAGAATGCGGGACGCATGCCCACATTCTGTGGTGAGTCTAATGAAGAGTCTAATTCTAATGCCTAGTAGAATCCCGTCCACCAAATCTAGCTTGCACAATCTTGTAAACGTGTCTTGCAGTTAGTCAGCATAGTAGAACACATGTAGAAATGAATTGACGCAAGAATGTTCACAGGGCGCTCTTTGTCTCGATGACAGTAGAATGTGAATGAGTTCTGCATATCTGGAATCTTGCAAAGTCACTATTGACCCTTCTTCAAAAGTTTAAATTGAAGACGTTGCACTGCGCATTGTAAAGCAGTCTTGGCATTGGCTCTTTTGCTCAGCAACTCTGCTGTTGAATGTGGCACTGCACGTCTTCTCACTTAAGCTAGAGGTCTGCGTTCAGCGAAGTGGCAGCGTTGGCAAGCACGAAGGACAAACAAGTCCAAGCAAATGCCACAACTAATGCATCAAATGTCATGAAACATGTCACACCCAAATGTCCCAACTTGAAGTCTCGACTCAATGACATCAGCAGTGAGTAGGTACAGTATGTTACAGTAAAGGAAAACCGTGGATGCTCTCAACTTCAGCGCCTTCTCCGCAATCTCCTGGATGTTCCCAAGCTGTTTGCCAAGAACAAACCTTTCGCAGAGATTCGCAGCAGAATGCAACTCTGAAGAGTATATTTGAATCGATTGAGATCGATTGAGTACATCAGCAAAGTCGGTTTTACATTGTTTTACTGCAAATGAACTCTCTTGGTGCAACTTACTCTGCCAGCGCTGAGCTGACAGGATTTTTCTGGGCATCGGGCCCCAGGTGCTGCTTTGGGAAAGACAAATCTTTTTTCCTGTATTGAAGCTGCCTGGAAACCAACCAGCATGAAGGCATGAAGTGGCGAAGGAGTACGCTACATTGTGCTAATTCTGATTTTTGCACAACTTTGCAAAACTTAATGTGCATTCTTTAGCTGTTCAGTGAACAGCAATCTTTGTGTGTCTTGTGCCTCTGTGTAGTTGCAACCGCTTCAGGATCTTGCCCAACAACTCGAACCTAGGATAGGCACTCGTTGTGTTTCTCATCTATTCAAGATAGCGTATGGCGTATGAGTAATCTAGCTCCCGCATTCAGCACAACCTACGAATCCTTTGACGTATGGTGTACTTGTTCCAGAGCTGCAGACACAGTGATGCTTCTTGCGGTGGTCATATCTCACCTGTGCGCAGATCATAAACAAAAAAGTAGACTTCATGCACCTCATGTGCAAACGTGGATGCAAAAGTCACTCTAGAATTTTTCGAGCGGCTGCCTCAATGGATACTCCCAGTGAATCCTGAAGCGCTGACAGAGAGCTGCTGGAACTACCCTAAAGCCCATGTAGCTGTTAGCTACCTCCATGAATCTCCAATAGCAGGAGTTTGTGTGCGTTGAAATGTTTTGACACTTCTCCTGAAGCTCTTGAAGCCGCTTCCCACCAGTCCTCATTTGAAGGTTTGTGCGTATCAAAAGCAGCCACCAAAACTCTCAAAGATGTCTTGGCCAGGTACCGTCCGAGGACCAACCTCATGATGTCGCTGTCAACAACGAACTCCAAGCATTTGCCTTCCTGTAGACACAAGTAGGCTCCACATACTATTCAAAAACAAAAGCGATCGTGCTGCCGGCCTCCTGCGGGAAACCCTGCAGGTATGAACGCTGGGATTCCTGGGATACAGCTTCCAAACAGTCGGCGATTCCCAGGCACGCACGCCTTGTGCATCATACGATACACGCTATACATGTTACATTGTACATGATACTGATGCATTCAATTTCGGCATGTTTCTGTCCCTTTGGAGCTCGATGCCTCTAGGCTTTCAAACTGATCTCTTTTGCCTATGATGACACCATGTTGCGCATGTTGCGCTGGGTCTTCCTTCCCGTCCTTCCCCACATCAGCCAAGGAACCATATCTTTTATTCCTGATCGTCTCTTGGCGATCTCGCTCCAACTGCGCATGTGAACGCAATGAAGCATTTTGCCTGCAAGGCTCATCTTGCTCCTCAAGTTCAGTCACGGTTCCAAATGGTTTGCATTGCCGCACTATGTCAGGTCACCAGTCACGATCCAACATGATCTAATATCTGCTGCCTCTCCCTTTTAGACATACCCAAACACTTCACAGACACATCAGGTAGAAGCAAGGGAAAGAACCTGTCCTCTCACCGGCCAATTTCAGCTCGGCGCCGAATGCTGTGAAGCGGAGTTCCAGGCTCAATATGCAGCTCTGCTTTTGAAACTGGAGCAACCACTCCTCTCTGCTGGGGTGCACAACACAAAGATGCACAAACGAGAACTTGGTCTCTGCATTGTAATCCAGCGAAATGCACTGAAATGCAAAGAACAAGATGAAACAATGTATAAAAAAGTGGCTTATGGTATGACGCTGTGGTCCTCTGCTGGTGGCCACTGCTAGTATAGAGTCATAGACTTATTCTACGCACCAATGGTTTGCCTGAATGGCCTGAGACCAAACCTTTCTCAGGTCATGACTTTTTGACGACATCTGAAGTCGTCTGACGTCGTTTGAAGTCGTGTGAAGTCACTCATCCTGTAATCCGGTTACCGCCGGTTACCCCTCCTTCAAGTCAGAAGTCAGTGGATCTTCACCACCTGGTTCTATGAAACCTTAGCAGTGACTTGAGAAGGCGCACAATCGCAAAGTGTCAATCTTCAAAGTCAGGCCGAATGGAATTGGGAATACATTGGTATTGTCAATCAAGGAAAAGGCTTATGGCAGAATCATGACCAGTCTCACGGTGGCTAAGCCATGCGCCTTGTGGCAGTTCAAAAACTTCCTCCTGCAGTAAGCAGCTGCTGAGCAAAGTGGTCTGCCCAGGTTCTCTTAGCTGCTCTGCAGTCACAAGTATGTCCTTGGTCGGGCCAATCCAAGGTGATGCCGCAGCGCCGTGGCTGAAGTGGAGAAAGGAAAACTAAGGCAAAGCTTGAGATTTCTTGAACATATTTCAGATATTTTCAGGTATTCTATTCTATTCCGTTCTATTCCCGAACTTCCGTGCATTTCAGAATCTCAGAGCGGCAGGTATCTGCCATCACCTACACGCATCGACGCTGGATCTCTGTTTCTCCGAGCGTCGTCACTGCGTCCTCTGCCCAGCAAAGACACCAAAAAGTAAGCTCCGCGGGCCATGCGAATGGCACCGGAAAGCATGCAAGGAGGCTTTGAGGATGTTGCTGGCATTTGTACCTGGACCGTTAAGAGTAGGTCTGGGATGTCTGGGATGTAAGCTTTCTCCACTGGATTTTTCTTCAGAACGTCGGCTGGCCTCTACAAGATCGTTGAGCTTCGGGACAAACACTTCGTTTACATCATCATCCTTTGGTTGAGGAGGGAGGCGGACCTGCAAGCTCAGGAATGGTACAGCACATGCCCTTGAAATGTGCACGTGAACGCTGCCACGAACTGATGTCGCTTGTTACTTGCTATCAACACATGTCACTGGTGCTTGACGGGTCAAGCTCTGCCTGATTCATCCCCAGCTCCTTCTTGACTCCACCGACCTGCCTCAGAGAGGGAGAATGTGGCAGAACTCCAACCCCAAAATACCCCAAATCCACGCCATTCGTGGTTGACCGACTAGGTCAGGCTGAGGAAGTGACACGGCCACCCATCCAGGTCGAGACAAATGAAGCAGCGTTGCCAAATACCACACATCTTGTTCCAGAGCGAGTACTTCCACCGCAGTTCCAAAAATGTGTCCTCCGCGCAAGGAATGTTTGGGAAAGTTTGGCACTCCAAGAGGAAGCGCAAGGGCAACAACAGTAACAATGACGACAGCAGTAACAGCAGTAACAGAAGGCAATGGATGGCAATGGTATTTCATCATTTTCATCAGAATGAACAAAATATGAACAATGTAGGAGATGGACCTAGATGGACCTAGATGGACCTAGATGGACCTAGATGGACCTAGATGGACCTAGATGGACCTCAGCAGCTCCGACAAGTTTGACTTTAACGATACTAGCGGACGTTTCTGTGCTTAATGTCAGTAGGTCAGTAGGAGGTCTCTTGGCCAGCGACCAAATGTCTAAGGAATCCAGCCATAACTGCAATCTGCCACGCAGAAATCAAAAGCATCAGTCAAACACGACGGCTACACGCCTTTCTGGCGTGAATCTGAAGCATGGCCATCAAAGGTCATTCTCCAGCGCAAGTGATAAATACCTGTTCGACTTTCCTATCTTGCACGCTGGAAACTTGACGGCGCACTACGCTACTATCACAACCCAGAACATGTCTTTCAATTCACATCTAATACATTCACAATCATTTGAAAAAAAAATGGAAATCTGGGCTGAGCGTGCACATGTCCAATTGAGTCGGTTGTCCGTACTATAATAAAAGAGGCAACCTAGTGCCTAGGAGCCAAAGTCGCGTCAAAACAAGATTGCAAGGGCCATGTCATCACCAATTCAGCAATACCTGCACAATGGGATATCGAATCAAACATGCCCATGGGATCCCATGGGACGCATGGGACGTATGGGACAGCTAATGAGTCGACGGTGCCTTGGATCAACCGAATGTCACAGCTTGCAAACATTTTCTTGGCTGCACCACGAGCCACACCTTTGGTGGCATTAAAACTGCGCTGTGTCAAGGTGCCAATGAAGTAAATACAGTGATTAATACAGTAAAAGCACACGCCAACTCGTTTTTTCTGTTCCAAGGGGATAAAGTTTGATTTTTGATTTTACGAAAAGCATTATGTATCAAATGCGGTGCCAAACTTGCTTCCTAACAGTGTGTTTTTTTTCAGGGAATTACCGTATGTTGGATCATATTTAAACATTTCAAATCAATCAACAAGCACTTTACGTGAAAATTAGTGTGCTGATCACCACCATACATACTGGTTTTTGTGCAATGTTCGCCTTGAAGGTTTCTATTTGAAAACATAACACTGCGCCAAATTGTTGACTTCACCTCACTACAGTGGTTTCTCGGTTTTTCTACAGGATATTACACGCCTGTGACTTCAGGAATATGTCTGATATGTCTGGTATGGGTATATATAGGATGTATAGGATGTATAGATACAGGATGTTACAGGTGTAGGTCTAAGGATGCCATGTGTAGGAAAGTGCATATGAGCTCCTCATTAAATGAAGGTTCAATTACGTTCAGTGATGCAAAGGGCTATTTAAATTTATCTATATATTTATATATATACAGTATATATATATACATATCTATACTATTCTATACTACTTCATTGACTGCAATTGACGCCTCGCACTTCAAGCATGCGCTAGGCATGCGTTAAGCATCTCTGCCCCGTATTCAGCTGAATCACATGCGACAGAGCCTGGCCCAATTTTCAGCGAATCACCGAACTTTTGCAGGTTGATGTGGTGCTGCAGACTGTCAATGTCTATCAATTGAGAAGCCTGTGTTGGAGCCTTGCATATCATGCATCCATTCCAGACCCTTATCATCAATCTACATTCAGTGTGGCCTGGCTGCATGAATGATACAGTATACATGTGTTTTCTTCGATTCTTAAATCTTGCCACTCGCTTCTCTCAGGTTCCATCTTTAATCCCTCGCGAGAACTTGTAGCACCTCACCAGCTGTCTGCAAGGTGTCTGTGGTTGACCCGTCCGAGTTTCTCATCAGAAGATTGCCAGTCTGCACGGGGCAGCTTCGACAATTCAATACAATTCAGCCACGCTTCAGAACTGTCGAACAACATGGAACCCACGAGTGGCCACGGAATCCTATTTGTCGCATTTGTCGTGACAGTCTGGAAGTAGTGTTGATGCCAATTCTTTGCTGTACTCCCCTTGCAGCCACAACAGCAGCAGAAGCAGCAGCAGCAGCAGCAGTTGTTGCAGTAGATGCTGCAGATTGCTACTCGGAATCAAAGTCTGCTTATCATCAAAGAGGGTGCTGTGTATCCCATGAGTACTATCCCATGAGTACACACATGACTGATCTGAAAGCTTGTAATCTTCAACATGATCGGACATCTTTTCATACTGGTAGGTGTCTCCTTTGTGGTTGGCCTTAAGGGTCAAAAAGTTGGCAATGGCTTTCTCCTTGGTCCATCAGACAAATCATGAATAGGTGCCAAAACTGTGTCTTGAAGTCTGTGGCTTCGAAAACTGGGCATGCTGCAACTGTCGGCGCAGTGCCATAATCCATCTCAAACGAAGCAGATGCACCTTGAATGATTTCAATGATTTTTAATGTACGGAAGCAGGTAACGGTAACCCAACAAACTTTACAAACCTAAAGGATTCTGGGCCTAAGACTCTGGAAACTGGGAATCCTGGGATTCGTCTGGGATTCGTCTGGGATTCGTCTGGGATTCAAGGCCAGAGTCCACAATCATCTGCGTCTTCTGCACGAAATCCACTTTGTCCATGTTCACCAGCTCCAGGTGAAGAGCTGAAGCAGATGCTGCATGGATGCGCGTGGATAAAGAGAATATATGTTGCACGAAGATAGAAGAGAGTCATGTTTCTGCAGCTCTTTTCATTGAAATTCCAAAGCTACCTTTGCAAGCGTTCATTTCCTCAATTTCCAATTTCGTATTTCTCTGATTCGTCCAATGTTGAAGTTTGCAACAGTTCACAATTATCCTCGAACATGTTGACCAAGCGGCCACTGAAGCCGACACCAACATGACATTCGGCAAATACCTGCACAACCATTCCACATCATGCAGGCAGGGGATGACCGGAAATTCCACAGATTTGAATTTGAACAGCTTTCGGTTCAACAAAAGCCTTCAGCGTGAAGTGAAGGGTTTTGTCGCAGCACATGTAGTCTTTGAGCCACTCCTGCACTGGACCAAAGATTTGTAGAGAAGGCCAAGACCCATGTACTGTATGATTCTACGATGCTACTTGCTACTCTTGATGCATTCCACCTGTAAGGCTGCTGCATTGCACGTGCTTGTCATACTCTCAAAAATAACCACATGTTTCAAATAACGTCTCAAAATTCTCAAATACTTCGGAAATACTTCCTGTCCTTGCCATTGACAGTCACTTTCATGTAGACGTGCAGATCCGTGAACATTGCCGACAAAGTGATGAACCACCGCCTCAGTTTCAAGGTGTTGGCCGTATGAGGTGTCACAAACGCGGGACAGTCATTGCTCGGCTGCTTCTGACGCGGAAAGTAGCAGTGATGGTCGTTGTCACTCAAATTTATGTTCATCTCTATCTCAGTCCATCACTCTTCACTGAACCTTCACTGCACATCAATTATCATCAATTCACTTTGCTCGCATATTTCTAGGAATTGCGCTGCACAGGTGCGGAGATGTCGGTTGGAGGCGTGACCTTTGGGCTGACCATCACATCACATCCAAGGAGCGTGAACATGCTGTGCCCTTGCGATGCTTGCAGCAGCCTGTCTTGTACATGCTGCACCCTTCGCTGAGGCAGCAACCACCATGTCAGCAACGTCTAAAGAACCCAAGCCAGTTGCCCAAAGAACGGTGATGTCAGTTCCCTTGGCAATCAGAGTCGCTCTCATGATGTCTAATGATGTCTGATGACCTTTTCCAGCGGCTATGATGACAGTTCTCTTTGGAGTTTGCCGAAATTGCACTACAGCTGTAGGTCTCCTGCAACGCCTCCACGATTCGCATTCATGTGTGCAAGTGGAGCAGTGCCTTGACAACTCCTGTTGAATCTAAGCGGAGCATTCAGAGTGACATGCTGATGTCATAATTGACCACATTTGTTTAAGCTTGTCCGTCTCCTGTGAATCTCCGACAGAGGGCTGGAAAAGAGAACTTCACCCTTTTCCGTCCTATAGTCCCAAAGAGCCTGCATTGTCCAAAATGTCTCAGGTCTCAATTCCAACATCGAATTGCGGGGCGTGGAAATTTGCTCTTTGCCTGACAATCACCAGCGCTGTCTTTGATGTTCTTGTGAAGCTGGCGATTCATGTCCTGCCGTGACTCACTGTCAAACCAAGGGAATCAAACCAAGGAACATAAGTTTGCGACAAATTGATGTGGTAGGAACGGGTAGGAATGGGAATGGCCTCAAGAGACTTTGATGATGTTGATGTCTTTGTATTTTTGTTCTGTTCTGCCGGTCCAATTCCTATATTATGAATCATACATGCAATCTGTACACTTCCTGAAAGACTCAAGCCTTAGCACCCTCGTCAAATACAGCAATCATTGGCAATGATTGACATCTTCTTTCCAATTGAATCAAAATGAATCAAACCACAACTTGTGAGCTTTCTGAACACAAAGAACGCAAGAGGGACCGGAAGCAGCTTTGAAAGGGCACCTGGCAGCGTCATCATGATCAAGGATTGGCTTATGTTACCATGCACACTTGGTGAGAGCAAAAAACGTACGCTTCTCTGGTTCAGGAACCGGGCCAAACAAAATGGTGTTTTATTGTCACTTGTCTTTTTCAAGCAAGGCATTGCAACCGCTTGCTTGTGTATTTCCTAGAAAATGGAATGCACCCACTCGAAGGCAACTGATATCAAATGACACACCAGTGCTCTTCTAAACGCAGTCGAGATGCTGTTCACATCATCAACAGATGATATTGTCGGGGGACGTTGTGGACCATGACTGGTCAGGAATGTCAAATGATGCCAAATGCAAAAGAATGCAACGATGCAGAAACTGTGAAGCCGAATATAAACCAAATAGAAACCGATGAAATCCGAAGCAGTCGCTGATTTGAGTCTGGTCCCAGCATCGATGCCTGTACAGCAAGGACGCCCAAAATGTCATCAATGCCATGGGGCCCACACCTCGGTCCAACATCTTCCGTTCGCGGAGTTTCTTCAGGGTGGAAATAATATGAAATTATGAAATAATGCGGTATCTCAACGGATTTCCATGGATTTCTTGCAGTGTAGATGGGTTATATTGACATATGTTGACATATCACAAAGATTCACAAAGCATGCAGGTAGCTGAAACCCTTCCTGTTCGCTGAACCTGTCAGATATCTGAGTTGTGTGCCCCAAACGAGGAAGCCGCCAGGAAGCTGTGGGAATCCGCCTGCCGAGTTCAGGGCTGCACACGGAAACTGTGGATATGCTTGGACTGCAACGGATTTCATGGACACGTTTAAGCATGAGGTCATCTTGAGGTAACGTGCTCAGCTGAGACACCCGCCATATTTGACACGTTTCGGACGAGTAACAGACTTTGCATAAGCAATGAGGCCATACCTCATCTCCGAACAGAAAAAATGAAGCTCTCAGTGTTATACGCAAGATTTGCTGAGCACAACTTTCAATTTGTTAGGCATAGGTTATCATGACTTGCTGAATTTCACGCTGGAATCTACAGCGCAAATCATTGTGGAGCGTGGCTGCCAAGGCAATTTTCAAGTCTTGCAAGAAAGGGAGCATGTCCGTAGACTTGTATGCCTATTGTGATGATTTTGTTTGATCAGGACACGCTTCTTGGTGATCTGAAAAGCTCATAAATATCACCAAGAAGCATGAAGTTGGTTCTGATTAAAGATGTCTTTGAAGCTGACCCGCACTGCTTCAGAAAGAGCAAAAGTATGCAGTGCCAAAGCAGGTCACGTGTTTTTTTTTCATTGCAAGCCTGACATCCGCGCTTAGGCTCTCGGCACACCACAATGGGCTGCCAGATGCGACTTGGAAAGGGCCCTTACAGCTTGTGCTGTGCAGCCCTAGATCTCCCCGTGCACTCAAGCACTCAGCCGAGCCTTCAAACTTGGCTGCAATGAACTTCTGCAAAGAAAGATACTTCATGAAATGCATCTGCCGCAGGCTTCCAAACATGATGAAAGAGGAGCGGAGCGTGGACTCCACCTGTAGGCATGCAGAAGGCATGCAGCAGGCATGCAGCAGGCATGCAGCAGGCATGCAGCAGGCATGCAGCATGCTCAGTCCAAAGGCGCCGTCACATTTTTGATTTGATATGAGTGTATATATTGTGATATAGGTTTTATTAAAATTATGTACTGTAGGCGATAATCCGTAATAATCCTGCTGGATTGGTTTGGCAGTCAGGAAAAAACCAGCCAAATACTCAAAGAGCAGTGTATATCCACCTGGTAACCCAGTGTACCCACGCCTTTTACGGACAGAGCTTTGATATCTGCTCCCAGGTTTTCCCATGTAGAGCCTTGGGAAGATCTTGGAGTGCTGAAAAGTTGGAGATAGAGAAAACATGAGTTTGAAACCAAGCATTCCAACGCATTTCCAAGGAGCAAAACTTTTCGATTTGACCACTCAGTATCTCATCCTGGTATCAGTAACAGGGATAAACTCTGGAAATATATCTTGACACTGCTTATGCACAACAAGCATACCCACATGCAAGAGTGCTGAAAGTAGTGCTCTGAAGCCGACACCGGCCGTCCTCTCCATAGACGACCATGATTGGTGGCAGATTGTCTAGGGAGCCAGTCACATGCAAAGGTGAAGCTTGCCAGTCATCATGATCTAAAGCTCCGCGGGCACTAGCGGCGCAAAACCCGACCAAGCTGATTGGCCTCAAGGAATGTGGTCTCCAGCTCTAGAAACGGAAAATCGATGAAAATCGCACAAATCCGCCCACTCAAGGTGGCAAGCATTAGGTTCAATCAAGCACGGCGTGGCTAGGGTGGTTTTTGCTCCAACGGTGATGTTTTCTCTTTGTGTGTGACGATGTGTGACGTGCATTTTTGTGGCTGAGATTGCTGAATGCACCTCCATGCGCGATCACTAAGAAATCTAAGAAGCTTTATATAAATAGGACAAAGATGGACAAAGCAGGTTTCCTCAGGTTCCCATAATGCGCCATATCGGTATTGCTGGCCCCTGAAGACACCTCTCGTGCAGTGTGTGTTCTCATGCATGCCAGATGGTGGGTACCTCTTCTCGAAAGATACTGTAACTGTACAGCCAGCAATTCTGCATATATGCTAAATCACCGAATGTGCAAAAGGCCCGAAAGCAGGCTACACAGAAGTGATTCCTGGCCAGCCAATATGTCCTGGAGTGATGTGGACAAATATCACTGCGTCAGAGATTAACAAACATTGGGAGGTTGGAACATGGTGCCCTTCAGGAACCTGATGTTGGCCAAGCCAACATCATTTCTCACCTGAACTGGTCAAACAGTGCTTGTTGTTGTCATGCATGCTTCTGGCGGCTCTGCTTATTACGAGTAGCTCCAACAATGTTCAAGATTGGACTGACATCCTGTCCTTCCATAGGTCTTCATACTGAAAACATTGCTAAATTCTCCATATGGCCTTCACAAAGAACAAATGAGCACAATAGATTAGATCCATTCAACCTGCGTGTGCAAGTAGAGTAGCTATCTAGTGTTGGTTAATTCATGTTAATTCCTTCCCGACCTGCAAGACACAATATTTTGCACAAGTTTGATTCTTAGCTTGCAAATGCAAGTCCATGCTCAAAACCCTTGCTGCTTCATCACACAAGCAGGAGGGATCTTAAGTCTCAGATCAACGAGTTCTCCCGTATCTAAACTGATTTCTTGATCTTCTTGCAAGGCTTTTTGCAAGGCTTGAGTAAATGGCAGAAAGTGACAAAGGACCCAAATCGATTGCACAGGAAAAGCAACAGAATAGTTCTCTAGTGTTTTCCACACAGATCCACGTGGCAGCTGATTGTTTTGGAGCCAAGTGATGCAAATTTATGGATGCCAAAGTAGTCTTGGGTCTTTCACAATCAAACAATGGTTCGGTTCACATTGCATTGCATGCTTATCCAGTTGGTTTTCATCCTTTGTGAGATGAGAATACCAGAGGGTGTCAATGAGGAAACCTTTGCAACTTATGAAAATCACAAGCCAGAACTCCGCGATTGTATGTGTCAATCACTGTCGTCAACTGGGGACAGGGCAAATAGTCATGCTGCTCGTTTTCCAAGGTGGCATGACGAAGCCCGTCAATGCCCAGGTCAGTCCACGGTGAAATCAGAATGCTACAGCGTGGCATTGGCAAATTGGTCTCCCGAAGTTTGCAAAGCATAGCAGCAGCAATGCCTCCACCTGCAGAATCCCCAGCGAGGATAATGTCAACTCCGGGAAGGGTCTCAAGTAAATAGCGATATGCCGCAACGGCATCCTCCATAGGAGCTGGAATTGGATGTTCTGGTGGCCGGCGATACTCCAGAACACACAAAGGAGCCTGCACAGCATGTCCAGCAAAGCCGAATGCGGCAAGTTGCAAAATTCTAAACCGGTTTCAGTTCATAATAAGTACCGCTTCACTTCTGGAAATGATGCAAGAAGTTTGTGTAAATGCATGCAAAGAGGGCAAAGAATGCAGTGCGTGTCCATATATGTCCATATACTGTAGACAAGTATGTGTATATAATTGTATATATATATACGGTATATATTACAGTATGTGTGTTGTCTATAGGATCTACACGTGTATAGGTATAGACTAGACTCGACCTATTTGCAAATAGACGGTCGCAAATGTGAACGCACATGCGAAGCAGCTTACGGATGCTGTTGACTGATGCGGTTCAAAACACCGACCCTGAACACTGGTGGACCAGTTCCACCATGTTCCACCTGTAAAGCACCAGACAAGCTGAAGGTGATGCCACGCAGTGATGCAGGAGTACAAAGCAAGTATGCACCGCCATGTAGATACAAGATAACTTTGTCAGGCGTTTTGGGACCCCATGGATGCTGAGGATGCTGAGGCGGAGAGGATCTTGCCACTCCCCAGCATGACATATCAATCCATGATGCAGTGCTGGGCTTTGGCAGCACCCACTCGATGCGCATTTCAACCTCTGTGAGGGGAAGGGATGGTTCATCTCGAATAAGCAGTCATAGCTGCACAATCAACTACACCAGGAAACTACTAAACATGTCTGTCTAAACATGTCTTAGCATATCTAAACATAAATTTGTTCGGAGACAGAAATGCTAGGTGCTTGCTCTAGGGACAGAGTCTGGAGGCAGCTTGACCACTTCAGGAACATAGCTGACATCCTTCCGTACGAGAGCTGTAGGAACGCTTCGGTCACATAACATTCGCAGGCCGTTGACAGAGTGTGGGGCATGACGCGCGCTGTTCCGCATAAGACCCACCAAAAACCTGCCAAATCAGGCAAAACACAAATGAATCAAATTGAGTGTAATGAGGAGTTACGTATTTGACAAGTGCAGCTTGATAAGGAACCATAAATAGAGAGGGTTCACTTTCTTAGCTAAAAGCGAGCTCGAAAATGATGGAAATGCTGTTTACAACGTCATGTTTTGATATGTTTTGCCGTTGTTCCACTTGCTTTTGAGTAATTAGCTGCATGAGTTTGCGAACAAACTCTTGCAGTCAAATCTGTTGCTCAGTTTGTGTCTGAGTCTAAGACTAAGATTTTGACACAACCACACACACAAGCCCAAGGCTTGCCTGTAGGTCAGGCTTCTGGAAGAGCTTCGGCGGCAAAGTGTTGGCATACGAAAGTCGGTGCACAAAACATCTTTCCATGGCATCGCTTCGACTTTGGGCGAAACTTTGTCAGAAGATACACCGAAGTTACCACAGGTTTCATCTCAGCGACCAGGGGGCTAAAATGGGCTAAAGCGGTTTCAAGATGTTTCAAGTCTACATAACCGGCTTCTGCAAAACCCATAAGAAGAGATAGGTTGGTGGACGTGCGGGACATTGCGGGACTGTGCAAATGCAGTGCTTGCAGTGATAGGGATGCCGATAGGCCAGGCCTCCAGGACTATCCCTATCCATTGCCTATCCTTGCTCTTAGATGCTCTTAGATGCTCTTAGATGCTCTTAGATGCTCTTAGATGCTCTTAGGGTTTTTGATTGCAGCTTGCCATAGCCAGCCAGGGCAAATTGACGTCTGTCCATCCACAGCGTGCAGGTGAAAGCAGCCACTAATGGCTTGTGTCTATGACTCATCACATTCCAATTACTACAGCAAGATGTATCAATATGTGTGCTTCTATCCACTTCACTTTCGTCAGATCCTCAACAGGCAAGCGAATAGATCCAAGGGCCGCACATCCCTACACCTACAGTGACTGCTTGCTCATCCGAAGAACACGGAAATATGAAAACAAAGCCACTTCGATTCCAACGGTAGTCAGCACCAGAGTGGCTACTCACAAGCGTTCAGGCTCTTGCCCAAGGAAAGTATTGCTACCTCAGCCCAGAGGGTTCAATCTTAAAGTTCAGTTAGTTGAGGAATCAAAAAAGGATACCGTTCTCTGTAGGCAGTTCTTCAAGTGCTGCCAAGAGACAATGCCAACTGGGGTCTCTGGAAATGTGGCACAAACTTCGGTGGTTGCCTGGAGCTCCAATAACAGCTCCTTTTTAATCGCCACATGCTTTGACATCCTTGGGCCTGTTTTGAATCCCAATACGTTTCGCACTGCGTGTGTGTGTGTGAGCAAAATCTCAAATTCTCCAGTTTTTTTCCGAACGGCGCTGAATGGCTGCAAGGAATCTCTGGGCCTTATTCCTGGCAGTGACCATATAGTAGACCTTGCGGCGCATGTACACGTGAGACAAACAATCAATCCCTCAGAGAATATAGAATTGTGTACTAACATGCATCTTTAATACTCTGTACTCTGTACATATTGTACCAAAAGTGTACCACATGATTAAGGAATCCGGAGCAGACTTGGTACCAATGCTTTTGGACACTGAGGCTAAAACCAGGCAAAGGGAAGCAGACCAAATGTGGCAAAGGACCTTAAATCCATGACAACCAGAAACAGCCCACTACAGGCACAGGAAACCCAAAGCAAAATGGACAGGTGTGAGACGAGTACTGAATTACCATTGGAACCAACCATACACGGAAGTTTCCAGAACACAAGTGTACACGAAAGAAGCGAGAAAGAAACAAGAAGAAAACAAAAAGGGAAAGAAACAAGAAGGAAACAAGAGAAGGAAATTTTGATTTACTGGTTTCTTAAGTGAATGAAGGACTGTCTGAGCGTGAATGAGTGAATCGTTGATCAAGGGCGTAAGTAAATGAGTGACTGAGATAGTGCGAATCTTCATGCAGCCGTGACAACACATTGATCTGTCTTTGGTGAATGACAATGCACGGAAAAAGAAACAGTGGCACCACTCAGGTATTGGTACCCAGCATTGCCTAGTTCTTCCATGATACCAACATGGGGGTAGTGACAGCCAGCCAAGGAAAAAGCACCCTAACGACAGCAGCTTAGGATCAAAATTGAAAACGCATCATACATTTTCAAATGTCTTCAAACCATTCTTCAAAGAAATGTTGGGGAAGGGTTTTTGCAACCCAAGAGCACAAAGCACAATGGCAGCCCACTGGAAGTGCCAACAGCAGCAACTCCAACTAGAAGCGAGCATGCAAGGCCACCCACAGCCGAAACACTTCAAAAAAATCAATCTGTCTAAAAAGGTGCCCCATTTGGTTACTTTTATTCTGGTAAATTCTGGTCATTTCTGGTCCATCTCGTGCGATGTGAGCTCGCTTTAACTCAGAAGTTTGTTTCTGAACATCCTCCGCAGACTGTCAGCAGACTTCCTCCCACCAATCAATGACTTATCTTCATTCAGACTTGCACGGAAGCACTTCTGTTCAGAGGTTCTGTTTTGCAGAGGCTGAGCCATGCGCCCAAGGTCGCACAATTGGTTCGAGGTATTTTGCCCAACGAACCAAGTCACTGGCGCAGCGCATTGGTCAAACCCGCCAAACAGACTTCGACTAACTTGATGATGTTCAAAAGATTTGAAGATTAAGTTGGCCCAGCAAGTCAAGGCATCTCAAGGCATCTCAAGGCATCGCAAGGTATCTCAAGGCCTTTTCTCACCCGAAGAATCATTGATCATGCGTATCGCAAAGAGCATGAGCCAAAACCCTGGCAGTAGAACCTCAAGCGCAGCTTCGTCTCAAGATGTCCTTTTTGAGATTGTTTTGTCAGCCAGGCTCCGAGCCATGGTCGTGATGGCGAAAAACATCAAGAACCTGCACGCGCTGCATGTTACATATTTGCTGTTTCAGGTCGCTTGAACAGTACAAGAGGCTAATTGCCTTTGACATCTTTGACTCTTGGGCATGTCAAAGTGCTTTGAGGCATCCATGGCATGCAACGCATCCTGCCTGCTGACTGACCCAATACTGAACCACAGATCAATGACAGAAGGGCTTATGGCGTGGATTGCCAGGCCTGGCATTCAGAGATGTGGAATCTGGAGACGCGTTTGAATTCTGGATGACGTCGTGTTACATTGTAATGAACTAATTACAGATGTTGGAGAGTTCGTCCACGAGAATCTGAGAATAGCTTCTTTTTGGCTCTCTATCTGATGAAGCCGCATTCCCTGATCTTGCCAGTGAAGCAGCCAGTTTCGGATTGAAACCAGGCTTAGGCAAAGGGGGGCTTAGGCAGTCAGAGCCAGGGCAGATGGAGATCACAAAATGTGTGATCTCCTCAAATCCACCACTGGTTTAAGAAGCCTTGTGATTGACCTCAAGCGACCTCGACCATTCAAAGACAGTTTTTTTCCACAGCAAGTCGAACTAAAGCACCGCCAAAGAATAACAGTTATATTGGTTGCAATGTATTGAACTCTGATTCAGTGCAAAATTGCAAAGACCAAGCAATGCTGACAAATTCAGATCCAAATATCAAGCATTAAAACATATTAAAACTCTGCAACAAACAACTCAGGCGGTTTTGCTCGCAACTTGAAATTCTGCGGCTGTCACTGCCCTTCCAGGTTGTCTTGGTATCTTTTCCTGCGGCCATCTTTGCCGAGAGCCTGCATGATGAGCTTTCGGGCCTTGGATGTCAACAACCGCTGCTGCTACTCCCGCGACAACCACGAAGACAAGCGGGCCTAGTGCTGCAAAGCCACAGCATCACCACCAAACCCCTTGTTGCGAGACCCTTCGTCCATATCAGCAGCGTTGACAACCTGAAACATCAAGTCTATTTCAAGTTTCTCATCCTTACTTGAGTTTGCCTTTTCTAAACCTCTTCAAATTCGGCTGAAGAAATCCTCTTTGATGATGTAGATGTCTGCCATTGTCTGTCACCAACTGTACCAGTCCGCTAGGTTCCGAACCAAAGGCTGCTCAGAAATACCAGGAAGCAGCTCCGAGCTATGGGGTACAACCTCTGGCTCGGTATACCTTGTCTGTTCTTGATGTTCTTGGGCAATGCGGCAATTCATTAAACAAATAACATCAAATAACCACGAATCTTACGAAAGCACTCTTCAAAACGCATGTCAAGTTGCTGAGCAGAAATGCAATGCGACTCTTCCACATCTGGAAGGCCCTCAATTGGAGATGCTACCTGTACCATGCACAGAAAGATAACACATGCTGCAGCAACCAGTTGTAGCATGTCGTAGCAGGATTTGCAAGTGGAATGCACCTCACGGTTGGCACCGCCCCCTTGCCAGCCCTCCAAGGCGCCAAAAAGGTATCTGCACAGTGTCAGCGTGCTCACGTTGATGAAGGAAAATGCTCAAAATAACTCAAACACAAAACGCGTGTTCCATCCTTTTACCAGGTAGCACCTTTATTCAAGAATGCACTCCGACTGTTTTGGATTACAGAATCTTGCACAGCAAGAAAGTCTATAAAAACATATCCCAAGCTACACCAGCTGCACAGCATCCTCTTTCTTTGAAAACAACCTCCGACAGAACACCAGAAACTGGGATAACTTCGCCTGTCTCGTACATTCCTTAGTTGGCAGCATGAGGCTCATGAGAGCATAAGGCCTTTCCATTGGATTTCTGTATGGCATAAGGATTTCTCTCAAAGGCATCCTTCAAGGCTCACCACGCAGTCCATGCAGGCAAGATTCTGCTTTAGGCCTGCGTGGCCTGCCTCAAAGGCAGCCTGTGCCAGCTGAACTGCATGGAAAAGCGCCTGAGTTTCACAACGATTCGATCCTCATTAAAGTCCAGGGAGATTACACTGATTACACACATACACGTCTAGTGTCCGTACGTATCCGTATGTGTCCGTCTTCAACAAATCCTGTCGATGCACAGTACATTGAAAGAGAGTGGCCTTTGGCTTTCTGGATCTGTTTGCATGAGATTAATGAATTCTGATTGCTAGCAAACGATACTGATATGTACTGATATTATGTACTGATAATATTCTAGCAGAAGAGACAATAGTACTCCGATATAGCTTGCTAGTGGCACAGGATCAAAGCCAACCACTCGAGAACGGGCGAAGAACACTGGCAGAACAGTGCAAAGGGAGCCGACCACAGATTCGGGAAGCAAGTAGTTAAAGGAAATGGCCGGCACAGGAGGGCACAGGAGCAGGACAAGGATACTTGGCTCAGTACAGCGGCAGTTTTAGTCTTGTGTAGACACATTCTCTGCAAACGTCAGCGTTTCACTGCTTCAGTTGAGGTCTTGGCTTTGTCCTGCTTGTGTCCAAAGACAAGAATCTCTCCGTGGCGATTTCGCATCTGGCAAGCCGGCACAAATCGCTGCAGCTTGGAATGTCGTTCCTACAGATCTCCACGGAAATCGAAGTTCATTAAGTTCAATAAGTTCAACACAATGTGCTCCGCAGATCTGCAGAATATCTGCAGAATGGTACAGATTGTCAATGATTGTCACATGGAGATGCTGCATCCGTCACAAGCTTGTGCCTTCTCATGAAGCTTCAGCCGTGCCAACAAAGGTGCAAGGATGCGGAGAAGACGAGGTTCGTCGATGAAGGGCAAAAGCACGACAGCCTTGCTGTGTTGCGGGAATCGCTCCAGCTAATATCCAACTTCTTTTCCAAGACCCAAAAAGAATCAAACTAATATCCAAAGAAAGGGATCATAGGAATCATGGAGAACCATGAGGAACCACTAAGATACCTTAAAGTCCCAACCCAGTGCTGCTCCTGCCAAGTAAAACGCTTGCCATTCAAGTCCAGGCCGAAGTCCACAGGATAGAAATCAATCAGCCTAAGATGAGTCAATTTAGCCTGTTGCAGGCGCTTCAATCTCAGTCCTAGAGTCTAGAGTCTGTTAGAGTTTCATTTGGAGTTTCAAGGCATTGCCAAAACATAAAAAGAGCATCGGAGAAAAGCTTTGCTTCATGAGCTCGCGCATTGCCGCTGGAATGCCGGCCTCAGCTGAACCAAGAAAGTGCTGCCCATTCCTGCCATCCGTTGGTCGGTGTCAGCAGCTTCGTTGTGCCAAGCTGCTTCTTCTGCACTGACAGGAGGCAACACACTCATCAGCTGCTGGAAAGGTTGGAACGGTTGTCCAGGCCTCAGATAAGGTAGGAGGTTGGTGCAGGAACAAGACTTGTCTCATTAAGAGCTTAAAGTAGTGTTGAACCATTGAGCCTCTCATGCAAATGCCAAGCCAAGACACTGGAAATAATTGATCTCTCCGCACTTCAGGTTGCCACAGCCAATCAAGTCTGAAGCAAATGGCCTCAGATCTGAAAGGTCTGAAGTCTCTGAAAGTAAAGCAAAGTGAATCGCAAACCAGATGGTCTCCTGCAACACCCATCGGCCCACGGGTCTCCAGCGCATAATGGTATGGATAGAACCAAGTCCACGAAGGGCAGCCCTGACAAAAGGATACAAAAGGAGCAACAGTGTCACAATCGCAAGTCGATGCTTGCGTAGGCCCTGCCTGGTAGTAGTACACTAAGACCCAGCACAAACCTTCCACGTAAGCCTTTCGGATGCGCTGCAGGAAGTCCACAAGGTCATCCTGCCAAGAGACATGACAATGACGCTGCCTATGCACCGAGACCTGCTTGAAGTGAATTGGTGAAGCATCTGTGGCAACTCCGTTTCCGCTCCTGTTTGACCTTGAACTTCTCAAAATAGTATCGCCTAAATAAATCTAAATAATTGGTCTCTGGAACATGCTCCGAAACAGATCAGCATCATCTGATAACTCCAGCACCATGGGACTTGACTCTGGACAGGTCCAGAGTCTCTCTCCATCTCTCTCCCAATGCAAAAAGCGTGACAAAAATGACAAGGGGCTGCTTCCAATGCGGTCCCTCTCCAAGCCGGACTGTGTCTGCCATGGCTTCCCCCAAGTCTTGGCGGTTGTTCAGTCGCTCTCGGAGAGCCTGCAGAAGGACAATGCCAACAAAAAAATTGCGGCTTCAAGTATATAATCAAAATGCATTTATATTATGATGTGTGTGTGTGTGTTTGTATTTGTAGAACATTGCAGTAGAATGTACTACATTTCTACAGAGAGAGTGAGGTGTGAGGTGTGAGGTGGGAGGTGGGGAGGTGTGGAGGTGTGGAGGTGTGTGGAGGTGTGTAGAGGTGTGTAGGGGTGTGTAGGGGTGTGTAGGGGTGTGTAGGGATGTGTAGGTGTGTAGGGCCGGGTGTGTTATAGGGTGTGTTATAGGGTGTGTTATAGGGTGTGTTATAGGGTGTGTTATAGGGTGTGTTATAGGGTGTGTTATTGGGTGTGTTATAGGGTGTGTTATAGGGTGTGTATAGGATGTGTATAGGGTGTGTATAGGGTGTGTAGGGGTGTAGGTGTAAGTGTGTGTGTGTCTCTACAGTACAGAATATATATATATATATATGTTTTTACACATACAATGTACAGTATGTGGTTGCTGAGTTGTTGATCATAATTCTTTCATACGGAAATTGCCGTTCTTCGCGGAATACAAAGTTATTGTCGAGAAACTTTTGCAAACTCCAAGTTCATCTTTCGCCGGACCCATGTGGAGCAACAACGTCTTGTATGAAAACTAGAATAAGTTACTGTACCTGCCGGTTTATGATTACTTCATGATAGCAGGGTTGCTTGGCCATCCCCTCCAAATGCACTTTCAAACTCCTTCGGGTGACTTTCCCACAACTTTTGGAAAGAAGGGTAGGGTATATGTTGCTATGATGGTTTCTGTATGTGTATATATATATGTATGTATGTATATGTATGTGTATATATATATATATGTATATACGTGTATATATATATATTCGATGATGATTCATGATATGTAATTTTGGCATGCGTTCCCATTATTTTTCAGTAAATAATATGTCCCTTTTGCAAAATCGACGAAACTACTTTCGCGAGGGAAGTTGATAGAAGATGAAAAAGAATGCAAATGATCACCGCAATGATGATGGTATATACCCATGATTACTCATGTATGTCTTGAATGTCGAAGATAGACACTTGAACGCTCTCGACACCGCCATTCAATGCCACGTGCAGGTAGCAACACCGACCTATAATTCACAACTCTCCCATCGCATCAAATGCATCTGCAAATCGTTCCACCATGTTTCAACATTGAATCTGGAGAGTTGCACAAGCTCTAATTCAACAGATTCATACAGATTCCCAATCCCGCTCCAGATGGAACTCACGGTCGACAACTTTGCCAGACTTCGCCTGTCAGTCTTTCCACGAATGTCTATCATTGCCCCATGTCATTTGGGCTTCAACTAATAACCGGCAAATCAAATCGTGCAAAACCATGCAAAGACTACGACGTGCTCGCGCCAATCCTTCGTCTCCTTGGGCTTGGGTGGTTCAAGAGTTGAGTCCTTGCCAGGATCATATTCTGATAGTCATGACAGTCATATGACAGTCATGACCTTGAAAACTATTCACTTCAAGTATCTTCAAGTGGCATCTACCGAGCATTAAGCGGGCATAGCGGCACGACGTGACAATGTGGTATATACTGACACGATCTGACACGTCTAACACACTTTGAAAAGCTTTGAAAGCTGGTGAGCCATGGTGAGCCGGCAACTCCAACTCTGTCTCCTGGCGCGCTCGTTTGGCAGGCGGCTCTTGACTGTCCAGGTTCTCAAAATCCATCGAAAAACTTTGGGCCTCGATCACGTCAGAATACTTCAGTGTTTGTCCTTTTGCTGATCTTGGCTTTCTCCTAGCAGGTCCTAGCATCTCATAATATCTCATAGCCGCATATCTGCGCACTGTATTGCAATCTGTCAATGTTACAGCACATCTTACAGGGTTCAACTTCGTTTCTGAGAGCTCGGCCAGGAGCTGTGCATGCCAGGCACTTGTGTCGGATGCCTCCTCCTTTGGTGCCATGAAGGAGCTGTTGCTGGATCCTTCCAAATTTTGCCAGCGCAGAAATGAGAAAAATATTGAATTGAAAGTGGCTTCACACAAGATTTCAGCAACTGCTCACAGGAAATATGGACATAACATATCTTAAACTCCAATCCCAACACACTATGAAGTTCTGAAGATCTCTGCAATCAAACGAGGCCTCCGAAGGCAAGGCTGCCACCCATCTGCTCAGCACCGGATGGTTCCAAGCTGACCTGCATCGGTGCGAACGTCTGGCATCTGGAAGACCATAGGCTTGGTATAGACTCGACGCATTCTCTCAAAATCTCTCAAACAACGTAACGTGTTGAAGGTGTTGAAGGTACCGAATAGGTTGAAATGTATTCGACCTCTTCTTTTGTAGCTTTTGCCCTTTCTGCTTCCTTTTCAGCGCGCATCTTGGACTCTCTGTCCAGCCGATGCTTGAAGACCTGCGGGTTCTGCCAGCAGATTACCGAAACTTTGTCACGATAGATGGCTTGAATTCCCACTTTTCTAGTGTGGACCGGTGTGTTTGGGTTCCGCGCCTGATCCTCGATGCCACCCAAATACTCAAGGAATTGTTCCACTTGCATCAAATTGGTGCGCCCACAGTCTGTCAAGTAGTCTTCCAACGATGGTAAGATTTCAACCTCATCCAGAGAAACATCAAAAGAGAAGCAAGCTTCATTCTGCAAGCGGCGCAATCCTGAAAGTGCAACAAACACGAAGCAAGGTACAGAATTACGTACCAACCGCATACCAACCGCTTAAAGGTCGGCCAGGATGCATACAGGGCCATCATTTGATCAATGCTTCCATCTCGGATGCTGAGGGAAGGCAAATGTGGAAGGAAGTCATTGCCCACAAAGAAGCACATGAAGACCTTGGATGAGACTTGATGAGACAAAGGATGAGACAAAGACTACAGCGCCTGAACAATCTGAACACTCGAACCTAAGTAGCTCAACTGAACCAAGTTGGAAGTCTTCTTGTTGCTGCGATTGTGATTGCTTACTTCTGTGTTCTCTTGCATTATTGTCTAAGTGGAGCACGAAGTCATCCACACACCTGCAAGACTTCAAGATCTTCCAGTGGAAAGGAAGCGGAACCAACATGAACCAACCCTAGTGGTTTCTGTCTTGAACAGTTCAGCAGGAGCCCACGGGAGTCTACAGTGCACCTCTCGAAGTTGTATGGCAAAGTGGGCGGCATGCGTTCGACAAGCTCTGTAAACTGGAGTTGCAAGTACTGACCTCTGTACACAGACTCGCTCCATGGACCAAAAGACCAAAAGAGCACACGGAGCAGCCGTGTAGACACAGGTGCAGGTTCAGCAAATTTAGGCAGCTCCAATTTAGGTGACTGTCCAACCCAGGCTCGCGCGCAAGACTGGAAGAGACACGATTTGGAAGGGTTTCCTTACACACTTGCCACGAAAGAATCAACTGCATGGAGACTGCACGGGTTGTAGGCGAACCCTGTCGTGTATATATTGTCACGTCGTCTCAAAAGTGTCTCAGATGCACCTAGCTTCTGGATTGCCATGCTGTCTTCTGCATCATCGCCCTCACCAGTGCACTCGGATGCTACATGTCCGGTGCCTGGCGAGACTGAAGACAGAACACCATCAACATCCCTTACTCGAACAGTTATTGGAAAAAAGCATTGGTCAACGGACTGACGCATTCTAACGTTGGGGTCTGCGATCCGGCCTCCGCAAAGTGTACACTTCTTTTCTGATTTTGGGATGATCACTTCTCGAAGGATAGAGAAATGTGCCTCTCGACAGTCACATCACCAGTCTACCGTCGCAAGTGCAGTGATATGTGCCGTATGGCGATATGCAGTGTATATCCGTATATGCAATAATGATTCAATAATGATTCAATAATGGCCTTTCGGTAAGAATCAAAGTGGCTCCATGCGCCACTGCGCCGCCTCGTGTGTGGCCAAGCCAAGCATGATCAGATCCGCGTCAGCTCCATAGAGGCAATGCCTTCCAATATGCACAATTTGCAGTGAACCAAGAGGAGAATATAGGAGAATCGTACATGTTAGTTATATAACTGTTAGTAGTTGTTCAGGTTCGATTGGAATCAATGGATTTGGTTGCTATAGGATAGGTATCTAAGATATCTAAGTACACAGATATGTTCGATTCTGAAAACAAAGTAATTACACCGGACGATTCAAACTGCTTCCATGACTCAGACACCATCAATGAGTTTGCAGTCCACCTGGTGTTTGGGTCGTAGTCTGGTTGGGCACGCTGCAAGCGGATGAATGTCATAATCTTGTGCTCACCCTCGCCTCGCATTCGCTGGAGTTGATGTTTATGCAATGTGTCAGGTTTTGACACATAGTGTTGACCACACAGAGTTGACTAGATGCAGCAAAGGCTCTTGGAACGTTAGCCTTGGAGCTACATACGCTACATGACAGGTCTGCTCTGCCCAGGTGCCGAAGAATTCATCCAAGCAGCGTCAGAAAGAAGAACGCGGAACTTAAGCTTCTGCCATAGGGGATCGTTGGTTGTGCCTTGAATGTCACGAGCTGTTCTGGGATGACTATACGGTAACCGTATAGTCCTTCCGGTCTTCGGCTCTGTGACATCCTGATGGGATATTCATCCCAATTTACTTAAGATTGGCACGGTCATGGATGTAATATCGGATTGCCTCCCCAGAATTGGAGCGAAGTCAGCCCAAAAAAAGTAATTATAGAAAGGTAATGTCCAAAGTGACTTCCTTTTGCTGGTGCGGACAGCCATTCTGAAACACTCATGCTGGCCTCTGACATCTTGTGCAGGAAATTGGTCCCAGGAGTAATGACCTTACATCCAAAGCATCCACAAGCAGGCTTCAGGACACCTATTTTGCCATCAACCACTGCTCACTTGCTGAGCTGCAAGCATTGGAATCAAATACCTTGCCTGAAGTTCGGTTGGGCAATGTACGACCTTCTGCCTGCAACAATTTTGCGGAACTTGAAGCGACTTAAAAATGAAGAGAAGCTGCTGAAAAACTCAGAGCCTCCCAATCCTGCCGAAGCTTCTCCTGTTCTCTCTCCATCTCTTCTCGCTCCTGAATGAATGGAGAAATGCACTCCTCCACAAGAGCACCTGCAACCTGCAAAATAATCCCACCTGTGCAGCTCGGAACCGCCGAGCACGCTGCTGGTTCATCTTGGCTCCTCCAGCAAACATGGTTCAAACCAGGACGAATATCCCTTGAAAGCCATCCTTTGTCAAATGACTGACACCGTTTCCAGCAGTAGTTTATAGAGTCTAAGGAGAGTGCGAGGTGCCACACCGTCAATGGCCATGTAGACAAGTCGCTTGGGCCTCGCCGTTCGTGTGAGTGCCACACTCATGCCAGTGTTGATTGAAAGTTTCAAGGTCATGAAATGAAGCCTCACTATTCTGAAGAGTCTGTCCAAGTAGAGGAAAATGTTCTCATACCTCGATTGCTGGATGCAGACCAAACGGTGCCCGTGGCATTGAATTTGTTGACTAAATATCCCTTCGTACCTGCTCACAAGCTGTGAAGCAGTTGTCAAGATACATGTGTTCCTCGTCCACTGGCGCGGGACCATCTTCTGGATGGCAGCACGGGTGAATAATTCCTGCACCATGTCCATCAATGTTGGGTCAGTTCTCACTTTGCAGAGTGCTTGGGTGAATGCATTGTCTTTGCAGTGGACCATGCTGCCAGCCATTGCCGAGCGGCCGTTCATGTCCAAATACAGGTTGTCAAAGTCACCATTGGGAGCCTGGGTACGAAACACATACACTCTGTGTGAAGCCTTTGCAACATGTAGGATCATGTAGGTATGTTCTAAAGTTCTTAGCGGTCCAGTTCATACTGGTCTGTCTGCACTCACCCATACCGTTTGCATCCTTCGTCTTAGGCTGCGGCATCTTCATCTAAGTCCACTGGTACCATGCGACCGTCCATCTCCACTGGCTCCCTCTCGATTGTATCTCGAATCACTTTTGGGTACCGGACGCAGATCCATCCTAAGTCCGCTGCAGCTGAAATGTGTTTAAAAAAAACGATGAAAATGGATGAACATTTATGTCTTAAAATGTCAGAGGTGTTCCAAGAGTTCGTGCGCCTTCAGACAAACCAACAGAATTCAGGGGCTGGTTTGGACTTTCACACACACCATGTTCATTCTATTGATGCAAGACATGTCATGTATTTTTGATTATTTTTGCTTCAAACCATGGCAGCCAGAACACTGAAGAACGTCGGAACCCCCATGGCGTAGGGAGACGGCTGAGCAAATTGGCGAGACTCTGAGCCCCAGGTCCGGCCAGACTTTTTGTAGCACTATGGAGTACGTGTTCCTTCCAAACAGCTAATCTGCGAACTGCTCGCTCTACCTATCTTTTAAAAGATCAAGGCAACTCTGCCAATACTTTAACTTGTTATTTAGTTTCTAGCGCAGGTGTCAGGTGACAAAAGTGGTTGGCGCAAAGGAGTCACTGAAGCGGAAGGAATGTGTGAAGTTCATCTTGCACTTCTAATTTTGACTGATATTCATGTTCCATTTGTTTCCAGCTTGGGGCCAATATCACAGCCAGCGGTCGAACAACTAACCGGATTTTCAACTGTATCAAGCAAGACAGAAAAAAACAGTGCATAGAAAAGAATGGCTAAATATAGAGACTCTGGAATACAAATGTCAATTTTTGCAACAGGCCTGAGAGCCTGTACTGCATGTTGAGGAAAGTTTGCGTCAGAGCAAGGTAAGCTGTTGCAACCTTAGGGTCACAGGATGTCACGGGGATGTCATAGGAGTGTCACAGGGATGTCACGGGTGGGCCGTTTGATACTTAGGTCAGCAGCTGAGCCAAGCACCACCACACAGGCGCCTACAATGCAAGCAGCCACCTGCAAATTAAGCAAATTTGAGTTGCGCACGGAACTCATCACAGTAACATACAGCAACACTTCGTGAAGCGTAAAGAAATTTTGTGCCTCAAACGGCCTTTTAGTACAAACGTCACCCCCATCCGAAGCCTGCACGGTTGCATGCTCAGCTACGCAGGCAAAATCGAAGTCCATCTGTATGACATGCGGTAAGACGCAATTTTAACAACATGTCGCACAACATGTCCATTTTGACACACTGCGGTGGCACTCTGTTAAATGATGCCACCATCCCTCCCCACAGCTTCACTCGTTTTAGATGGCCGAGAGTGCGTCGCAGCAAAAAATGTTGGATGGCAGTCAGCTGCGATCTGTGCAGTTGCAACTTACTTGAACCGCATTTTCCACCCTCCTTGCTCTGCGCGATTCCCAGACACTTTGTGCAGCTCACCACCGCATTGTCTTCCTCGGAAAACTTGTAGGAGGAGCAGTAGCAATGCCAGCCGCAGATGGTTCTCCAGTGCGCTGCTGGGGCATAGAGCAAAACTCTCTTGTTGATGCGCGTCATCTGATGTCTGTGTGAGGCCACAAACTTTGGGAGGAATCTCTGTGATGATTCCATCCTTGACTTGAGGCCTTCAACAGCGTCGTTGAAGTCTTTTAACAAAATCTTCGTGCCATTCTTGAGCTTGCTGATGTCCGCTTTGATTTGAGCAATTATCTTCTCGTTGTCGACCTTGACGGGTGGGTTAAGGTCTGGCTTTAGAAGGTTAGACAACGGCTGGACGTTGTCTGCCACTGGGCCTTCCGGAGGTTTTCCAAACTTGCCGGGAGTGTTGGCTGCGATGGTCTCCAACGCTTCCTCGGCGTATTGCAAAATCACATGATTTCCAACCTTGCCGTATGCATTGCAACGCCCCGGATCTACGGGTTGAATGGCCAGTGACCTTCATGTCGAAGAGCACGACCCAGTCATTGACCAAATCAGTCTTTGATGCAAGCTTGCCTGACTCGTCCAGTGTGAAATGTCCACCCGGTGCCCCTTTCAGGGTGGTGGTGTTGAGGAATACTTCGGCAACCGCAAAGGGGCAGTCAATGCCACACTGAGCAGGGCAGATGCATTGTAGTGACCTCGAAACGGAGATGCCCTCCTGGTCCATCTTCGATTCTTTCCAAGTGACCATGACGAGCCTCAACTTGTGGTCCAGCTTTATGGCCTTCGTGGTGGTGAAAGCGGCCAATTCGATCTCTCTCATCATGAACAGCACACCAAAGGCGAAGAGTTGGGGAGATAGTGTGAGCTTGAGGTGAGCTGCCAGTAGTTTGGCATGCTTGGCTCTACCCACTATCAGGCCGTGGCCTCCTTCGCACGTGCAACTCCTCTCAAGTACTGGAATGTCAGGCTCGTAGTTGCACGTGTTGAACATTGCGAAGTTGGTTGCATCAAGTGTCAAGAAGGCCCCCATCTCCGGCAGCTCCCATGCGCTCAGATGCCCTTCTTGGGAAGACGGCGGAGGGTTCTCCAGCGTGGCGCTGGCCTTCACTCTGGCTTCGCCCTTTCTCTCTGCCACCGCTCTTGCCAGATCGATTGAACGTTCAAGCTCCGTGTTTTCCTTCTTTCCGTAGGGCTCGTCCATGGTGCGTACAGGTCGTGGCAATTCCATCTGCCGGTGTGAACCTGAGCTTCGAAAAGGTTGTGCGAGGAAAACCTGAATGATAGGCGTCGATGTAGCCGTTGTGAGCCCAGCCAAGATGCGTAGAGTAGGGCTCATCCTGAAGTAAGTCCCCAGTCCCACTGGACTTCTCCACACTGCAGCTACCGATAGAGGATCATTGGGACTCGGACCTGCAAAGTGATGAAAGAAAATGAAAACCCTCTTGCCATAGTACTCTTCCAAAGTGTCTGCATGTAGAGGGTCTGTGTCTTCATCCCCTGCATGGGCCCGGGGTGTCTTTGAAGCACAGCTTTGCCCCGGCGATAACGATGCACAGGGTCCGTTTCCATTGTTCCAGCCAAAGCATATAGTTGCTTTGCCTGATCTTTGGCTTTCCCCTTTCCCTTCGTGCCCCCGTCCTTGGCGCGGAATTTCCTCAGCTCCTCCCTTTCTGAAGCAGCTCTCTTCTTACTTGCCTCCCTTCTGAGCTTCGATGCGCTCGGGGTCGATGATGCAGTCGCCGTCGATGCCGTGGCTTCCACACTCGGTTGAAGGACCCCTCCCATCATGGCTGTTGTTCTGCAGGTGTTTTTGAGGGACCTTTTGACCCCGCTGCAATCGATGCCAGGGGGGTCCATGAACTTGTTCTTGCCAAAACTGTTCGTCGGCGACCAGAAGTTTGTAGACCGTGTCCCGTGGTTTTTCTGGGCCCCATCCATCTGGAGCCATCTTGCCCTTCTTGATGTCCATGAGGATGCGGGATCTCGTCAGATTCGAATGAGCTGACCTCGCAAGATCGTCTGCTGAGTACACCAGGTGCCATGCTGAAGCGTAGAATCTCGTCAGCTTTCCTATGCGCATGTCGTAGAGGTGAATGTTGGCTTATGAGACAGCATGAGAAGTGCTGAGCGGAGCACTCGAAAGCAGGCACGCCATTGGACAAAACTTGAAGGGCCCGGCAACTCTTTTGCTGTGTACCCATCTGGGGAAAGAATGAAGGTACAATAGCGGCTTGCTCTTAGGGCTCAGTGTCCATAAGGGATGAAACCCCAAAATCTGTGTATGGAGCAGCGTCCTGGGTTCGAATCCTTCGTGCCAAGCTCTAAGCGTGGCTCTTCTTCGCCTGGAGGTAGTCCTCCTGTGGATTACCTGCATTTTTCTAGCCAGCCTGCACGAGTGTCCTCCGTCTCCACGCAGAACTCGCCATCGTCGCCCTGGTCCAACACCTGTGACACCTTCAGCTTCCTTTCCAAGGTTGGTGTCCCCGCCGAACTTTGTGGAGTGGTGTTTGGTTGAGGTCCCTGGTCTCCAAACAGGTTCTCCTCGGTCCAAGACTCCCATGGTCCACCGTCCCGAACGTGAAGAATCCTCCTCGCCAAATTGTAGACCAACCCTACATGGGCTGCTTGGATGGCAGTCAGGCGCGTCCCATCGGGTAGTTGCGCTCTTTGCAGAGAAGCTGTCAGGACTGCCGCTGGCAAGACCGCGAGGAGACGGATGTCTTGTCCTGGATCTCCCGCACAGTCGGTGAAGGCTCCCCAAACGTCTTCCTCCAATTTGTAGTGGGCCTTCAGGTCGTTGAGCGACTGCATTTGCATCGCCACCGCATGCGCGAGAAACATCGGAAAAAGGCGTCAGCAGCACCCAAATCAAAAACTGAATCATGGTGCTACTGTCAGATCTTGAGCCAAAATGGCCCGACAGTGGCACCTTTCGTTTTGTCATGCAGAAAACTTTGTTTTCTTTTACTACAATCTGCGGCATGCGTATCTTATCTGTGCCTCAGAGAGCTCGTCCGAGTCGTCATCACCTTTCACTGGCCACCAAGGCGGTTTACAGAATAATGCGCTTCAAAATAATTCTGCGAATCGTATTAGTAATATTAGCGAAGAATGCACATTTTGTGGGTTGCAACTCGCTCGGATTTGGGCTATGGCATGTCGTTGGGTCTAGAAGCTTGTGGATCCGTCTGAAAGAGATCAGATTGCTCAATGTACGACCATGCAACCCAAGGAGAAGCTTCACATGTGCAAAAATGGGGTCATTAATGCTCAGCATGCACGTTCGTTGATTATAAATATGTTGAATGTGTGTTTTTTCTGATCATGTTTCATCTTTTGCACGGGCAACTATTCGCTTCAAATGAAGCCATCAGGTAGGTCCTGACCCAGGCCAACATGTCAGCTTCCTTGCCCAATAAATATGCTGTGACACAGGGAGTGTTTCATAGAGGCTTTGCAGAGTGGTGTTATCCAGGGAACGCGATAAACCGGACTAGCTTTTGCTTTGCTTACTTGCATTTGGAAGGTCTGCTGGGACTTAGAGACGCGCGACCAAAGAAATGTCCAGCATGTCACACACGTCCACTCCCATTTTGAGCTTGAGGCTAGTTTTTTTTGCACACAGCTTGTGGCGACGTACGGTCAGCACCCTTTTAAAAAAGAAAAGAAAGGCATTGCAAAGGAGCAACCAGAGAAGCCTGAAAGACAAGCGATTGTTGCTGCAAACGTTTGCAGGCAGAGCAAATTATTTTTGAACTAGAAAAGATTGAAAAAGTACAAGCGGAGCACTTCTCCAAAAGCAAGGTGCCACTTTGGCAGCTTCTGCAACTGTGAAAGGGATGCAGAAAAAGGAACCAAAATGCAGTTGCAAGAGAGAAGCCATGTATGCCCGCAGCATTCTATGAAAACTCCACAACTGACAGTTCTGGCAATCCTCAATGAGGAACTGACCGTTTCCATTCCCGTTGCCAGTCGCATGTTGCTTGTACCTCTGCAGCAAACTTCTGCAGCTGCCAGCTGTCCAAAGTCATGGTATGCCGTAGGCCTTCACCAGGCGCTCAAATGTTGGTCTGGCGGGCGCACTTGGCCATGAGCGCTCGTGCTGAATCACCATCTTTGTGGACCCTGCAAAATCTCACTCGAATCACTCTGCGGTGCTGTGGTTAACAAGCATCAAGCTGCGGACACTTCACACTACTTCACAATGCAAGCTACGTAGCAAAACCCTCCTGCAAGGTACTTGCGCATTGAATAGCCACATAAACAGACTACTGTGGCCCATCCAGTCGAAGATGTCAGGAGATTTGTTTGCTGCTGTCAATGCTTTGTAAGCAATTTCGAGAACGTCAAAGTCATTCAAGAACTGCAACTTGGGGAGCCAACCCATTGCTTCCATTGCTTCCGTGGCTCCCGGGTGCCGATTGCAATCCCTTCTCGCAAATGGACTGCAGGGAGGGGAGGAAACACACTGCACTTCTGCTCTTTCTTCCTCATTGTGCCTTAACGGAAGCCTTTGAGTGGGTGTCATGTAATTCACGAATATCTAATTGGGACAGAAAGCAACCCAAGTAACAAGAATCGAATTGAATGAATTGATGACTGCAATCACTTCAACGAGCAGCCTCGCATGGCAGAGCCTCCTCCGCTGCTGCATATTTCCCAGGGTCCTGTGCCAGGCTCAAGCCGTTTGGCATCGTATCTCAGTTCGGGACTGTGATTTCGTTCTTGCGTCTGTCCTCTTCACTTGGCTGGACCTGGTCACGTGACAATTTGACAATCACACAACTGAGACGCTACTGATGATGCTGGCAGAGTGCGAGTAAACTTGAAGCACTGAGGACTGCACTGACCATGCCAGAAGGATTGCGCTCATACAATACCTAGAAATGGAAAGAGGTGCACCATTGCTTGCGACTCTGTAGGTACCAATCCCTCCTACCCAGAAGGGCTAACAAAATCGAACAAATCTGTTCGCAAATCTCTTCTTTTCACGACAAATTGGCACATTTGACGGACCAAGGAAGCCGGCAGACAAGCTCCAGGGGCACGCGATGAAATACCAGTAGCCGTGGGTGAACCACCCCTGAAGAAGCCGTTCATATCTAAAACAGAAAGTCTAAAAATAAATCGGAAACTTGAAAAAATCCAGTTGATCGATGCTTCCAACTTCCTGTCAAGGTCAGTGGCTGGTCAGTGCTGAGCTGTTCACCCCGAAGAGCGTGTCCCCAGGACCAGGCATGTTGGCTATACCCACGATAAGCCTCTAGGTATTCCAATGGGCTCTGCTGCCAGCTTTTCACTCAACAAGTACATCCAGATGCAAGCCTTCAAGTCCTGCTTTGATAGGCTGAAACATGTTGAAACTCAAGGTGCTAGATGTGCTAGAGGTTATAAAAATACATGTCTCTGCTTGGCTTCACCCATAGCTGCGTAGAGGCTCCCGCATCATAATGCATGGTTGCGTGAATCGCATGGGGGCCTTGTCAAAGCAACGCAAACTAGAAATGCATGACGGTTACGGTATCGCACTGATGCAAAATATGCAAACTAATTATCTGCATTATGCCCAATACTTGGCTGACCTCACAAAAAAATGATCTTTGAAATGGTTTCAAATAAGAAGGCAGCCAGATTCATCACGTAGGCTTGCATTGAGCCGTAAAGCTCCTCCGGAATGAAGGACGGCCTTGGCACAGGCACAGTCAAACACGCGGCTCGCGACTAGCCTTGTCGGTATCTGGTACTCAAGTCTTCACAGACAGGTTGCAGAGAATGGCAAAACAAGCGAGTTTCAAATTGAGTCTTCGGCCGAAGAAGGATGAAGAAAAATAGCAGAAATTGTACAGGAGGAAGCTGCAACAGCATTGTAAATCAAGCGTTCGCTGAGTCAGTTCAGGCAAGGATGCGGTCGTTTAGCTCTAATGTCCATTGTACAATAATTATTTTTCCAGGTCTTGCAAAAATGCTTTTAAAATCTTTTAAACACTGTACTGTCGCAGAACAGTCTCTCCACACTGTCAGCTTCAAAGCGGTGAAGGGGGCAGAGATTCTGACTATCATTGCATTGTAGCTGACTACGAAGGCGGAGCACGGCAGCCGACTGCGCAGGTCATGCACAAGCAAACAGTCGATCGCTATATCAAGTGCCACTGCATACCGCTGCATTTCTTTTCTTCGAAAGGACGAAATATCGCGCCTATCGTACAACCAAGTGATAACATCAATGTAGGCATCGCCATCTGTGAAGCGGTGCCCATAGCCTTGAACGCAGCGAGTCATACGAGCCTAGATGGCTCACATGCATTCATGCTGTATTCAGAAATGTTAGGATTGTTAGGGCGTTGACCAGGTGTGTGATTCGCTTCAAACCTGCACTTCTGAGCAGAAAAGAAGGAGAAAAAATTAAGAAAGCGAGGTGACAAGGCATGCAGCTGTCAGTTCAGATGATCCATGAAGGATCCTCTTGTCACATCTTGGAACCTTTAACCTTTCTATGTCGATGCCAAGATCATGTCTCAAGAAACATGCAAAGTACAAAGTACAGCTGTTTGCAACCACTGCATGAGCAATCTTGTCATCACTTGAAAGCAAGAGCACATACTCGGCGCACCTTTGGATGGCTTCGGCATCATGTAGCCATTTGATGTCCGGGAGCGTGAATTCAGTCTGCGGTGCGAAGTCACAGAAGTGTTCAGCCGCACCGAACATCGCCAACCAGTCTCACAACATCAGCAGGAAATGAGAAGTGCAGCTTGTCACGTTATGATACGTTATGATGTGATGATATGGATCGGATATGATGGACATGGCAGAATATGTCACAATGGCAACATCTCAGTTGAATCCATAGCAAGGGACATGCCGCTGGCCATGCATGGCCCAATGCATGGCCATGCCCGTGGCCATGCCCGTGGCCATGCCCGTGGCCATGCCCGTGGCCATGCCCGTGGCCATGCCCGTGGCCATGCCCGTGGCCATGCCCGTGGCCATGCCCGTGGCCATGCCCGTGGCCATGCCTGAATCAGGGGAATGTGGGTCCCAACGATGATGCAGAACCTCAGGCGAGATGCCAGAGATTTGGGCGGTGCCAGGGCCAGGGCCAGGGCGAGGGCGTGGTATGCTGAGGTCTGCACATGCAGAAGGGAAGAAGGAGCCATTGCCACAAGCGGCTTCCCCTTCAAGTCGGACAAGTGATTCAAGTGATTCAAGTGATTCAAGTGCACATCCAGGTTCAAAAATGTTCAAAATAAGATATATAACTATGTCTAAATTCTCCAAATGTTCTAAATTCTTTTGATCGCTCATCGCGACATCCCTGCGATTTCTCCTTCTGCTTTTCACACGAGGCCGACCTGCAAAGCCGGCCAGGTACAAAGCTGGATCCATCATCCAAGCTTTCAGCCTGGCAAGCATGGCATTGAATTACCAGGTTTGTCTCGAAGATTAATGCAGGCAGCGTGAGCGAGTAAAAGCCATAGCGGCTGAACAGAATAGCAATAAATGATCCAAGGGAGACTGTGTTTAGGTCTGACAGAGCTAGCAAAGCAAGGCGGCTGCACTCTGGTGTCCCGTGATAAGGAGGACAAATGAAGGGAGGTGTGAACCTTCAAACACTGTGTATAATATATATATAATATGTGTACTGATGCTCAATGATCTGCAAGGCAGCAGGTCAGTGAAACGTAGCTGGCCTGCTCCCCGATGCTCCACTCAGGCCAGGAACATGTGTACATGTACAGCTGTAGCCTAGGAAAGTGCATGTACAGTCATGTCGACAGTAAACGTAGAAAACGCAGGAGGGTGCACGTGCAAAATGTCAAAGCATGTTCCATTCTGACATGTCTTGCAGTTTGAGAAGTTTACAGCAGCTTGCAAAACATTGCAAAACTATTTAATTCATGATGACTTCTTGTGATTCAAGTAGGGCGCAGGAATATGCAGGAATGCGCAGGATGCACCTCCTGAGCGCCTGACGAAACAAAGAGTACAAACATGCCTGTCATGAAGAACTGCAAGCCGGGAAACCTGAGAGGCTAGGCCGGCTAGGCTCACTAACAGCTTTGCAAGAGGTGCCAGCTTTGCAAACAGCATCTTAATCAGCTCAAAACGTTGCCGTGGCGCCAGGTGTTGAACAACTAGGGCATGCACTTGTACACGATTAAAATTCCATGCATATCTTCTGGATCCCACCTGCACACTGCGTGCTTGAGAACTTGTCAGTCCTCAAACTGCTTCCTAGCCGCCCTAGCCGCCCTAGCCGCCCTAGCCGCCCTAGCCGCCCTAGCCGCCCTAGCCGCCCTAGCCATCCCAGCCTGAAGTCCCGGAAAACAAAGTGGCTCTGGACAACTCGCCTCAGCTACTGTGTTCAGAATCATATCAAGTTGCCGCATGGTCACCCAGCTTGCCCCAGTGATGTTTTGTGGATGGTCTATTTGGCTTCGTACTTTTATACAGGCCAAGGCAGTGGCAGAGACGTGGTGAATCCTTGAAATACAGCACCCCAGGTGCTGATTGGTAGCTCCAGCCGCCAAAGAAAGTCCTTGGATGTTGGATGAAAGGATTCCAAGTACTGGAAACTCTGCGAATACATGCTACCAGTAAGTACCAGTAAAATATCTAACATGATCTAATGAATCTAATGCCATTGTTTTATGATGTTTTTATGCGATGACCATTGCCCGTCATATGTTTAAGCTCCCTGGCTGCCTCATCAATCTTCTGGTCGCTGCACATGCAGCGAACCCCCCAATCCAGAATCATTGGTTACATTGGTAGTTTGAACCTTCCAGCACAAAAAGACATGACTTGAGCAAGTCGTCATGCGTCGCCGCTTTGCAATGCCGAGTGTCCCAGGCACAAAGCACGGCAATGACCAGAAGCACGGCACCAGCAGTGACATAGCGCTGGCAGCCGGTGATCCGAAAACACTCTAAAACGCAGCAGTCTTATTTCTGAAAAAAAAAAAAAAGAAAGCAAGAGCAGTGAATTCAGAAAAATGCAGAACATTGTGCACTACATTTTGCACTATCCCAGGGCGGAACAAGAGAGCATCTACGGATTGAATTTCGTCTGTGAAGCTTGGACTGAAGTGTCCTTGGCAATTCAAGTGGAATCATGTCAGCATATTCAGCCCCTGGCCATGTCATTCCCAGCAGTGCCTGTTGCAAACACCTGAAAACAACAACTCTTAACTTGACTCTACTCTTAACTATAGTGTGGTTGCTGCTGCAAAAGAGACATCGATAGGAACCCTGCAGTAGATACAAGCTCAAAACTGCACAACACAAGCTGACAGCTTTCAACAAATAAGAACGACAACACCATTGAAGAATGGCAACAAACGGACCAATGTCTGCAGGAGCACAATGCCAGACATTGATGTCGCCATTGCATACACTATGGGCAGGGCCTGCAGCGAGGGCAAAGCAATGCAAAGACCGGCTGTCAGGGCCATCACATGTTGCATTATTTTGCATTATTTTACGTTATACATCACGTTCCTGACAAAAAGCCATTATTTTATGTCGGTACTTCTTTCCTCATGCCAAAGTGTTTATTTATTATTGCTTTGTCTTCGTACAGTCAGCGCTTTGCGCTGTTTATTCAGCATTTCTGCCTTTCTTCGAAATGGCTGAAGCTTTCGCGTCTTCTCCTTGCGATGCTTTGCATGTGCATTCGTACCAGCACGGACAGGCGCGGAGCAAGGCTTCAAGAAGTCTCTCCTGGGCTGGGTCTGCAGCCGGAGCCTGACATCCCAGATCAATCTGCCGAGAGTGCTCCCTCGCAGCGCTACTCTCGACTCTCAATACGTCTTTTTAAAATCAGAACTAATCTGGTTCTCAAGCTCAGCTGCAATGCCGCCATGAATTTCCAGCCTTCCTGAAAACTTCCCCCAGCCTCATCATCGCTTGGGTCTACACAGCTAACCAAAGTGGTACCTTGCGCTTCCATGTTCTCACACAGCAAAGGATGGAGATCGCAGAACTTGAGCAGTTGAAAATTGTGAATATTGCCCCACCTTCCTCAACAAAGAGCAGCAAAGTCCCAAAGGTCAACCTACCAATCCATGTGAAAACTCCAGAAACCAATGGGACGAGGAGAGGGTCGGGTTGATCTGACTGGAAAGCAAAGGAAAGTAGATGAAACAAGGATGTGCTTTCATGGGGACTTTCATGGGGAATCATTCTCTTATCTCAAGTTTCAGACTGGCGCTGACACAAATAATGCAGAGCTTCTCTGAGCTATCCAACCCGGTCAGCCACACAGATGCGTAAATGAGAAAAGGAGATCTATAGCCACCATCACAGCCTGCCGCAAGATTTGGAGGGTGCGCATCAAAACAATCCAGATCATCCAAAAATCACATTCAAAGCACAGCCAGAATGATGATCGACGATGATCACATCTCTCGTCCAGTATTGACCCTGGAATTATCAAAGTTACAGGAATAATCCCTACCATCCAAGCCACCAGAACAGTAAGATGCATTGGATCGAATCATATCAGATCTATATATTCATTTTTGGTGTCCCAGAACGAGTGGCCTGCAATCTGTCCAGGCAGTCCCAGGCTCATGTTGTCGTAGGGTCTGGGCCTAGCGAAGCTTTTTAGGGCTACTTGATGCATTTTGATGCTATTTGCAGCATAAGTTGCATAAGTAATGATAGACTCCGATACACCACTGAGGCTCCGAGAAGCAGGCCCAGCCCATTCCACAACCTCAGACCGTCTTCCAGTTTGTGTTACGAAGACCGGGAACGCGTTGCAACCTGTCACTGAGGTCCCTAGTTTCAACCCGCGTAGCTTTCTCATGCTCACCACTCTGGCCCGAATCAAACAGTCCAGCGCATCTTGAATGCGGCCAACAGGCTGAAGATCCAAACCAAATCCTTGGCGAGGTGCACAAACAAAAATAGAAAAAAAGGCTTTGTGCAGTGAACCATTCTTTCCAAGTGTGCATCCAGTGTAGACAAGTAGCAAGGCGCATAAGCAGCTTTGCATCAGTGGCAGGGGGCGGCCTATCAGGTTTTTAAGAGCTCACAAGAGGCAATAGTTCTTCCGGATTTCAACTCACTGGATGACTCCATATGACTCCCCTCCCCTAAGTGCCGGGATCGAAAAACTTTACAATGGAAACAGAGATTTCGTATGCTGCAGTATTAGGCATTTGGGAGAAGCGAAAATTGCTTGTCTGGAATTCCGGGTCTGCTGATGGGCCTTCCACCAAGTAGCGCTCGGTCAACCAGCAAACGAGCACCAATGTTTGTTGCGCAATTGCAGCAGCCTGCATATTGAAGACTCTGACGCAGGACGCAGCAAGCCAAAGCAAGCTACAATGCAAAAAAGCCATCCCCATGGTAAGTCTTGCTATGCTTCCATGGACTTGAAGTCTTGTCGGATGCATATTCTACCGTTTCCACCGCTGCATTCTTGTCACAGAACGTGTTTCTATCAAGTCTGTAGACTGTAGACTGAGATAGGAGATACAGGCATGTTGCCGAGCGGCTCTGTTTCTACTAGTCCTGCAAACCTCATTGCAAGTGGGGTAGGCAGTTTGTTTACAGCAGTGTCTTTTCCTCTACACAATCATGCCATCTGTCTAGGGATGTCTAGTCTTCAAGAGCGCCTTGCCCTCGTCATCAGCGGACACACCCATAAGCATGGGTATGGAGCTGAGAACTAGACCTGTGCAAGTGGTGTTTCGATGTGCTTTAATCCAATGTGATACACGACGAAGATCCTATAGGTGCAGCCCGTTGAAGCTGTATGCTTCCGCATTGGTCAATATGCAACACAACAAGCACACGGAGGTTGTTGTTGTGTAGGGCCACGTAGGCGCCGTTCCAATGAGAAGTCAATGAGAAGTATATAAAGTTGGTCAATGTCGCGCCGCACAGCCAGGACAAGTTACAGATCTGTCGTGGCAAAAACTTCTGCAACTTGCTGCTTCGTTGCCAATAAGCCTGCCTATGTACAGGAGTAGTGCGCCAAACACCTTCCAAAGTCAGACTCAGCATTGTACAATTTGTTTGCGTTGGTAGTAAACACATGTAAACACTGCCTTCTCATCAAACCACCTTCCCTTGGCAATGTCATTCGGAGTGATTCATCTTGCAGAAACACAGGACAGGACTCCAAGAATGTGCCAAAGGATCCATTGTTGGATCGGGGAGCCTGCATCCTTGGCGGCCAAACCCCGTTGCGGTTGCTTCGCAAAAAAAGTAAAACAAAACAAAACCTGGAAAAATTGAAAAATGCAAAAGTCCGTTGCAAGTGTTACAAGCCTTTTCCAACAGCTGTTTGTGCATGCAGCCAAGTAGGCTCGATCCAGAATTACCCATTGCAGGGAAGTGTTAATCTGAGTTCATGCATGCTGATCTTCATCTACTGATTTCATTCCTAGGCTTTAGTCAAAGCACCATTTGTTGGAACAAAATTCACTGAGTGGCAGTCTTTGTTGCATGAATCATTCAAATGATCTTGCTTTGAAGTTGCCATTGTAAGTGTTGGGCTGCATACCGCTGCAATCGCTCCACTTCACTGGGCCGAGTGCCTAAAGACGCCACAAGTCTAGAACTACCAAAGTCACGACTACTCAAGTCACGACCTGAAGATACCTGAAGTAAAATCATTACCGCAAGTTTGATTCAAAGCTCAAATCATATCTACCCCTCCCTCTAGGCAAGCCTCGAAGTAAAGCCAGGCCTTGAAAACGACTTGTTTTACCAAACAGCTGGGAAATGATAACGAAGGACATGTCAGGTCTGACTGGAATCCAAGCAGAGCCTGCGGTTGATACAAGCACTGAAAACGCTGAAGATACCACGACAGCCTTACATCGAGACGACAGGAGATTTCTTGCAACCAAAGCAAGGCCTACACCTCAAACATCAGCTCTGGGTTGGAAAATGTTGGAAATTGAATTGCAGGAAAGAAATGGAAATGGTAGACTGGTCTGCTCTTGGGATCCAGCCCCACGTGCTACTTCAGGTAAACCATGCCTGAGATGGAAAACCAATGAAAACCGAGTGTCAGCTAGCCAGCTCGTCAGTGTCTGTGTCAGCTGTGTTTGAACCCGATTTCGAAACATAAATTTGCAGCGTGTCTTTTTCACCGCTTGCATTTGCCATTTAGGCCGTTCTCAAGATGAGATGGATTCCGCGCTCAGATGAAACTAGATCACTCACTTGGCCTACTGCTAGCAGAAACGCTGCACGCACAACAGCTGCTGGAACTTTGCGATTCTTTGCAGGATCCTTGTCCAGCCAGCCCAGGTCACCAGCCCTTGGCTGCATCGGCATCCGGTTCTCAGGCATGGGCGTACAGAAAAAAATTGTCTAGGATCCTTTATGAATCACTAACAAAATATAGCTTACTACTACACATTATTAATCATTTATATATATCGTAAGATACGGTAAGGCACTGCAACATACTGTAAGATACAATCAGTATATGCAGGTAATCATTGCGTCTATTCGTTTTTCAAGTGCTAGTGCTGGGTGGTGAGACAACATAACCCCAGGATCTCTGACGGATATTCTAGCAGTGATCAATGTGGATAGAATATACAATGTCTAGCCCTAACAAAATCAGGGTACCCTGCAACTGATTGCTGACCCTTTGTCACTAAAAATTACAAAAAAATGGCATCAGAATTGTATGCTTGGAGAGCGAGGGACAAATCACCACTCTTCATTGCTGTGTCACACTCTGACAACTCTTTGCATTTCTTCGTAAATGCCGCAGCACCCCCATGAGCAACTTCTGGAAGAATGCGCAGTATCTGCAACTCTGCATCACCAGAACTCCTGGTGGGCTTCTTCCTCCTATCACCAAGAGGTGCTTGGCAACCCACATAGCGCAGCAACAAATGCCGACACCGAACCTTTGTGAGGTTCGATGGATCAGTTCGCTGCTTCTTCACTGTTTGATTCCTGGACCAGGAAAAACGCACTGCTGCGGCAACCAAAGGAGGTTGTGCTCCAGCTTTCTGAGCCTCTTCCAAGAGTGACACACAACCAGCACGTGGTCTGTCACCCATGGTGTGCGATCTCGCAAGAGCACGCATCCGAGCTGCAGAGAGTCCAGAGCTTCTGACCGAATTGACAGTCAGCAATGCACCCAAGTGGCTATCCTCCAACACGGCACAATGAGTTCTGGGCTCGGTGGTCTCTGATCCGACCACCTCCAAATTGTCGACGTTTCCATCTGATTGACCCACCTGCCCAAAAATCATGCAAACTGCACCACCAGTGGCTGCCATTGTGAGCCTTCCACCAAGCAGTAGAGCGACTGCTAGAGCAATGCCTGACTCTGGCGCAATCTCTGTCCTGAAACTCGACCAGGCATCAACTGTACTCTACCTATTCTCAACCCAACTGAAACATGCTAGATCATGCTGAAACAGTCAACCAGCAAATTACTGTGTTCCTCCTTTAGAGCCATGTTGAGCTGCATAACCACCCCAAGGAACTGGAGAATGACTCAGACATCTCAGACATGTTCTCCGAAAGACACGAATCATCCAAACAGTCCTCAAGTGCTCAATGGCCTCTGCGAGAGCCCCTTCCAAACGGTCGTTCTGCCACCGGTCACGGTAAGAAGCTAAGCGAGGTAAGAGCTGCATGTGGAGTCCTGACCCACATATGTTCCGTGTGTTCAGCATTTCATGATGCAAGTTTCTTGGACTCTTTGTGAAGCTTCAATCTTATCTGCGTCACTCAAGTTTGAAAGGCAACTCGTAGTATTGTATACTTTCCTTGCACGCATTCTGCTCTCTCTCCTTTGGCAGCAGCCTCTGCTTGATCATTACTGCATCCAGTCGCATCGTAGACAGCAAACATGGCAGCAGGGCTGTCATGGTGTGAGAAGTCTAGCTTCCTTGGTGCCGCAAGTCACAAGATGCACACACGGGACACGACATAGACATTTGAAGAAGGCGATGCAAACAATCCTGTTTCACAAGTACTGTACCCAGGGACAGAGCACTACAACGCGAAAGGACCACAAATTCCTGTTCATCATTTCTCATCTCATTCTCTGCTGTTTTTCATGATTTGTTCTCTGTATACTTGGTAATGTTCAAGAAGCAGATTCGCATGACACAAGAATCAAAAATATCAAAGATTACGAGACTGCCTTAGTCAGTTTGCGAGATTGCAGGCCATGAATCATGGAAGATGCAGCACGATGTAAATCGTTGATGATGACATTGCGACTGGCCTGCAGCACTTTGAGTGCAGCCAGTGCATCAGACGCATAGCCAAGATTTGCTAAGATGGTGTTTAGATGTGTTTGGTGTTTCGTTGTGTTTCCCATACATGCATTCATTGCCAGTTCATTGCAAATGAAACCTCTAAGGCTAGCCTGGCCCTTGGCGGCAACTGTGGCAGCGTCACCACGAACAGTCAGGGTGCCGCTGTAGTCTTCTCCTGTGAATGTCATTACGCTGGAAAACATCAGGCATAACTGACAAATTCTTTTGCAAGATCAGTTAGTGCTTGCGCAAGTCATGCCTTGAGTATCCTTGAGTGACAAAACACCTGTATCATCAAACTTTCACTTCTAGGCAGGCCCCCATACTTTGACACCACGCTTCCAGCAGCTCCCCATGAAACCAGCTTAATTGCAAACTAAGGACCTTCACGACAAATACGCTGGGGAGACACCAGACTACAAATCAATGTCAAACGTATTGAAAAGGGCAAAAGTGGGAAGCAACCGATCGAGCAGGTTCGTGACCGTGACTCAATGGTGCCGGCATCCCATTGGCATACCCCAATTGCATAACAGTCGTGGTGAGCAGGAAACTGGGCAATGATCTTATGCAGATCATTGACACATTCTCATGTCAAGAAAAACGTCCTTGATGCAATTCGTACAGTTCGTTTGTCGAAGAATCTCGACAGTAAAGCAGACCACTTTCCTGACTGTTTCAGAGCAGTCATCAGTAGTTTGCTTTCTCCTACTAAGAAATAGAGTGGGCACTTGGCACTATCGCGAAGATTTCAGGTCGAATGCACTACAGGAACTGTACCTTTGCTTTGCAAGTGCATATTTCATGTATCTTTATGCACTTTTGTAGAAAGCACACTGAGGAGTAAGGTCTTGACGCGCTGGAAGTACAATGCCTTGTCCTTGTGATACATCCACCTCCAGCTTCAAAAATCAAAGTGGTGCTAAAGAGCTCATGAGCTGAACTTCTGCAGCTTCGGTGTTGCTATTCTTTACAAAAAGAGATGAGAGATGAGTCTTTCAAGACAATGGAACTCAGAAAACGGCAGCAAATCGCAGCATACAGCGAACACCCAAGACTCCCTCACCCTGGCATCTCTCGCAGCTGCTCAAATCCAGGCGGTGCCGGCTTGCCATTTTGTGCCTCACAACTCTAGACTGGCCACAACTTCGTCTTTTGCTTCCAGAAGGACTTACCGATGTGGATACCAGGTCAAGAACGTTAAATGACTCCGAGAGTCTCGTTTGAGGCAAAACCAACGAGAAAGTAGCGCTTTGTTACTCTGAATGTTACACTTGTTCCACATGACAATGGGCACTGCTCAAGCAAAGCGTTGCCATGCAAAGCACACAAAGCACACACATGCAAGCGAGCTGCAGCTGGTGCCACACCAAAAAGCTCTGGGCGCTCTTGCTTGAGCTTCCATAGATCTTTGCCTGAATAGCCTGATGACACAGAACAATACAGAAGGACAAATCCATTGAAAACGAGACTCCAACCTGATCTTACCATGTTTTGAACTGGCAGAAGTCAACCACAACACACGGAGCACCTTGATTGGTCTTGTGGACCACTGCAATGTTTTTGGACTCCTCACTGTCGAGAATTGAGAAGTGCATGGCAGGAGCCGAGTCGTCTCTCACGGATCCATGGCTGATGCGAAAGGCTTAGTGCATTCGAAAGGCTTAGTGCCAATTTGAGCTGCGAATGCTAGCGAATGCTAGCGAATGCTAGACTGTAATAGTCGGGCGTGATCAAACTTGAAACAGGTCTCACCATCGGCTGTTGGACACCGTTCTACTTGCTTTACCTTGCCATGCAAGATTGGCTTTTATAGACAAATGGCATGTCGAAAGCCTGACATCAAATCAAACCTGCTTGAGCCAAATAGTCAGTGCCCTTGTGTTCCTCTCCATCCTCTCGGAGTTGGGTTCACTAGAAACTGAGAGCAAGAAAAACGAGCGACCACTATAAAGAACGGCATGCTGTCGGCTTGCAGAGACCCGGACAACGGCATGAGCCCAACAATGGTTGCCCACCGACATGTGTGGTACCGAAGTGCTTAGAGCGAATGGAATTTGATGGACCTCTTTGCACAATCATGGCTGGTTCTTAGTCAGCAAATTGCGGAAGGCCTGGTTCGTGGAGTCATTGAAACCAAACACAATCTAGACCATTCCAAGGGTCACTGAACTACACACAAACTCTACTACCCAGCAATCGTTGCCTGTTGGCTGCTGCAAATGCTTGTATGAGGGGGTTTTGCCTACACATCTGTGTGGCGGAGAATAGTGCCAATGCCCTTCATGTGTCGTACCTTTGCTTGAGCAAAAGAGGAGCTGCATGCAGTTGACTGTGATGGTTAGATTTCCACGGCAGCAATTTAAGCAACCGGGAGCGGCACTTGACTGGCTCTCACACTGGTTTTTTTGACTCACAAAGCGCCGGATCTGTACAAACCTGTCATAAGTTGTCTGCACTTTCCCATGATTGCTGGCAATCATGTTAGAAGGGCCAAGCGCACTGTGTTTGGAAGTAAACATCTCAGAAGGGTGTATGAGTGTGGTTAACGTTGAATATGTCCAACATCTGATACACTCTGTGCAAGTGGAAGCAGATCTGTTCATGTACCTTGCTTTCACTACCTAAATGCTTGATATATCCGGTTTGGAGGTTCACCACCCTTGATGTGGCTGGTGCATGTTTAAAAAGGCACTCTGGAAGCGGACTTGGCGAGCACTCGGACACTACTCATGTACTTGTTTGTCTTCAAAATTACACCAGCACAATTTTTTCCCCACATCTTTGTGCCGGGTTCTTGTTTTCAAGCTCCTTCCTCCTCCCAAGTCTGCCGTCCACAATTACTTCTATTGAACAAACTTATACAGACGTGCCTACCATGTTTTCCTTATCTAATTAACTTACTTACACATATGTATATATCGGTATATACATATATATATGAATTATATGTGTGTGTGTCAATTTTAACTCCATCACACTGCCCTCTAACAAATGTAATCTCCATCAGTATTATCAGTTTTATCTTCATCAAGTCTGTCTGGGTCAAACTTTTCTCTATCAAACGTACTTCTATCAAACTTGCCTCTATCATGTTCTCCCTAGATATCAGATTTATCTCTGTCAGACTTATCTCCATCAAACTGCCCTCTTTCAGATTTATCCATGTCAAACTTACCGTCTATCAAAGTTACCTCTATATCAAACTTATCTCATATCTCCATCAAACTTACCTCTGTCAATTTGCCTCTGTCAAACTTATCTTAAACTTATCTCTTTACCAAATTTATTATCTCTATATTACATAACTTATCGCTAAATTTATTTCCGGCGAAACAAGAAGGGGACAAAAAGAGGCAAGTGGGACACAGTTTCCAGACAAGGACGTCACACGGAGAAAGTCATGATGGGACAAAATATTTTTCTTTGCAAGAATTGAAAACCCCATCTCCTTGTAATAGCTATTTGGGGAAAAAAAAAACAGACCTCTGCCAATGCTAGAAGCGCGTAAGAGTCTCAAAAACGTGGTTTGATGCCCATTCAGGACACTGCATTTTGGCACAGAAAACAGACCCGCCATATGGTGTCTCTCCCTGCCAGCCAAGTCCAGAATGCCAAACATGCTCATATGCGGAATCTCTGTAGAAGCAATTGTCAGTCTCCAGATTTCCGTTCATAGCTTTTTCAAACCATTGCTTCTGCAGTCCGCCAACATAGCAGCACCTGGAATTCGATTCAGGGAAAAAGATCAGTTCTCCATTCAGGCTGACCTGAGATGGTAACGCTGCGCAAGGCTAATAAGCTGGGAGGGTTTTAACATGTCATCCGATGTCCCTGAACTGATTGGGCTGGGAATCATGGTTCCCTTTGACCTTGTGATCCCAACTCTGAGACCATGGCGCAATGTATCTAGTCAAATCCAATGTCAGAATAGCAGAGGTCTCCTGACATGATTCTGTACAATGTAAGTTGAGCCAACTTGGACTTGCTTCTAAGTTGATTCCATTGTACAGGAAAAAGGCCGAATGTCTCTCGTCAAGCGATATTTATGTGCTCCTGTGGTTTGTTCTTCCACACTCCAACCAACGCTTCTGCCCGAATGAAGAAACGATCCTGGAGACGGGCAGTAACAGGCATCAGCATGGTTCCAAGTGCACTCAACAAAGATTTTGGGTTTGCACAAGAGCCACCTTCAAGGAAATCACGATGGTCTGGCAGTCAGCCTCTGAAGCTCTGGAGCTGAGGCTCACTTTCATCCAAGCACTCGAGCAAAGCTTAACACAGCTCTGGACTCTTGGACCAGACACTGGACCAAACACTAGGTCACTAGTCAGTCACATTCTGGTCTAAGTCTAAACTAAACTCTAAACTCTCAAACCAGTTTGTGCTTGGCAAAACTACATCGTGCATCCCTGGCTCTGACACGATGCGCCACATTCGCTTTGTCCCTTGGTCTCTTTTGGTTTCATGTGAGGGCTTCCTCGTTGTTTCTGCGTGCAGCCTTCGTCTTCTTCAAATTTCCACTTAGCTTCCTGCCTCGTAAAGAAAACAACCCTTTCCTCAAGACTCAAAGCAGAGCCTGCTCCACATACCTCGATAGAGCTCGGACATTGTTGGCATCCAGGGCTGCATCTACCTGGAGATGATCAGAGATTGTGTGTGCGTGTGTGTGTGGCTAATAGAGGTAGCTTCTATTATGGGTGTGATTGCGGGTACCATGAGCTACTTGCAGACACTTCTCCACTATGACAGGAGTCTGAGACAATAAATGTCGTGGATCATCGACGCCTCATCCAACACCATGAATGGCGGCTGCTGAAAAGCTTGCACTGCAAAAAGCAAAGCCATAGCCGCCAGCGTTTTCCTGCAGTAAAACCGAGAGGACGCTCGCAGTCTCCACACTCAATTTCATCTTGTTGGAGTAAAAGATTTGGATAGTTTTGCTGTATGCGGCGATTGTCATTGTGCATTTGGAGTGATCATCTGTGCAGTGATGCAGTGATGCATCTGTTGATCAAGTATTCTCCAAGTTTATTCAACATTGATTCAATTGGACTGCAAATTTTGTAAAGGATTCAATTGGACTCAGTCAGTTCTATAAGTTCTGAACTCGCCGCCAGAGAGGAGGTGCATGTCGCGAAAGCGCTTGGCCGGAGGCATCGCGGTGAACTGCACGGTGTCAGTTCGCACACTGAACCGCTTGGTGCATTGAAAAGCCCACCTTGACACCTCCGTTGAAGGGATTTTCAGCGTCCTGCACGTGCACAAAGGTTGAGAGGGACTCACAGACTCACAGATCAGAAAAATCTGTGTTAGATCGAAACAAAGGTTTGGTCAGAACTCATTCGGGACTCTTCGCATCTCTTCACCAATTCTTGTTGTTTTCTCCAATACAACACTCCTCCAGGTCCAGGTAGGCAGAACCACCATCTCCACCCTGTGCTGTAAGGCGTCGGTAGACAGGCCCAATGGCGTCGGAGACCTTCTGAAAGCACTCCATGAACTTCTCCTGCAACTCATACAGCAAATCTTGCAGTCATCACAATGCTCTCATTGGAAAACTTGGACCGAGCATCAGAACTGACCAAGCTGCCAATGCTGCCAAGCCAAATCCAGTGCTCCTTGCGTGCCTTTCGCACAGCTTCAAACTTGCCGTCAATCTCCTCGATGCTTTTGCGAGCAGCGTCTGCTTCATGAGAAGCAGCCTGTCCAGTGATCTGCAGAACAATCTGAACAATCTGGGAGATACAGTTGCCTTTCCAGATTGTCAAGAATCGTCAAGTGGTTCCAACACTTTTGGTCTTACCTCACTGCCTCGGTTCTGACTCACCAGCTGAAATACGCTTCTTGAGAGCGGAAGATTGCGGCGTGTGCTTCTTTGATCACAGTGCAATCATTAGTGCAATCTCATTGTCAAATGAATGCTGACATAAACCGTTTATGTATGTCTATAAAAAATGACAAACTGACCCAAAATCATGTGAAATCTTAGCTGTGCTACTGCTGTTGTTCGTGTTGGTCTCTGTATCCTCCCTCGGACAACACCCCACCGTCCCGCCTGAACATTTTCTGCGACACCCTGCAGCTGGTCTACGGCTTTGAGGTTGGGACTAAGACGTTCCAGCTCGACTCGAAGCCGTTCCAATTCGCTCTTGTACTCTGCCTCCAGAACTGAAAAGAAATGTGGGTCAAGCAGTATCAGTCTAAATTCACAAAAAAATGTAAAATCAAGAGTCTTGACTCGACAGTCTTGAAGTCAAAGTGACAGAGCCTCTAGCATCTGTGCTGCAGCCCCATGGGAAGCTGCCTGCTTCTCCTTCAAAACACCGAGTATATTCAGCTTAGGAGGTCGCTTCCACATGTTTCGGTTTCCATGGGCAGCTCTATGTTTTGGTGGCTATGAGTGAGAGCTTCCTCTTCTTGGTTGAAAGCAAAAATGTGGCATGGGCACAGGCTGGGATCTGGTAGAAGTACTTGGTATAGAGAAAAGTTTGGAGTCGTTGCAAATCCGAAATCTGTTGTCTCAGCTCTGCTGCACATGGACCTCTCAAATGCCCAAGTAAACAAGCATAATGTGGCATACGCTGCATACGTGCGGGACATTGCCGGGCATGATATCAGTCAAGGTGTCGCTTCCCCTCCTCGGGCAACAGGGAAAAGTCCACCAAAATTTCGCTGGTGTCAGCTGGAGATCTCTGCGTAGGTGCAGAAGCTGACTGGCTTTCCTGCGAGAAATCTCTGAGACACAATCAAACAATATCATAACAATTATCATAACAATATCAAACATGCACCAACTTACCAGTGTCAGCCATCCATGTCAAATTAATTCAAAGATGTTGCGGATTGTTGTGTATTGTGAACTGTTGTGATACCAGTGATACCCGAAGAAGCCACTCCTCTGCCATTTCTCTGAGTGCTTCATGCCCGCCACGCAGCAGAGGCACCTTGCAGGCATGGAACAGCCCACAAATGCCGACCGTACACAGCACTAGAAATAGACATTCATCTTCTTCGAAATTCTCACAGCAAGTCTCTGTTTCCCAGCAAACGGCAACACAGCGAGGGATGATGTGTGCATACATTGGCTCTTTGCATTTGTTAGTTTTTCAGGATTCAGCAGTTTTTTGTAGGGCCTCGATTCCCTCCAAAAAGCTTTGTCGAAGAATACTGGATTGGCTGCTCAGCAGCGCCTTCGCTGTTCTTCCAGCACAAAATATGCGATGAAGGGATAGTCAAGCTGAAAACTGATTTCGAACCCCGGATTCACATAGGCACACACGACATTGCCACAACACAAAGCAGTCAGAAACCTTGCCTGCTGTTCTGATCCCAAATCGCTGACCTGCACCATGTTAGCCAAATATAGCCGAATTGCTTGCTGCTCCACAGGGAATCAGCAGCGGAGCTTTTATTTCCATGTACGCAAAGATGGTTCTACATTTGGATTGCTCTTGCTTTCGGAAGGATTTCAACTTGGAGCCTTCTTCTCGGCTGCCATGAGCTGCTGGCGCGTCTCTTTCCCTTGCTGTCGCAAGGTTGACAAGACCTCCAGGCTCAGCTCCAAACATCTCTAAACATCTCCAAAATGCCCAAGCTTAGAAGACAGAGCTATGACATGCTATGGTGTGCCCTTGTTGCTATGACGTGCTACGACGTGCTATGACGTGTAATGTTGGTGAATGCCGTGCTGTGTCATTCTTTACCTTCTGCAGGCAGTGCAAGGATTCTCTTCTCAATTCTTCCCTCACAGCTGGTCAGTCTTTGAACATCTTTAGATGCGTTTAGACCGTTGAGAGGCCTTGTCGTTTTCACGTTCGGCTTCGTGGCTCTTCACCAGTTGCTGCTCAAAGTCTGTGACCTGCTCCAAAGATGGACTTTTTCGTTGGAACATGTTGGAACCTATGTGATAAATTGTGATAAAAATCTGATCTGATTGAAATCCTACCAGGCCATGTCGATCTGACTACGACTATTGCCATGTTGTTCAAGGTTCTCCAACCTTGTTGTTGAGAGATTCTGCTTGTTTTGCCAAATCCCTCTCCTTCAAAGCTCATAGAAAAGGTGAGACTTTCCCACTTGATGCCCTAGCAGTTTTGAACGTGTGCAACACAAAAGTTTTGTTTCAAACGAGTAGTGTGTGCGTGTGTGTGCGTATGTGTTCCACAATCACGGTGCGTACAGCACAGGTCTCATCAAACAGCCACTGCCCATGGCCAGTCCTTGATCTGGAGCTCTTGTACCTGGCGTCTCAAAAACTCTCAGAGCTTGTCGTTGTCCAATCTCAACTTTCACAAAATATGCAATGAGAATCCAATCAGAATCAAATATCAACTCCTTGGTCGGCTTCAAGCAGTCTTCAAGCCTCCTTGGAAAACTTTGCTTCCAGCTGTTTTGGGTCTTTGGTTCTCTGTTCTTCCAGGGTCTGCTCCAGCATTTGGATTTCAGCCTGTGGGCTGCCAGGACGCGAATACCAAGATGTAAATTGCATGAAAGAGCGACAAGAAGCATAGAGCAGCTGCCCTTTGATCAAAGTGCCATTAATACAGGTTTCTAAGTAAGCAACCGGTACTTCCTGTCCGTTGGGTTTCCTTTCCAATTACTTTGCATGTGCTCACCTTGAGGTTGCGAAGTCGCTTGTTCAACTCATTGGTTTGCTGCTCTACAGCTTCTTTCTCTCGACGAAACTCACCTGCTTGCATCACCAAATGAAACGGAAGTGCCACTGAAGTGCCACTGAAGTGCTGAAACTGATGTGGCAAAAGACATGGTGAGGTGACTGTGTACACTTGTCGCAGAAAAGCCAAGTAGCGTTCCATCTTCCTGACGTCTTCAACTCCCATTGCAGCGCTCAAGTGTGCGAAGTGGCCGGCCTCAATTACAAAGCAGAACCGACGCAAGCAACAGGCACAACAGGCACAACAGGCACCATGACTGGAGCAAGGATTCTGCCGACTGGGTGAAGCGTACTGCGTGGAGTGAATCTGAGCTGATCACCACAGCTTCGCTGACTCTCGCCTCGTCTAAAACTGCGGCGCTCAAGGTATTGTATTGCATGTATGCTGCATGTCTGTTTAGTTGGGTATCTAATCTAATTTAATTGGTTTTGCACGCTTGCCTCCAATGTCCGTTGCTCCTCCCGAAGACGGGCCTGTCAAGTAAAGAAACAGGAAGGAATCTGGAACACTCGTGCAGCATGCTAAAATTCACACTCTGTTGTTCCATGCTTGGGTTGAACCGGACACATCTCCAGCCTCTTCCACAGCCAAACGTTGCGCTTCAGGTTGCACACTTGCAAGGGTGGCATCAACAGTTTCAAGCTCTGAAGCTTTCTGGCGAAGCCTTGGTAGAGCTCATTTCACCCCAGAAAATATGCACACCATCTTGCATCACTGTGTGTGTGTGTGTGTCTTGCATTCGTTGCATTCCACAGTCAAAGACACGCAGGGTAAAGCTCAACATGGTCCAATCGTAGACCGACCAAGCACCTGGCTCCTCTTGACACTGCTGCAGTTGCAATGCATTTTCCTGTGCCCTCCCTTCGATGCGTCGCATGTCCAACTCCAGAGCCGCCTCGGAAACTCTAGTCTATAGAATGTCCATATAGAGAAGCTAATCATATAGATAGATTCGTAGATAGATAAGATGATATAAGTAGTATTTAATAAATAAACTAATTGAAAAAGGAATACATATATAGATTAGTCAAGAAACTTGAGGCGCAGGGGGGGGGTGAACGAAAGCTAAGGTTCAAATGAGCCTGGAAACATGATGGGATTTCGATGGGATTGATATGCTGAATACAGATTGCCTAGGAATTGAGCCCGTGACCATCTGCTTCCAACACCGCTTCAAAATGCCCCGGGAGCTTACGGGGGGAAGGGGTGGGGGGGTTCGAGTGAAAAATCTCTGTGTTGGACTCAGACCTGCCCCTCCCCTTGCTGAAGCAAGAGTAACTCCAGCTAGCTACCGCTCATGATAAATTCTTTTCGCTCTTCACATGTGGCTATGGAGCCAAAAGCCGTTTCTTTATGTTTCTTTTGCCATGATTCGATTGCCGTTTCGTTTGGACACCTGCATTGCCGTGACGACTGAGAGAGGCACCATGTCTGCTCCGCCCGCAGAGTCAAGGGAATGAATCCTGCGGAAAAGATCTAGGAACTTTTGGGCCTGTACAGCAAGTCTGTATCGTCCAACGACAATCCCTGTGATCCGCGTCTTGGAATGCATCTCTTAGGCATTGTTTTTTGAAGAATCCTACAAATATCACTCTGACATTCCGCGTCCGCTGTCTAGTGCTAGACAATTCAAGCCTCTTTCCATCTCTGAAACTTCTATGTATCGGCCTAAACTTTGTGAATCACTTTCCTACAATCGGCAAACTGAGACCCGGTCTCGTGAAGTCGTCGATCAATCCCATCCATACGGGCTTTGGTTGCCTGTCAAACTGGAATTTCTATTTGCAAAAATGTCAAACTGGAAGAGCAATCAAGAAGCAGACCTCCGTTCTTCCACCAAATGCGAAGCACTGACTGTGAAAGCTCCAAATTGCCCCTGGACATATACCTCCCATCCTCCCTATAGTTCCCTTCATTTCAACGTGGCCACCTCCAACTCAGACAAGTCGAATCGCGTTGCACCAGCTTGAGTGGCTTCAGAGTTCACCTCAGGAGATATTCTATACATTCCATTACATTCCAACATATCTCAACGCATTTTAAAATGCTTCATCTATGCTCCATCTGCTCAAATTCTGCATCTGTAGGACCCAGGGCCAATGTGCTGCACTTCTAATATTGCACGCGCATAATGCCAAGGTTAAGGCAGAGAGATTGCCGTTCTTTGCAATGGCTTCTCCCACAATTGTCACCACCTGAACGCAGCTTTTGATTCACTCTTGACCGCCATGCAATCAAAGCAAACTATGATGTGGAAAGGTTGCAACAAAAGATCTACAAAATCAAGAAAAGACTTAACTTTGTCTCGGCCTTGCAGGTGACACCTAGCTTGCGAGACTCTTCAAATGCCAACCGTCGGCCATCAGCCATGGTGTCAGCCTCAAAACCATGCAATGCAGAAAGTTTGGCGTTCACATGGATCGGGGGTTCGTGGAAACAACGTCAAACCAGCTTTTGATTCAATCTGCTAGCAAGTTCAACTGAAGACCTAGGTTGGTCAATTCTGTCTGCAACTGTCTATGTTTGGTCCACTGTCCACTCTCCAAAGTAAAAAGGCAAGTAAGTTTGGGGTCTCCAAGGGTGTAGTCAAAGCAATCACTGGCTTGAGCCCACCACAACCACGACATCTCCGAGAAGAAAATTGAAAGCTTTTGCGTATTTCTCATCATAGGACACACAGTTGAGTCCAGAGCGAAGTCCTGTCAGCTAGAACGACTCTCTCTTGCTCCCCGTCCCGTACAGACTCCACAGTACCGACTACTGCTAGAGTGCTTCGTGTAGAGTGGATTCTCTTGGAGCAAAACGAACATCAACATCCAAGCCATCATTGTCCGTCCTCGCTGACTCTGAATAAGATTCTGCAATCGTGGATCAAGGGCTGAAACTCGCAGGTCTGCCATTGGTAGGAAAGTCATCGGAGGCAGCATCCTCTCTTTGAGGTAACGCACGCATGCTCGAGCAGCTTCACTGGATTCGACGATAATCGCATCAAGAAACTTGGCCAAAGCCACATTCACTCCCACATGCAAGCGCTTCTGAGAAGGCTTGCAGAGGTCTACTACTCGGCCGTAGACACCAGGGCAAGCCTCTGCCAAGCTTGCGCAAGTCTGTGCAACTTCACGTTCTCGTTCCAATTGCTGTTCTGTGGCTGTGAACTCTTGGAGCACATCGAGAAGCTGTTGTCGTTCTTGCTGCAGTTGTTGCTTTTCCTCTCCACGGCTCTGTACCGAACTACGCATCTGGACGAGTTGTTCCGAACGCTTGTCCTTCAATGCTGCACCACGCTTCACTGCGGCACCGGCGCCACTCTCTGCCTGGAAAAACCGCAGAGTTCAGAAGTTGATCTAGATTCCTACGGCTGAATTATGCTGAATTTGTGCGTTGGCTTTCCTCTACCAGTTTTTAAAAGCAGCTCGGATTCTTGGATGGTGGCTTCCTGTCTTATACTCTTCCCATCTACATATTTTCACATGTTTCACGATCTCTTTCATGGTGATCCATTAAAGGCAAAGCCAGTAAAAATGACATAAGCGAGCGTCGTGAGTTGTATGTGCAGAAGCAATCAAGGATTATTTCAGAGTCTTAAGTCTTAAAGAGAAAACTCTCTTCAAACACCATCAGACACGTTCGATCATGTTTCTGACACGTGAAGGCTTTACATTCTGCTTTACCCGTTTTGTGGTCTAGCCTCACTGAGCTCTTGCAAACGCTTTCGGAGGTGACTCTGGCGTGCAGTGGCATCTCGCACATCACCTTCAGCTTGAATTCGTTCTTGACCTGAAATTTGGAAAGCGAGGCAAAGCACTGTGTATCATGCATAATCATTCATCATATTCTTTTCAATGGCATCATGCACTGAAAGAACGAAATCATCTCTGCAGTACATTGTAAGCTTCTGGCGGACAACCTTGATCTGATGGTCCAGCTGGCGCAAAGCATCTCCACTTGCCGCGGTGATCTTCTCGGTTTCTTGCTTGACGCGTTCAAACTCCTGACGAGCTTAGTTTGAGTCAAAAATCGTATGAGGTGACAAGAACAGAATCAATTGTGCCACAGGCACCTGCCCTGAAAGCCCTGCTTTGGCACAATTCTTTTTTATCCTTGATGCGTTGAGCTTTGATCCCCTTTCATCTATCGAAGCATGACTTCCATTGAAAGAGATTTCAAGAGGCTCCTGAAGCTGGTCGGGTGTGAAAGTGACGGCGCGATCTGCCAAGCCTTTCTTCAAGGTCTCTTGCTGAGACTCCAGCCGTGCTTCTTCTCCCCCTGCAAAATTCGCTCCAAGGCGTCCAAATGTTGCGAGGCTTTTCCGCATTCTATGTTGTTCTATGACTGACTACTTCTGCAAAATGAATCACATCGGAATGGTATGTGCAACGAATTCAAGAGTGGGAGAGCAAGGGAAAGCAGACGAATGTGGAAGGGAGGCAGAACTCGCTGGTTCCTCCGATGGTAAAATGTCAATCATCGTTAACTATTTTGCAAGCTTTTCCACATCGCCAATGCTAGTTTGACTTCAGGAATCTGAACTCTCGAATCAGCGAGCTGTTTTGTTTCCATCTCTGTCCGTTGCTAAGGTGAAAACTGATAGCTGCGAGCTGTTCTTGGAGCTTGTTGCGCCTGAACAGCTCGATGCTCTGCTGGCTTTTGTAGTCTAGAACTCACTTCAAAACGCCCAATTGACCCGGTGCAAAGTCTGCAAAGTCTGCCTCTGTCCGTCTTGTTCTGCAGAATGAGAGAGTTCCTCCAGCCTGGCAATAATTGACTCCGATTGACTCCAAGTTCCAAGGGCGTCCCAAGACAGTTCCAACATCCTCGTAACACCTAGCGTAGCTTGACTGCAACAACTCTAGCAACAGTGCCACAACTCCCCCAAATTGCAGCTAAATATCAAACCACTTCTTAAATCGTCTTTAAAAGGTTCCTCTAAGTGTCACCAAATGTTTGACGGTCTGTCTTTCGAAAGCTGGGAAAGCAGCAATGGACCACTGGACCCACTCCAAGCTGCGCCTCTGCTCCAGAAAGGAAAGTCTGCTCTTGATGGTGACGCGCTCAGGATGGAGGCGCCTAAGCAGAGAAAGTCCAACCAGTATCGACAACCGACAGTGCGACACACCGACAGCAACTGACAGCAACTGACAGCAACTGACAGCAAGTTCAGTGCCTGTGTACATCAAAACTGTTATCCTTGTATGTCTTGTAAGGAGGTGCCAGGCTTAAATTTATGGATAAGAACAAGGCCTTTGAATTTTCAAAGGCATAAGACGTGCACGGGTTTCTTGAGTTTCTTGAGTTTCTTGAAGGCCCCGGCTCAAACTTTGCCTTCACTGCAGCCATCTGCTTTTCAACCTCGCAGAACAGCCTTCTCAACTCCAGGCTTTGCGGAGCTTCGAGACAAGCACTGGACACGGCAGAGAGCAGCAAGACAGCCACCGCAGCCACTGCAGCCTGCTGTGTCGCAAGATGTGCTTTGGCTCTTTGGCGATCCGCTGCCTCCAAACGATACGAAGTCAAGCTCTTGTCACAATTTCAGCAGAATGCTGCAACTGCTTGGCTGCTTGGTCATGCAGCTAGCCAACCAGCACAATGTCCTGCCTCCACCTGTCCTTTCTCGGCTTCCATGTGCTCACGAACTTCCTGGAGAAAGCAATGCATTGAGCTGCAGAAATTTACAATTCACATGAATTCACGTGCTAAATCCTGATGCAGAGCCTGATGCATACATAATTCAGTTTCACCTGCAGCGAGCCTCGCAATCCTTCACAGCCACAGAGCGAGCGTTGGAGGCACACTCTAGCAGAGAGAAAACGCCTTGGCGCTGGAAGCTGTTCATTGCACAGAAGAAGGAATGCGAAAGTGTGAGCCACTTGTCAAAACATGCCTACACATCTCCTACACATATCCTACAAATCTGCACATCTGTGCAATCTGCAAAGATCTGCAAAGTACTTGAGGGTCAAACCATGCAATCGAAACAGTGTGTACTCCCGCTGCATGTCCTGTCTGACCGTCTTGAGATGCCTGTACCTGACGGAGTGTTGACGGAAAGATAAAAGTAAATTCGAACTCCCACAGCCAAACAGCAGTATTGACTCATTGCTGAAGCGATTCACTACTGCAGGCGGAAGAATGAAACATGTTGAATCATGTTGAATCATGTCGGTGCGTTTGACTTGGTGCATGGAGCTCCATGGAGCACTCATCAGCCTCTTCCTTTTGATGTGAAATTCGCTTGCGCTCGTTCATGGCGTTGCGCTTCTTTGCAAACAAGTATCTGCGCACAGAAAAGGGGCTCGATGGTGGTCGAAAACTGTGTGCATGAAGTCGCGATGAAATCCAAATACCAAGACTGCCTGGCTTGTTCTTCAAGCTTCGTCTTGTCCGCAGATAGGCTTTCATATTCCTGGTTTGCCAATGGTTCCAGTGATACCTTTGATCTTGAAGTGTATCTGCAATCCATCACTGTAGACCAATTACCATGAGATCATATGTGCAAGCTTCCAGTTTGAAGTTTGAGAAGGTGCCAGGCACGAAAGTGGATAGGATGAAAGTGGAATAGGGTAATTACTGCTTTGATATCCCGGATGAGTCAGGGATGTTTAAATCCTCCACAGATAGGTCTTTCGAAACATTGGCCTACAGATCCATTCTGCCAGCGACCACTTCCACCAGCCTGACGGAATGCCTCTGATCCAGATATTTGCTCGAAGAAAGCTGTCAGCTCCTGCAAGCACGAAGAGTACGAAGCAATCAGAACATAGTCCGAAAGAGTTGGAGATAGTCACAGATAGTCAAACATAGTCTGTAACATCTGTAACATAGTTGCTGCTTCCAATCTATGCTTTCGTTTGTCCCAACTCCACATGGGAATATGGCCCTCCTTGCCCTGGCGTTGTGCAGTCGCTTCCACGTCTCCTTGGAACACCAAGAAGTTCCTCACCTGTCAACCCGGACAAATTGAAGAAATGATGTCAAATTAAAGCAGCTAAGCAACTCAACCGTCTGTGAAATAAAAAAAGATCACGCTTCAAGGTTCACCTGCCTTGGACAGAATGTTGATTCCTTCCAATCGCTTTTGGTACTCTGCTTGAGAGACCGTAGCATTGTTGACCTTTCAAGCAGCTGAAGCAGCAGTCTAATTCCATCAAAAATTAGCCATACAGTAAAGCATTGGTAAAGCACTCCAAACTTTTTCAAACGGTCCAAACCTGGAACTTTGCTTCGCCAGTGCGAGAAATGGTGCGACCTCAGTTTCCGTCGAACATGAAGCCAAGCATGTCTGGATGATGAATAGCCAATAGCATACAAATGCATTAAATGCATAAAAACATTCCCTTCGCGAGGGACGGAACACGAGTACCTGCTCGCCGTCAGCTTGGTCATCCACCTAAAAGCATCGCACCGGCAACCAAGATCTCAATCTCGTGATGCTTCCAACCAACGTCTGGGGGTATAGCGTAGGTAAGCTCCACATATGCGGTACGCCTCGGATTCTGCAGTGTCACTCTGCTGCTGGAAGCATTGTATTCCTTCCACAAGGATTCATCAGGTCCGAAATATCAAGCGCATCCGAGCAGGAGACTGATTCTTTTTTGGATCCTGCGAGTCATACGAGTCAGAAGTCAGGCAGTCGCCACAGGCTGCCACAGTCTGGTCCAGTGCCACAGTTTGGTCGTCCTCTTTCTCTGTGCGGTAGACCAAGTCACGTGCACGTTCTCCCCGGAGCTGCCGCGCCTGCGGAAATGGAATGAAACACTGAGCATCACTGAGCTGCCAGGCGAACAACGATGCAAAACAAAACGAAAAGGAAGAAAACATGCGAAGTGCATCGTCAATGATTTGCCTGCACGCCAAGTACAAAACTGATGGCATCCATGAGATTCGACCTGCAAGCAGACTAGCCTGGAAAAGTGACATGCACTGTTCATGCATCGCCAGTATTGTCAACGGCAATAAGGTATCCTATTGTGCATTCTCCATTTGCGTCCTTGAGGAGAAAGAGAGAAAGAGAGATGTGCAACGAGGACCAGGTAGAAAAGCCATTTTCAGGACAACCGCAAAAGATCGCAAAAGCATTTATGTCAGGTCAGTGTGGAAATTGATGATCTGCTTACAAGATAGGGGCACACTAAGTCACTTGGAGCCGCGCTTGCCAGCGCCGTTGGGCCCGATGATGCAAGTGAACTTCCTCCGAACACGGGAAGGACGTGAAGCAAGTGTTCTGCGAGGCTCGTGTTACAATGCTTCGATGAGCACTCGCCACATCTCCAAAGATGTGTCCAATTGTTTTTGTCGACGATCCAATTCGGTGTGTTGAACAATTGTAACAAGCTTTCAACTGGCTATCAGCAACTGGCTATCAGTCTTTTGACTCTGCGCAGCTTTCACCCGCTTGGACCTTGATTGTTGGAACAACAAAAAAGTGCGGCCTGAAAGGTCCGATTTTCACCTTGCCCTGGTACGACCTGGGTCACTGCATACAGACTGTCAACACATCTCTTAAACATCAGCAAAGACATGCAGAGACGCCAAAAGCGTGAGCTATAAGCCCTATAAGCAATCAAACTCTCAGTCTGTCTATCAGGAGTCGAAAAGAGTGACGGACTTGAAGTTCTCGACAATGATCTCGTGGACTCTGCCCATCGTGTTTTCAAATTTGCCTGGAGAGAGGTTCACCCAATTTCACCAAAACTCTCTTGAAAAGGTTAACATATGTTAGCATGTAGCCGTGATTAGCCGTGCCTGTGTGAGGGATGATGCTGCTCGTGCAGTACAGTCCAGTCGACTTGAGCAATGGATTGTTGAGAAAAAAAACGCAGAATAAACGAAAAAAAGAAAGCGCACAGGACTTCATCACAAAACAGTCAAAGCCGGAGGTGAGTCTGAAGAAGCCTACAACCTTCTGTTAATGGGTCTGGCCTTCTTGTCGCGAAGCTTTTGCGGTCTCCAGTATAGATGAAATACAAGTGTGTTGTTTCTACTCTAAGCTCATGCCTGCTTCTAACGAAATGTATTTGTAGTTGATGGTCTGAGTCTACAAAAATTGTTGCTTTTTGATGCTTTTTGTCGCCAATCAAACACAATGCAAAATGGAACCCAAAGCGTCTTTTTCATGCGGAGATTTGCATGACAAGCGTTCCATTGCGATGCTTACCGCCAAATGACTTTCTGCCATCCCCTTTTAGAACGGCGTCACTTTCCTCGCTGTTTCAAGGCGAACCATTTGTCAGGAACCCAGTCACAATACATCAATATTGTAAGCACAACAGCACAACAAGCCCTTTCAAAGCTTTCTAGTGCTGAAACAAACAACACCACATCAAAACAAAGTTACAGAGTTACAGTATACAGTATTTATATGTTGGATGTACTGTTTCACTTCTACGCTTCCAGCCTTTCCTGGTTTCAACCTGATCGTGAACCGTCAACGAGCAAGTTCGTAGAAGTGAGATTCATTGTTTGCTTGGCCATTTCGAGCTGGGAGGAGGCTCTTGTCCTTCGAAGCCACCTGCCGACGCCATGACGCAGAGACTCTTCCAACTTGGGAGGCCAAAGACATCCGAGGACATCCAAAGACAATGTCTGGCACTGAGGCCTTTACTGTTTCAGTCACTTCTTTCCGTGTTAAGCATTCACTCACATGTGAAACTTCAGGCAACAAATCCGGCCTGAGACACCTTGAGAATTCCACTCGGTCTGTCCCACGGATTGTGAACAGATGGAGGTCGGACATTTTCAGACCTCTTTTCAGACCTCTTTGGTGCAGTCTGTGAAGTCTTGAAGAGCTCTGTGACTCTGGACTTCGCAGACTTCGGTGTCTGGGGTTGGAGCAGGTCACGCAAAGGGGGTGGAGGATTGCGGCAAAGTTGATTCACGACCATGCGCCCTGCAGCATATCGAGCCTGCTGAACATTTGGCACTGGATGCTGACTGGCTGAAGTCAAGAGAATACGATTTGCACACTTTTGTTCTTCCAGCCAATCTGTTGTCTGGATTTCTTGCTCCTTGATCATTACCTCAAGTATGTCAACCTGTCCCCCTATGGACAGCTGGTGATCTCGCAATCTTTGACATGGGGCAGCAGATCGCCTTGGTATGGGCTGAAAAACATTCAGATAGACTCAGACTCAGATTAGACTCAGATTAGTAATGATTAGTACCCAAGTGCGCTTTCTTCACGACATCTGTGACTGTGTTCAACTTCGGCATGCGCTTGTTCTGAGACCTTGGCCCTGCATTTACAAGGTCGAGACACTTTTCGGCTGACCTGTTGTATTTTGATGTATTTTGGTGAGAAGGATAGCCGCATAGCCAAACTCAAAAGCAAAATACACTGGGTAGATCTGGGAATCTGGGTGCCACAAAGCAAAACTGCTTCCTGAGGCTTGGACAGCGTCTCATTGAAAGTCTTGGGGCGAAACGAGGCCCGATTCCTTGGACGGCAATGTGATATAGCATGCTTCAGGATGCTTCTTACGTCCTGGAACGTCCTAGTATCGAGTCCGAACCTTGCAATGCTACAATGTCACCTTCTATTCAGTTCCTAATAAGAAATCGAAACAATAAATAAAAACAAGAACATGTTTCAGGACAAACTGCGCTGTCGAGGTCTGTTGCAATAGCCCTTCCATAGGTGCGATTGCAAGTTCCAAGCTTACCCAAGCCCGGTGGACGAAACCAGAAACCACACTGGGGGGCTGTATGGGTCAACACAGAACAAAATCAGGTGAAGCAACTGTCGCTCAAAAAACACCCCTCTCATGATATTCCGACACGTGCTTCACTCTGCCAACATGCAATTTAGACAAAGAACAAACATGCAACCAAGATGATCCGAGGTGATCCAAGATGATCCAAAATGTTGTTTTGAAAGAAATTATACAGTAGCTATCAGTCGCTATCAGCTCAGAAATCTCAGCTCCTGGGATCTGGTGCGCGTCTGCGCGGATGCGTGCAGCGGGGAAGCAGCAAACGCAAACGTTGCAAGCAAAGCATTGCTCACAACGTAAGGAAAGCAACGTGAGTCTAGTGAGTCTATATGATATAATTATATATACAGAGAGAGAGAGAGATAGAGTTACCAAGAGTTACTAGTTGCTTCTTATACGAGAGAGAGAGAGAGAGAAGGAAAAAAAAACTAGTTCCTGATAGGAGATTGAGAGAGAGAGAGAGAGGGAGAGCAATGCTACTCGTTGTTGGTACTCACATGTGTGAACATTCCTTCGAAATGATTGAAATAGCAAAAAAAAACTGTCAAACTAAAACTAGCAACAAGCAACCTGCTTCAATGTAGTCCCCACACAAGCAGCAAACTTCCAGGCGTCGCTATCTCCATCCGAACACTGGAATAACGGTGCAGGGAAAAAATAATTGTATGTGTGTATGTGTGGGTGCCCTTTATGGTCCCCATCGCGAGCAACAGACATCTTGCCAACTCAGAAACTTGATTCCCACAACTGTCCATTGAATCTCCCTGTACGCCAGCCCTTGCGACCCACTACATAGTTTGAACTTCAGGTCACGTTACAAGAACTTCAACACAACCCCACTCCACCAAAACAGAAAGCAAACAAAGAGTCTAGGCCTAACCCAAAGAACAACCACTGAACATGGAGCACTCAGCAAGAAAGGGTGGACAATGCTGTTGAATCTGACAGTTTCAGTCTCAGTACAATGCTCTTCTGCCAGCCGTCTCAGTTCGATCTCTGCTTCAGCCTGTTTTGGCCAGTCATGACACCAAACGAAGGCAAGAGAGAAAGAAAGCGAATAAAAGAGAAGTGCTAATGGAAGGAAACCGCATAGAGTCTGAAGGGCTTCAGTGACTTTTGCTTCCATTCTTTACATTGGCATAGTGATTGAGGGCAACGGCACGCCTCACACTGCACTCCAATCACATGAATTGGCCTTGCAGCTGGAGGTAGAAGCTCAAACACTCAACTGTTTCCATAATCTCAGCAGAAGTTCTCAGGTTCTGTCAGTTGTCTTTTGTTTTGCGAGCGGATCTCTGCACGACAGTAGTCCTCACTGCATCAGGATCAGGATCTGTCATTCAGGGAAAGCATCTTTGCCAGCATGATCAATCATTCAAGATCCGGACGGTATCGGCATACTTGGGGAAACCAGAGGTCAAAAGGTATATCGCATCCTCAGATGTTTTTGCAAGCTAAGCAGCTAAGCGCGCATGCTCACAAAAGGGGGCAATCACTGCTGTCTTGTTGTATACTGTATACACAATGGCACCAGCACTTCTCTCAGGCTTTTCTCACAGAGGTGACCGGCATAGAGCAACATTGAGCTCGCATCTGCATCACTTTGAAGTGCCCAGCAAAGAGCCTTCCCAGGGCAGAGAAAAAAAGACGCTTCCTCCCTGAACGCCTTTCAAGACACGTGGACAGAATGACCCTGGTGTGCGTGCAACAATACTCTGTTCCAGTCGATCCATAGTCACACCCAACTTCGCCTGCAAGATGCATGTCCTCTTGGCGGGCTGGAGCTTGTCAACAAAGTCTTCAGCCTTACACAATGCATTTAGCCAAAGCAGAAGGAAAAGCTAGGGAGAGCGGGAAAGCATGATAAGGCATCTATCGTGGCCTGCACCATCCCCTCAAATTTAGGCAAGACTCTTCTCGCAGCTTCTGCGCCACTGGCGGTACCAAATGGTCCTACTGGCTTCCACGTTCATTCCGCTGATGGCAAGCAACTGAGATGTTGTACTTTGTTGCAGAAGCTTTACTGTACAGCTCCTCCCATGCAACCACCTTCCCTCTCGAGAAGGAAATGATGTTGAACCTCCAAGAATAATTCTGTTTGCTTGCGAGGACCATCGTTACCAACATGAAATTCACAGCTACTGCCAGGCCTGCTTTTCGCAACTAGGAAGGAGTACCTTTTCACATCTTTCATCGACATCTTTATCATCTTTCATGTTCTGTTCAGAAAGGATTTGAAAGACGACTTGCAGAACTTCCTGGCTGACAAGGTAGAAGCTCGGCCCTGGACATTAGCCGCTTGACAGCTGCTTTGATGAAGACGGAGTACTGGCACCAGAATTGCACAGAGTTCTTACGTTGCAATTTCCTTTTCGAGTTTCACTCTACTAACAATCAGAATAGCAACCTTCGCAAGTGGTCGAAACATGCTGCATGACCGGACCTTACCCACCGCACCAGCCATGTCAATGACTAGCAAAGGGCGAAAGCCTTCCACCTGTGATGGAACCGCAGATAGAAGTTGGCGAAGATTCAGGATGCCAGTTTTTTACAGTTGGACAATGCCTCTCAGTGCACGCACCTGGCCAAAGCTTTTTTCGTCAACTTCTTGCAGCAAAGTGCCGAATTCCTGTCCGCACCACTCCACCTGCACCCTGTCTTGCGTATTGTCTTTCATTGACCTCTTGCGCTGAACATATTCATGTGGTACAGTAGATTATCATGCATGTGGTATAGTAGATTATCGATTGAAGGACCGTGACCCAAAAATGCTCGTTGCTGGCTGTCCTTGCCCGGCTTGTAGCTGTAAGGAAGCCTCAGACCCAATTAATAACAGCGGAATTTCAAGTCTTGGAAGGTTTCTGTGGCTGAATATAGCGTGTTCTGCTTGTGTCTGCTGTCGCACATGTCCTGCTCGATCACCACACTAGAGCCGGATATGAAAAGCTAGGCTCTATACATATTAGGCGCATAGTCCTGCTAGGCTGCACCAAATGCAAAAAGTGTTGCAACTACATGCTGCAGGATGCCGCACGCTCTAAATTTGAAGGTCCGTGTGTGGCGCCTCTCTGTCAGCCCCTCGCTCCAGCAAAGATCGCAGGGCCTTTACAGAAGGGATGGGATTCTCAGGACTTGTGGATCTTGTGGATCTTGTGGACAAGTTTCTTGAACAGTGGACTTTTCGATCTTTTCGGCTCTTGACAAAAGGCCTCCAAACACCTTTGGAAGAAGTCCAGTCGGGCACGGATCTCCTTGAAACACAAGACTCACAAGACATTAAAAGATTTCAAAGCACAGAGATCCGAAAGGAATCGAAAGACAGAACGATGCAGAACACAAAAAACTCACCTGAAATGACCAAGGCTTCACTGGAAAAAAACAAAGGAATGGAAAAGAAATGAAGCGAGGAGACAAGAACAAACGCAAAGTGCCGCAAAGAGTGAAAGCCAAAACCAGAAGTTCAGTGTTGCGCCTGCACTCTGCGGCCACAAAGCCTCTCGAATTCGATGATGTCCACCCGAGCCACACTGCAGACGCGCTTCACAGAACCACTCTGCAAACTACACGTATGGAGAAATAGTATGCCCGTCTGATTGTCTTGCTGCAAGCAGTACTTTTGCCTTCAATGCACGAAATGCGTTCGATCATGTTCTTTGGATCTTATTCTTGGGCTTATGACTAATTCATACTAAATGTATCTAAATGTCTGATTCAGTGATTGGTTTTCAAGTGTTGAGGCTGTTGAGGCCTGTAGTGGATCGGCAGTGGTGACACCACGGATCCGGGCCGTTCTCGGGGCCGCATCGACACCTTGGAGATCTTGGAGAAGAAATTGATAGAAATCAAAGAGAAATTGTAGGATTTGGCTCCAGGAAGGAAAAAGAACACCATTCCTTCATCCATCCAACCTCAGTTGCCCCTTGTCATTTGCACATCTCACGGCATTACATTCATATTAATATAGATTCACCGAGATTGACACAATGATGTACGCATGCCCGGGGTCTGCTGGCATCTCGTGCATCTGCAGGTCAGTCCATGAAATGTGGCAAAATTATCCTGGAATGACATGATATGAAAATATATGAAATGTATGCAAATGAATTGCAAATGTATGCAAATGTTGTGACACAAGGATCAAGCAAATCCAAACGCAGTACCTCGCTGAATCTGGCAGCTATGTACTCTCGCAGCTTTGGAGTAAGCTGCTCGACCTGATGTTTTCTGTGGGTGGAGGTATTCCCGAGCTGTGTTCTACACAATCGCAGTTGGAAACTTGTGGCTAGTAAGACTTCCCAGCACAAAAGGGATAATGAGACAGCAGCATACTGAAACGAAACGATAGAAAAAATGTAAAAAATACATGTTGTGACGGGAAAAATAGATACAATTACAAACAGCTGAAGAAAACAAACAGTACTGTTGCCTCCCAATCGCAGCGAATCGAGCGGAAGCATGGCTCCTTCAAGAACAAATGACTTTTGGAGGTTCTTCACTCATGGTTCTTCATTGATCATCCAAGTTGGTCCAACTCAATTATGTGGTGCGTAGCGAGATGCTCATGTCTCCTTGCAGTCCGGCCCTGGAGCCTCAGCAGTGGCAACATGTGGCAACCCCTTGTACAAGAACTGTGCACTACCCAGACTCCTCAGAGTCATCAGATTCATCAGACGCGTCAGAGTCTTGAGCCTAAGTTTGTCCAAATCAGCCCAACCCTGAGACCGCTGACAGAGTTCGCTGGAGGTTGCAGGTCTTCTTGGAAAATCTCTTGGGGTCCTGACAAGTTCATACAGATTCATAGCAGTTCAACAAACATTCTCAGATATTATCCGTTGTGCACAGTAGTGTTCCAACAACCCTGGGCAAGTTACTAGCAGCTAGGTTGGCCTGTCTGTCTGGTTTTTCTTTCAAACGACCCATCGTCAAATAGTTGGGAAGTGCAACAGTTTGGAAGCGTGTGAATTCACGGGTGAAAACACTCTCGGGCGCGAAACCTTATGATTTTTTCGGGTAATGTGGCTCCCGGGGTCGCGAAAGTAGGGTCTCTGTTTCTGTGAATTCGGGGCTCGACCTGCAAGTTGTCGACAAACACCCGACTGTAGCGAGAGCTCGATGTGCACTTCAAAATGTTAAAAAACTGTCACATTCGGAATACTTTTGGCCGTTTAGGTCGGCAAAATGAGCGCCAGACTGTTGCGAGAGCTCGATGTGCACTTCAAAATGTTAAAAAACTGTCACGTTCGGAACACTTTTGGCAGATTAGGTCGGCCAAATGAGCACCAGACTGTAGCGCGAATTCGATGTGCACTTCAAAATGTTAAAAAACTGTCACGTTCGGAACACTTTTGGAAGATTAGGTCGGCAAAATGTGCACCAGACTGTATACCGAGAGCTCGATGTGCACTTCAAAATGTTCAAAAACTGTCACATTCGGAACACTTTTGGAAGATTAGGTCGGCAAAATGTGCACCAGACTGTAGCGCGAATTCGATGTGCACTTCAAAATGTTCAAAAACTGTCACATTCGGAACACTTTTGGAAGATTAGGTCGGAAAAATGTGCACCAGACTGTAGCGACAGCTCGATGCACTTCAAAATGTTAAAAAACTGTCACATTCGGAACACTTTTGGAAGATTGGGTCCGCAAAATGTGCACCAGACTGTATACCGAGAGCTCGATGTGCACTTCAAAATGTCAAAAACTGTCACATTCGGAACATTTTTGGAAGATTAGGTCGGCAAAATGTGCACCAGACTGTAGCGACAGCTCGATGCACTTCAAAATGTTCAAAAACTGCACTTTTGGAAGATTGGGTCGGCAAAATGAGCGCCGTACTGTAGCGAGAGCTCGATGTGCACTTCAAAATGTTAAAAAACTGTCACGTTCGGAACACTTTTGGCAGATTAGGTCGGCAAAATGAGCAGCAGACTGTAGCGACAGCTCGATGTGCACTTCAAAATGTTAAGAAACTGTCACATTCAGAACACTTTTGGAAGATTAGGTTGGCAAAATGCGCAAGAGACTGTAGCGAGAGCTTGATGTGCACTTCAGAATGTTAAAACATTGTCACATTCGGGAACACTTTTGGAAGATTAGGTTGGCAAAATGTGCACCAGACTGCGGCAAGAGCTCGATTCCACATAAAGATCGTAAAGACGGAGGCGTTCGGAGCAGCGCTGCGCGAACGTTGGTCGATTGGGTGTGAAGTTTCTGCGATGCGGCTTTTCAACCGGCTGTGACAAAAAACTTATTGGCACCGCTGCGCGGAGCAAAGCATGAGTGATGCTGCGACGCTCCTGGCAAGCGGGATTGCAGCTGGAGGTTGTTAAACGGATTGTGCCAGTTTCGCGAGAGGAAGAATTGGATTGCAGAAGCTACAAAAAAGCTAGCTGGAAGGCAGCTCAGGGCAGAAGTGGCCCAGATAAGTGGCCGCTCAGAGAAGGAGTAGCTGAGAGAAGAGGTGCCTCAGCGAAGAGGTTGCTCAGTAAAGAAGTAGCTCAACAAAGAAAAGTAGTTCACCCATCTATCCATCCGTCCACCCATCCTTCAAGTCATTCATTCGTTCATTCGTTTATATAGTCACTGACTCACTGATTCATTGATTCAGTGATACATTGGTTCACTGATTCACTGGATTCATTGGTTCATTGCTTGATTGATTCGTTGGTTCACTGATTCATTGATGCACTGATTCATTGATTCATTCGTTCATTATTTTTCAAAGGTGCACTCAGTCATCGATTCAGTGATTCATTCGTTCATTGGTGATTCAATGGTTGATTCACTGACTCATTGACTCATCGGTTCATTGGTTCGTTGATTCACTGATTCATTGATTCACTGATTCATTGATTCACTGATTCATGAATTCATTCATTCATTGATTCGTTGGTGTATTGATTCATTGATTGGTTGATTTACTGATTCATGACGTCATTGATTGATTCACGGATTCATGGCTTCATCTATTCGTTGAGTCATTGATTCATTGCTTCGTGACTTCATTGATTCATCGACTCACTGCTTCGCTCATTCATTGATTCATTGGATCACAGATTCATCCATTCATTGGCTCTTTGATTCATCGATTCATTGGCTCACTGATTCATTCAGTCAGCTGTGCATGGTTTCTTCCATGTCTGGCATTTCAACAACCAGTTGCTCATTCGTTGACGCATCTCACAACTTCAACACTTCTGCACCACAAACTTTCCTATAGGCCATCTTCTTGCTATAGTTGTTTCGTTTTTTTTTTCGAAACCTCCGCCCTGGCGCGGGCCCGGCACTACCTGTATACATGGTTGGGCACACCTTTCATAGAGAGAGAGAGAGTGATATATATATATATTAATATACAGTATGTGTTTTATTCATTTATTTTTATTTTAGTAGAAATACATATACATGTGTATATATATATATACATATATATATATACTTTATACGCATCCATATATACACTCTATACAAATTATATTATCGAAGGAAGTTTAGAAGTCAAACTTCCGACAATATGGACAGATGAAAAGCAGAGTAGGGGAGAGGCAGAGAGAAGAGGAAGATTGGAAGAGAGAAGATGAGGAGAGAAAGAGTCAGAAGAAAGAAGATACAGATGCGCGAAAAGGTAGGAAAGTCGCGAAACACTGTGTTTTTCCAATGATTTGTGGCTCAGGAGGGTCGAAAAGTAGGCTCGCTAAAGCGGCGGGTGCGGAGCCAGCTGGTCACAGGAGCGATGAAAACTTGCACGCCGTTGTGGCGCGAAGCACATTTCCAAGTCAAAAGGTACAAAACACCTCAGGTCCGGACCACTTTTGGAAGTTGAGATGTCGAAAAAGTGCGCGCCGTTGTGGCGCGAAGCACATTTCCAAGTCAAAATGTACAAAGCACCTCAGCGTCGGACGACTTTTGGAAGTTGCGATGTCGAAAAAGTGCACGCCGTTGTGGCGCGAAGCACATTTCCAAGTCAAAATGTACAAAACACACCATTCTCGGACCACTTTTTGAAGTTCAGATGTCGAAAAAGTGCACGCCGTTGTGGCGCGAAGCACATTTCCAAGTCAAAAGTGTTAAAAACTGGCGGTCTCGGCCCACTTTTGGAAGTTGAGATGTCGAAAAAGTGTCGAAAAAGTGCACGCCGTTGTGGCGCGAAGCACATTTCGAAGTCAAAAGTGTAAAAAACTGAGGGGTTTGAGCCTTTTTTGACGTTAAGATGTCGAAAAAGTAGACACTGATTAACTTAACTAACTTGACTAACTTAACTAACTTCACTAACTTAACTACCCTAACTTCGACGACAACAGCAACAGCAACAGCAACAACAACAACAACAACACCAACCACAACAACAACAACACCAACCACAAAAACTACAACAACTACAACAACTACAACTACAACAACTACAACAACTACACAACAACTACAACTAGAACTACAACTACAACAACTACTACTACTACTACTACTACAACAGCAACAACTACAACTACAACTACAACTACAACTACACAACAACTACAACTAGAACTACAACTACAACAACTACAGCTACAACTACGACAACAACAACTACTACTACTACAACAGCAACAACAACAACAACTACAACTACAACAACTACTACTACAACAACAACTACTACTACTACTACAACTACACTACACAACAACTACAACCACACAACAACTACAGCTACAACTACAACAACAACTACAACTACAACAACTACAACTACAAGTACAAAACAACTACATCTACAACTATATGACTGCAACTGCACTACACTAATTACATTACACCACAACTACAACTCCACTACGCTACAACTACAACTACAGTTGCAGTACATCACACTACATCCAGCAGTTGTGGATGAGGTGACCACTGCAACCATTGCAACCATTCCAGCAAACACAGCTCCAACCACCTTTCGGTCAATCAGTGGATTCGCTCTGCCATCGTGATTCACAACAACCAACGTCTCCTATAGGTTTCCTATTCTGAAACTTCCGCCACCGCCTTGTGCGGTACTACTGGTATATATATATATATACATGTACAGTATGTACCTGTTCACACATGTGTGTGTGGGTGGAACACCTGAAGAGATGTAAAACTTCTATCTTGATTGACGGAATTGCTTTTTCTTATCAGGTTCTTTGCCATTACAATGAACCAGTTTTGAGTATTTTACCAGGCGTTTATCCAATCTCCTTTTCAATTGCAGGGGGCGTGACGGTTGATTTCCTAGTCACGCCAACGAAGCTATGGAAATCAACTGGATGGAAGTTTGGACGCAAACTTCTGTACCTGCAGTGTCGCTCCTGGGCGCATTCAAGTCGCAGCTGGGGGACACGTCATACTGTGTTTTCTGTTGTTGTTTAGCTGCATTGTCAAGTGCCAACCAAACTTCAACCTGAGGTTTCTCACTTCTGATCATTCAATGGCTCCTGTCAGGTTTAATTGGAGTGTTTTGGCACGTAAGATGCATTCCACATCAGAATTCGCAAAGATGTTTCTGAGCAAGTGTGTGATTCATGCTGGATTCGTCAAGGTGGCATGAACCCTTCGGGGAAAGCTTTTCCAAGCTAAGACTTGACACTTCGAAATGACCTCTGAATTGACACTGTTGAATTAGTAATTTGTAGCTGGCCATTTTTCGGTTTTCACCCTGTCGACTGTCGTTTGGTTGAACAGCATGCCGCTGTGCCTGGCTTCACCTTTTCTTTTGTCTGAATTTACACTTTTGAATTAGTAATTCGTTTAAGTAAAGTGAACAGCTGGCCATTTTTCGGTTTTCACCCTGTCGAATGTCGTTTGGTTGAACAACGTGCCGCTGTGCCTGGCTTCACCTTTTCTTTCATGAAAAATCAGGCAACAGGACATGCTTTAGGTGTGGTTTTTTTTCTTTTTATGGTCGTTGGTGAGGTTCAATTGTGCACGTAATTCAGGGGTTGACAACTTAAGCCGTTTACAGGGTTGTGACATGAAAGCCGAGGGCCTTTGAGCCTTATCACGAAAAATGCACGTAATGAGGATGCATCTTATTTCATCAACTAGTTCCCCATTGGTCCCCTATCTCATGCGCGCTTCCCTCTCTAGGTCAGGTTTGGGTCCTTCGCGTTCCTAGGTAGGCTTTGGCTCTCGCCTTGTAGGTTGTGTCAGGCGCTTCTGTCCGCCCCCCCCCCTCCTCTGGTTGGTTTTTTGGCCCGTCGTCCGTCCGCTTTTTCTTTTTCCTTGCCCTTTCAGGGTTTGCCCGTTTCGGGCCAGGTGTGTTGGTGTTGGTGTTCTCTGTTTTTCCTTTTCCTTTTTGTGTTCCCCCTCTTGTGTTCCGGTTAAGTAATTGTCATCTCATTTTCATCGTCATCTCATTTTCATCTTTCCTTCATCTTCACCTTCATCTCATTCGTCGGGGCCTTAAAAAAGCCTCGCGGCAGCGGGGCGTGTGTGTGGAACATCTGAAGAGATGTAAAACTTCTACCTTGATTGACGGAATTGCTTTTTCTTATCAGGTTCTTTGCCATTACAATGAACCAGTTTTGAGTATTTTACCAGGCATTTATCCAATCTCCTTTTCAATTGCAGGGGGCGTGACGGTTGATTTCCTAGTCACGCCAACGAAGCTATGGAAATCAACTGGATGGAAGTTTGGACGCAAACTTCTGTACCTGCAGTGTCGCTCCTGGGCGCATTCAAGTCGCAGCTGGGGGACACGTCATACTGTGTTTTCTGTTGTTGTTTAACTGCATTGTCAAGTGCCAACCAAACTTCAACCTGAGGTTTCTCACTTCTGATCATTCAATGGCTCCTGTCAGGTTTAATTGGCGTGTTTTTGCACGTAAGATGCATTCCACATCAGAATTCGCAAAGATGTTTCTGAGCAAGTGTGTGTGCGTGCGCGTACGTATAGAGATAGAGAGAGAAAGGGAAAAAAGTTAGTCCCAGGCGTGACCCAGCACTCATGCCTGGAGGCTTGTCTTTGCAGTTGTCCATGCTGGACAGTATGCTCATTGGCGCTACGGACCGCGTGTTTTTCAAAGCCTTGGAAGCGTCACAAAGTCACGGGGCCACAGTCCCTCTATCACTTGATGTACCAGCCCAACAATCAAATATGTAAACAGCACCAGAAGCCAAGATTAAAGGTCCCTCAACTGCAAGACATTGAAAGTGAGTGGAGCAACACGATGCAAGCAAGGCAGGGACCTCAAGACGATCTACTGCTCTTTGTGTCGGAGCTTCTGCCTCGGGTCCAGCACAACCAGGAGCTGCTGTGATACAAATCGGTACAAACATGTAAAAACTTTGTATGCACAAGCAATATCAAACAATGCATCTGAAGACGAAGAATGAGGTCAAGTACTGGAGAAAGATGTGGAAATGGTGCTGTAGTTCTGGTAAAACTCAAGGCCTTGGATTTTCAATGCACCAGGGATCATCCAACTTTGCGTCTCATGAAATCAAGATGAGTTCTTATATATATATATGCATCCATATATTCGCTGTTTTCTCTTCAAAGAGATGTCAACTCCCTTCAGAGACACTTTCAAAAAAGTCTTGTTAATTGACTTCAAATCCTCAAACAGTGAAGCTCAGCTACATCTCCAAGCTCTGGAGCCAGCTGCCTTGGACCATGTAGGATGGATTGGACGCAAAGAACCACATTTGCAAACGCTTCCAATAATGTTTCGTTGCATACCTCACATCCTCAATGCATAGCACGCTAATTTGTGTGCAGATGTGTACAGTATTTGCTAATTCTGATTAACATAGAGTTTCAACAAATGTGTCATGACAAATCCCCAGTTGTCTCAACTTCAATAGTGCCCACCTCAACGCCTCATCTTCAGGCTCATTGACGAGTACCTTGAAGCATGCTGAGATGTCCATGACGAGAGCCGTGCCATTTCCATGTCGTCATGTCACCATAGGTCTCGTGAGTTGCACAAGTTCCACAGCATCTGAGCTGTAGACTGCCAAAACCTCTTCACTGTCACGCAGAGCATCTCCTACACGTTCTTCACTAGGCAGCTGGGCCTGCTTAGTGTTGGTCAGCCTGGCCGCAGACTGTGTTGAGATCAGAGGTAATCTCAAAGTGGCATCTTTAAATGGACTTGGAAGGACACCACTAGCCATATCAAGCTGCAGCAGTTGTAGCCATAGCACTCCCATTCACAGATTGGCATTTTTATCCCATGCCTCAAACTGACAACCTTTAAATGCTCCCAGCAACAATGCAGTGGGATTTCTCCCACCTCAGCAGTCGCCCTTCCACCTTGGCTCTTGCCAAAGCAGATCTTATCTGCGAGGCAAGATCTTCCACCTGGACAAGTCAGATCTTGCAGAATCTTGCACTACTCTCGACTCGAGGTGTGACGTGATTTCCATTTTTGGTTTACCGTACAGCTTCGTGAGGCTTGTCAGCTGCAAGGTCTGCTCTTGGTTCCCAACCAGAGCATCTCCATCAATACTGACCAAAAACTTTCCAATTATCCCTTCACCTTAGTAGCCAAAAAGATCTAGACGAGACACAAAAACAAATAGGGCTGGGAAAGAGCAATGCTGCTCTGCGAGGTGTCCATTTTAGAATCAAAGGTCACACAATTACTGTAACATCATTTGTTTCAATGAATTGACTGCATCCTGCAAGGGGATCAAGTGGCTTGAAACGAATCGCACATTGAAACCTCTTTGCCTTCTGAAAACTGAGCACGCAAAGGTGCAGATGTTCAAGTTTCTCCGGACTCCCCGATGTGAGCATCGTGAGCATCGTGAGCATCGTGAGCATCGTGAGCATCGTACCAACGAGGGCGACTACATTGAGTCGTACTTTTTGCCCAGCCCTCGGGTAGCAGCCGTTGATCAAAGAAGTAAAACTGTACAAAAGCACTGGACACTACATCTGGCACCAAAGAAACGGAAGCATTGACTACATGCGTCTAGTCAGCCCAGCAATTAGACGAATCGGACCAAGCATGAGACGGACTGCCAATAGAGGACATGGCCCTCCGTCTACTAGTGAAGCCCGCAGCGGGTGGAAGCAGCACCAAATCCAAACGTCGATGTGCACAGTAAGTTACCAACACAGGTGTACGAACAACCAGCTGAAAATGCAATGAAGGATCGGATGGTCTGATTTCACAAAGTCAAGATTTCCCGTTTGAAGTTGAAATGAAAGAGTTCTTGCTGCATGGGGTTCTGGCTGCCCACTCATTTCTTTTTGTTCGGTATTTTTATCCACATTTCAACAATTTTGCAACAAAGCAAGTGAAATACACGCACTTTTTTATCCAAACCTTTCGCGATCTGTTCTATCTTCCTTAGTGCCATAAGGACTTCACAACACTGTTTGAGATGTTGAAACACCTTGAAACTGCACAGCCTTCCAAACTAAGCAAGGCTCTGGATTGCGTTGCGATTCGCCCTGTATCTGCGACAAGTTTTGTGATACAGTACACTAATTCAGAAGTGATGAAGTGCAGAGGGAGCACCTTTCCATGCACTTACAAACAAGAGGGCTTTCAAAGAGAACTAGTAGAGAGATAGGCGGAGGTGAATGGTGCAAAAACCATTTGGCCAAGCTGGATTAATGTTTGTGCACATGTCTGCCTCTCCATTTGTTGGAAAGTCGTGGTCGTTTTTCAATGCCTGTCGCCCAAGACTTCGATTCGCCAACGCATGATCCAAATGTCTACATAGCACCCAACAAGACATGACAAACCTCGCATTGCTTCTCCACCACGGACAGAAAATGCTCCTGTCACAAATGATGTGTTTGACACACTGAATTCTCTACAGCAGCAAAACTGGCTGACAAAGTCCATCGGCAAAGCCACATACCATCTTGAGATGCGTTCCACGTACCGGGGGAATGCCGCTGAAATTGTGTTCTCATCTTCTGGATTATATGTATGTATACATATATATATACAGTATATATACAGTATATATACATGCGTGTGTATGACATTTTCGCAATGCCTGGGCTATGCCCACGCATTGCAAGTGAGGACCTTGCACCGAGTCAACATGGTTCAGAGAAGTTGCAAACCCACTGGCTGTATGCAGTGGTTCAAGGCTTACGTTTTGGGGTGTAAAGATTTTGGATCAGGATTAGCAGTGCTTGTTTCAAAAAATGTCTCCAGAGATATATGCAAATTATGTACATTGCAATATGCGTACTTTTTTCGAAACGTCCAAATATGTCTGGCAAAGTTATTTCCAAATTATTTACATATAATAGAAATCCCTACTCAAGTACAAAATGATATTGGGAACAATATTGAAAAGTTCTTGGCAACAAAAAAGTCATCTGATTGAGGGTTTTAAATAAAAGGTTTAGCACCTACTATCAGCATTAGCACCGCAAATCAGCGTCGCTCATTTGAAAAAATCTACAAAATATACGCGTCGAAATTACATGGAAACCTTTTTAGACCATCCGGGCAGGAGCCCCATCTCACGCAAACTGCGCAAGCCCGCCACTTCTGGGGCTAAAATGTTAGTTCTGGGACAAACGGCAGACTGTTCAATTCATCAAATTGCGCGCCCTACACAATTGGTTGCACAATTGGTGCATATAGTATATCAGAATGTATCAATGTATCAGAATCATAATGTATCAATATAGTTAATATACTTGGAAGATATTGGAAGCATAATCTCTGTGCCCTCAGCTCGTGCCTGCTCCGCCACAATGTCAGCCACTCCGGGGGCTGGCTTGGAGGCACCTCGACCTTGATGCGACCGACGAAACATCTACAGCCTACAGCATATTAAATAGACTTAAACAGAATAACTGAACCATATTACGCAAAAATATTAATGATATTATATATATATACAGAATATACAGAACAACTCTACAGCCCAGTCTACAGTATCAATCGGTGTGAAACCAGAACCCTCCGAAGCTTCTGTGTCTTGAGAAAAGAGTGGCCCAGTCTGACAAAGGCCATAAGCCTCTGGCTCAAGAAGAAAGCCAAGAGGAGGCAAACACAAGCCATGACCATCGTAGCTGCCATAAAGACTGGAACCTTTCGCCCGGAGATTGTATGACACATTGGTTTAAAGAATTTGGTGCATGTTTTGTTGCAATTTGTATCAATTTGTTACATATGCGATGGTCAGCAGGCTTGGGAAGGAACCAACGAGGCGTCTTCCTCATCGAGAATAAAAGGCACCTCTGCAGCAACTGCGTCCAGATTCAGCACGTCCCAGAAAGCAGACTGAGCAAATCACCACAGCAGTCACAATGCCAAAAGCAGCCCCACACCTCATTGGACACTGAAGAAGGTTGCAACACAAACAAACACTCACAGTAAAACCAGAATAGAATCAGCAAAATAGAAGAAAATCAACATTTTGACTGTTGAAGTGGCATCAGTGCCCGCAGCAATGATCGAAATCAACAAATGCTTTGGAGAGCCACCAGATCAAATGGTTGTTGGCCGCTTGCGGATCATGTCTCTGCAAAGCGAGGGCCCCTTTCAATGCCTCACAGGACCCGAAATTTCAATGACTTGATCAAATCTTAAATCAAATCATTCAAATTGATTCAAATTGAATCACTGAATCACATTCAAAAATATTCAAAATCGAAATCATTCATACGCGCAGCTGGATTCAGCTCGAGGTCTGGAAACCCTCTGACAACAGGTTAGCGTCTGGGAGGATAAGCTCTGACAACAGAAGTGATTTTTGCAATGTTGGAATCAAACTGTTGGCTTTGTTCATCAAAGTTTGTTAGTAATGCATAATATGGAAAACACAGAATGTGTTCATATGTGTTCTATGTGTTCTGTTGTGCTCTGTTGTGCTCTGTTGTGCTCTGTTGTGCTCTGTTGTGCTCTGTTGCGTTCTGTTCCTTTTCGTGGTTCGGCCTGGACGTCCACTTCCATGGCTTGCAGTGCCTCCTTCATGCGTTGGGCGATGAGATCCTGCACAAAACAACAAACAAAACATAACAAAACATAATAACTTATCATAACAAGACTCCATGTTTTCCGAAATACTTCAAGTATAATGTCAAATATCTTTAAATCATTGGTCTGCTCCCCTTGATGCCTCATGTGAGTGAAGGTTCCTTGTGTTTTTTAGTGCCTTGAGCGAACCCGTTGCAGAGAAAATTGCGGAAATTACCATGGAAGAATGACTCATGGCCCGCAAGCTCAACATTCTTGAATCCAACAGTAGGCACAAAATACTGCAATTGACCGGGAAGTTCAATTGTGATTTCAATGTTCAATAGAGCTTTTGGTGGAGCAAATGAAATGAATGTTTCTGTCTCAACTTGAGAAACAAAGCAAGTTTCGCGAGCAACACTAATGGCATTAGTTTGACCATGTGTCTAGACAAATAATTAATCCTTTTGTCTGAGAATTATCTAAACCTCGCTAAACCTGTTTGGGCAGTCCAGGCAGTCCAACGTAAGAACTGCAACCTTTCAGAGTCCGTTCACGGTCTCTGCGTGGTCCTGCGTCAGCTGCCAGGTGCGCACGCGCCCAGCATCCCATTTTGGAGTTCCCATCGTTCCCTGTTTCGCTCCAACGTCCGCTCCATCCGCTCCATCCGCTTCATCGGCGTTGTCGAGTTCCAGAATGTCAAGAAGTACATTGAGATCGCCAGTGGATACGGGAAGAATCTCAAAGCCCCTGCGTCCACGACCCAATCGTTCCTGCAGCATGCGAGAGGCCTTGGCAATCAGTCGGATGCGGTCGGATTCTCGAGATATCAAATCTGCTTTGGCCAAAAGAAAGTGAAGAGGCGGCGCATCTTCGATTGCCAACAGATTGGTCAGCAGTGCCATCATATCATCACTCAAAGGCTCTTTTGCCTGAGAGTCCATTAAGCACACCACAAGATCAACTTTGCTCAACATGTAATGAATGACCTCGAGATCTTCTTGCGGTAGATTTGTTGGAGAGGGAACTTCAACAAGTTGAAGGCCTTTCAATCGGCCACCCATCACTTGATTGCATGTCCGCACTGTGGCCAATGCTTTTGGTTCCCATGCAGGAAACCGTTCAACCACACGCAAAAGCAATGCTGGCCATTCTCCCTTCTGTACTTCCTCCGATACAGCCCACTGGACAAGAGAACTTTTATTCTTGTTCCTGTGTGGAAATACGAGTTCTTCCGCAAGTGCATTGAGAAAGCTGCTTTTGCCAGAAAGAGGATCGCCAATTACGGCCGCTACCACTTGACCTTTCGGCTGCTTCAACTGCACACCATTCTCACGTCCAATGGAAAGCAGATTCCATTGGGTATCAAGATTCCCGGGTTTCCCGGGTGCTCCATTTCTTTTCTGTCCATAATAGAAGCTCTCGATGGCAAGGAGTGCACTGCGCCTCTTCAGCTCCATTGCTGCATCGGGTGCAATCTTCGTAAATCTGTCTTTTTTGTGGAAGTCTCAGTGAGATTCTGTGAGTGCCCGAGGGAACATGAAGAGTCTAAGTCTATGTGAAAATCTATGTTGCTGTACACTGTACAATGCCGCTATTTCTTTCTTTGTACCCTGCGCATTACCTTGAAATCATGCTAATTTGGCTCACTGAATCGGGAAGAAATGTTACCGAAGGTTGGGTACATAGCGATTTGAGGAGCCGTTTCAAGTCAGTATGATCATCTTATCGAGCAGAATACAGACTTCAACTTTCGCATCAAGGGCACTCTACAGTATCTATGTATAATATGTTATAATCTTACTTCTTCGGGCTTCTTCAGGCTTATTCCATGTTCTTTCACTGCAGAAGCCCATGCTGTGCCTGGACTCGAAGCAGAGCTTTCAGCAGCAAGTACAAAAGTGATCAAAAGTGTATGAACCGGAAATCTATGAGTCGTGATAAGTCATGCTTAGTTATGCTGAGTCATGCTGCTCTTTCATGCTACTTCTGCAACCTATCCACAACCAAGGGTGTCGGCTTTTCTTTTCTGAATGCCTTGACTCCAGACCAGAAGCCTCCAGTCTTAGGGGCTTCTTGATGCACAGATCACAAGTGAAGATCATTGCCTGGGTACAAGAGACTATGGGACTTCAGCCTACGTCTTCCAAATCTGAATCTGATGTGAAGATTCTAACATCTCAAGCTTGGCATGCTGATACCAAACTACAGGCAGCATTGAGGTGTACACTTCTTGCGAGGGTGCAGGCTCTGCTCAAGACCATCAATCGACTGGGCCGGCCTGATCGCATCTAGCACATATAATCGATATATTTTGGCAGCGACTGACAGAGCATTTGTGGATGGGAGAAGAGAATTTGGTGAGACTCAATTTCTACTAGTATTATGTACAATAATGTTTTAGGAACCTAGATAAAAACAAACTTTAAAGCATCTGCGCCGACAAGAACGTCCCTCGTCCCAGTACAGCTGCACCTCCGTTATGTCTGACTGGATGCTCCGGTTCAGGCCTTCCACAAATTTCCTGAAATTGAATTGATGCAAACGAGACCAATGACATGTTATAGATTTATAATGGGTAACCTGAATCTGATCTGAGGCAGCAAATGCACTGAATCTCTGAAGAATCTTTTTTACACAGGGTCCTCGCGTAGCTCGCCGCAAAAGCATGTGCCGACTTCTGCGAGCTAATTACCCTGAGGCATGGTGCTTTTCAATGGATCTTGGGTGGAGAAAATGAAGTACAAGTCCAGTTGCCCAAGCTTTGAACAGTGTGAAATGGCCAAGCAAGGAACTAGTCTAACTAGGCAGAAACTAGCCTTCTGCCCATCTAAAGTCAGGTTGGCCTTGCAAACCAGCCAGCTTCCAGCCCAAAGAATAAGCCTTGAGGGTCAGGACAAGACCGACAAGGCATCTCAACAGGTTCCTTCCACTTGGCGACCTTCTGGCGACATCCCATGGTCCCATGACATATGACATGTCGATACATGTCGCATGCAGACTGGACTAAGTCACAAACAGTCGGATAGGGTTCGTAACTCGCCGCGGTGGACCTAAGCGCAGTCCACGAGGCTTCAGGTCTTCCTAATTCTTTCTAAAAAACCCAAAGAAGCACCAAATGCAGCATGTGAGACTCAAGAGACATGTAAAATCAAGCGAACCTTTCTGATATACCGCTGTGATACAGTGAAGGTTTTGCCACAAAAGGCACAGACCCAGCCAGTCCAAAGGGCAGCTTCACTCAACCAGTGACCTGACTTATTTATGTACGTAGGGAAGTTAGAACGTCTCATTATCAGAGACATGTCAACAGAATAAGTGCACAAACTGAGGCAGCAAAGAATGGTCACACATGCAGCAAATGGAGGGTTTCAATACATGCTGCAGGCGACCACTGCGGAGAGTCTTTCGAACCTGACACGTAAAGATGCACGGCCTATGGATGCTGAAATATGGCTAAACCCTGTCGAGAGAAACAAGAGATAGGAATCAAAAGTCTTGAATGCCTGCAAGAATCTATGCATCAAGATCACTTCTATAAAACGAAAACTCGTTGTCTTGCTAGAAATGTGCATTGCACAATGAGTGAGAGATTCTGCGTTTAGGTACGTATAAATGCATATGATATTGGGTGTAGAATAGTTTTTGGATTTTTTTTTGGCCTCAGGTTTTGGATTTTTGTTTTGGCTTTCTTTCCCAGTACCATTTGCCTTGTATTTGCAACAGTTTGGAACTAGAACCTGTGATTTTGCATGGTATTTGCTACATTTTGGCATGGTCACTTTGCATTTTGCATCATATTTGCTACGTTTGGCCATGTCCCCCTTCCATTTTGCATTTTTTTTGCATGGTATTTGCTACATTTGGCCATGTCCCCCTTCCATTTTGCATGGTATTTGTCACATTTTGATACATTTTGGCATTTCAACCTCTCATTTGCATGGTATTTGCTACGCTTTGGTGCTTCAGCATGGTATCCGCCGACCCCTGCCTAGCCTTGGCCTAGGCGGGGCGGCGCCCGGGATCACCGTAGGTGTGCGGCATGGCCCTGTGCCGGCTTTGGCTTCGAAGGCTCGGAGCCTTCCCAGTTCCTCTAGCAGCTTTCGAAGGCCTCAGAACCTCACAACCTTCCGCAGCAGCTTTCGAAGGCGTCCCACTTGCTTTGCCATGGTACCTCCCTAGGCCCCACAAGCTGTTTCTATTGGGCTTCGAAACTGCTACGTGGCACGTTTTGGGCAGGCCTTAAAACCCTCAAAACCTCCGCAGCAGCTTTCGAAGGCCTCAGCACCTCACAACCGCAGCAGCTTTCGAAGGCGTCCCACTTGCTTTGCCATGGTACCTCCCTAGGCCCCACAAGCTGTTTCTATTGGGCTTCGAAACTGCTACGTGGCACGTTTTGGGCAGGCCTTCAAACCCTCAAAAGCAGCTCCGAAGGCCTCAGAACACAACCCTCCGCAGCAGCTTTCGAAGGCCTCAGAACCTCACAACCCTCCGCAGCAGCTTTCGGTCATGGTACCTCCCTAGGCCCCACAAGCTGTTTCTATTGGGCTTCGAAACTGCTACGTGGCACGTTTTGGGCAGGCCTTAAAACCTTCAAAACCTCCGCAGCAGCTTTCGAAGGCCTCAGAACCTCACAACCCTCCACAGCAGCTTTCGGCCATGGTACCTCCCTAGGCCCCACAAGCTGCTTCTATTGGGCTTCGAAAGTGCCACGTGGCACCTTTTGGGCAGGCCTTAAAACCCTCAAAACCTCCGCAGCAGCTTTCAACGGCCTCAGAACCTCACAACCCTCCGCAGCAGCTTTCGGCCATGGTACCTCCCTAGGCCCCACAAGCTGTTTCTATTGCGCTTCGAAACTGCTACGTGGCACGTTTTGGGCAGGCCTTCAAACCGTCAAAACCTCCGAACCCTCCGCAGCAGCTTTCGGCCATGGTACCTCCCTAGGCCCCACAAGCTGTTTCTATTTGGCACGTTTTGGGCAGGCCTTAAAACCCTCAAAACCTCCGCAGCAGCTTTCGAAGGCTTCAGAACCTCACAACCCTCCGCAGCAGCTTTCGGTCATGGTACCTCCCTAGGCCCCACAAGCTGTTTCTATTGGGCTTCGAAACTGCTACGTGGCACGTTTTGGGCAGGCCTTAAAACCCTCAAAACCTCCGCAGCAGCTTTCGAAGGCCTCAGAACCTCACAACCCTCCGCAGCAGCTTTCGGCCATGGTGCCTCCCTAGGCCCCACAAGCTGTTTCTATTGGGCTTCGAAAGTGGCACGTTTTCGGCAGGCCTTAAAACCTTCAAAGCCTCCGCAGCAGCTTTCGAAGGCCTGAGAACCTCACAACCCTCCGCAGCAGCTTTCGGCCATGGTACCTCCCTAGGCCCCACAAGCTGTTTCTATTGGGCTTCGAAACTGCTACGTGGCACGTTTTGGGCAAGCCTTAAAACCCTCAAAACCTCCGCAGCAGCTTTCGAAGGCCTCAGAACCTCACAACCCTCCGCAGCAGCTTTCACAGGCCCCACTTGCTTTGCCATGGTACATCCCTAGGCCCCAGAAGCTGTTTCAATTGGGCTTCGAAACTGCCATGTGGCACGTTTTCGGCAGGCCTTAAACCCTTCAAAACCTCCGCAGCAGCTTTCGAAGGCCTCAGAACCTCACAACCCTCCACAGCAGCTTTCGGCCATGGTGCCTCCCTAGGCCCCACGAGCTGTTTCTATTGGGCTTCGAAACTGCCACGTGGCACGTTTTCGGCAGGCCTTAAAACCTTCAAAACCTCCGCAGCAGCTTTCGAAGGCCTCAGAACCTCACAACCCTCCGCAGCAGCTTTCGGTCATGGTACTAGGCACCACAACCTCTTTCTATTGGCTTCGAAACTGCTACGTGGCACGTTTTGGGCAGGCCTTAAAACCCTCAAAACCTCCGCAGCAGCTTTCCAAGGCCTCAGCACCTCACAACCGACCGCAGCAGCTTTCGCAGGTGTCCCGCTTGCTTTGGCCATGGTCCCTCCCTAGGCCCCACAAGCTGTTTCTATTGAGCTTCGAAACTGCCACGTGGCACGTTTTGGGCAGGCCTTAAAACCCTCAAAACCTCCGCAGCAGCTTTCCAAGGCCCTTAAAACCTTCAAAACCTCCGCAGCAGCTTTCGAAGGCTTCAGAACCTCACAACCCTACGATGAACAGACACGGAAATCCCTGATATAAATACATTCGATTCATTGTCCCACAATCTATGTTTACACTACCTAGTCCTTCAAAAGTTCCATAATATTTGTACGTTTGGACTACTGCACGTGTGGGCCGTTTTGACCGTTCCCCGCCGCTCCGCCCTTGAAAGGGGGTCGGCGGCACCTGGGCGTTAGCCCATTTATTTGCTACGTTTTGGTGCTTCAAACGTTCATGTGGGTCTCTTGAGGGTTCATTTAGGGTTTCATTTAAGGTTTCATTTAGGGTTTCATTTAGGGTTTTATTGAGGGTTTTATTTAGGGCTTCATTTGGGGTTTCATTTAGGGTTTCTTTAGGGTTTCATTTAGGTTTCTTTACGGTCTCATTTAGGGTTTCATTTAGGGTTCCTTTAGGGTTAGGGTTTCTTTAGAGTTTCATTTAGGGTTCATTTAGGGCTTCATGTAGGGTTTCTTATCGGGATTTCTTATCAAGAGTTCAAAACGTTCAAAAGGGTTTCTTTAGGGCTTCTTTAGGGTTTCATTTAGGGTTTCTTTAGGGTTTCGTTTAGGGTTTCATTTAGGGTTTCTTTAGAGTTTCAGTTTGGGTTTCATTTAGGGTCTCATTTAAGGTTTCTTTAGGGTTTCTTTTAGAGCTTCTTTAGGGTTTCATTTAAGGTTTCTTTAGGGTTTCAATTTAAGGTTTCATTCAGGAGTTCATTTAAGCTTTCTTTAGGGTTTCATTCCAGGGTTTCTTATCAGGATGTCTTTTCACGATTTCTACACGTTCAAGTGGGTTCCTTTAGGGTTTCATTTAGGGTGTCATTTAAGTTTCTTTAGGGTTTCATTTAGGGTTTCTTTAGGGTTTCATTTAAGGTTTCAATTTAGGGTTTCATTTAGGGTTTCTTTAGGGTGCCCGTTTAGGGTTTCAGCTAAGGTGTCAGTTAAGGTTTCATTTAGTTTTTTTCAGAGTGTTGTTGAGGGTTTCTCTGGGATGTCATTTAGGGTGTCATTTAAAGTTTCTCTAGGGTTTCATTTATGGCTTCTTTAGGATTGATTTATGGTTTCTTTAGGCTTCATTTATGGTTTCTTTAGTAAAGGGTCATGTAGGGTTTCTTATCAGGATTTCTTTAAGGTTTCTTTGGGTTTCACCTAGGGTCTCTCTAGGGTTTCATTTAGGATACAAACAGAACAGAATAAAGCGAAATAAAATGAAAAACAAAGAGACAGTAAAGACAGGAAGCAAAGAAGCAAAGGAGCAGGAAGTAGAGCAGCAAAAACTGATGACTGAAGAAAAGAAAAAGTAGAATAGTAGAAGTAGAAAGGCACAGAAGTACAAAAGCAGAGAAGCAGGGAAAACAGAGAAGCAGAAAAGCAAAGAAGCAGGAAAAGCAAAAAGCAGAAAAGCAGAGAAGCAGGAAAAGCAGAGAAGCAGGGAAAGCAAAAAGCAGAGAAGCAGAAAAGCAGAAAAGCAGAAAAGCAGAGAAGCAGGAAAAGCAGAGAGGCAATGTAAGCAGAGAAGCAGAAAAGCAGAAAAGCAGAGAATCAGAAAAGCAAAGAAGCAGAAAAGCAGAAAATCAGAGAAACATGAAAGCATAGAACCAGGAACCCAAAAAAAAAAGAAAACCTGCTGCGAAAAGAAATCCAAAAATAAAAAGCCCTCCTTGATATTTTGACCTAGCACTGGAAGATGAGATAAGTTGTTTCGGCTGTTTTCTTCATCGGTGCATTTGCAGGGTGGCGCCATCAAAATCTATCAAAAAAGAATAACTCGATAGCGGCCCCTACCTGCGTACCAGCAGTGCCAACCGGAGCATCCTGTCTGACACGTCAGTTTGCAAGGGCAAGCAAAACAGCAATGAAAACAAACAAAGTACAGATCATGCCATAAGCATCCCTTAGCAGCAAATCAAAATGGAGAGATAAATCAAATGAACCAAAACAATCCAAAACACTCTATCTGAGTAACAATCAGAATGTGTGCATATGTGTGCCACAATAGTGAGAACTCGTACTCTTACACATCTGACCTTCTTCACCTTCTTCCTCAGGTGTTTGATTGGTGACTGCACTGTTTTGTCCAAGTATCTCTGGGAGGAGGAAGCTGTGCCGCATACTGCGCGCTGCCGTTCACAATGACATACCTGTATCTATGGCTTCATATGGCTTCTCAGAATGCAATGAGTCGGACATCTCCAAAGTCGAAACAAAGTCGGATGGAATCCTGAGACTGAAAACATATATTGCCTAAGATCCAGGTCACAGACCAACTCACGAACTACGACTATGATAGAGGCCAGCATCTCACAGTAGAAGCAAAGCTTCACAGCAAAGAGTTTTTTTTGTTCATTCCAAAAAGTTGTTCCGTTCTTCCTCGATGGCGCTCTCTGGGTTGACGGGGCACATCATCGAGCATGATTCTCCAACCGTGAACACCTGTGATCTTCAATTTTTAAAGCTCAGAAAGCATGTCTGTGTGAGGCCGTCTCTCCCAAAATTTAAAGAACTATCACCGTTTCTGTGACTCTTGAACAAGCTCGAGGTCTGGACTATCTCATTCGCAGAATGAAAAACTGGCACAAGAGCCTGCATTGGGCTGAAATGGAGATTCAGCCTGAGCATACTTTCCAAAAGAGATCATCTTTCAGAGTCACCCACAGCCTCGTTGCATAGCTGGGTTTGAAGCTTGGGATGTCTGCTTCTGAAGCCTCGAAAGGTACAAGAACTACACACTTGTGACATGGCCACATGGTCACAGCCTACCTTTGCCATCTCTCAGGATGGATTCTTGCGGTGGATGATTCCTCTAAGTTTCACACTGCGAAAGAAGGGATGCTCTATCAATGGAGGGGCTCCCATCTCCTGGTAGGAAATGCTAGAGCAGCTATTTGGTTGCCACGGGGGTCAGCGGCAAAAAGGAGACGACTCTATTTTCAGAAAGGAACCATCCAACAGAGTACTGGAAGTGGCAAAGGGTCCACTTAGATCCCGTTGACCCCTACTGGGCCCTACTGGGCCCTACTGGGCCCTACTGGGCCCTACTGGGCCCTACTGGGCCCTACTGGGCCTGCAAGTAGAATGTATTCACTTTGACAGGCCCAGCCGCTCAGCTGCGCAGCTGCGAAATACCTCCAGAATCTCGGAGATCAAAGTCATTGCATTCCGTCTGACCTGAAACGAAGAACTCCAAATCGCTGCAAACCTTTTTGAGTGGCAAAACAAGTGAATCTCAGATAATCTCAGCTATGCGATGCTGTGGGTGTAATGAGCCCCTGGCCTTTTCTGGATCTTTTGGGCGAACCTGTTGAGGCCTTGTCACGTTACAAATCAAAATTACACCACCGTAGACCTCAAACAGTGGGTGGAAACAAAACGTGTTTTTGGGGAACAGGGTCAAACACATGACATGAGAAAGCATTAAGAACCCTTAAGCGCACACTCTTTGGGAAAAAACGCAAAATGAGACCACCCGCCATAGAGGGAAACAAGAAGAGAGACAAGCTGGGAGACAAGATAGGAGACAAGACCTCGGGAAGGCGGACACACCGTCCAACACCAAGGCGGACACCTTAAGAAAGCATTAAGAACCCCTAACAGTACACTGTTTGAAAAAAATGCAAAGTCAGACCACTCACCACAAAGAGAAACAAAAAGACAGACAAGTTGGGAGACAAGCTGGGAGACAAGCTGGGAGACAAGAAGGAAGACCAGCTGAGAGACAAGCTGGGAGACAAGGGAGACAAAACCTCGGGAAGGCGGACACACCATCAAACACAGGGAAACAAGAAGGGAGACACTGGGAGACTAAGGGGGAGACAAAACCGCGGGAAGGCGGACGCACCATCCAACACAGAACGTTACAGGCACACATGTGGGGAGACAATGAGAGAGAATGGGGAACAATGGGGGACACGTGGAGACCAGGGAGACAAGACCTCGAAAAGGCGGGCACACCATCCAAGAAAGGGAAACAAGAAGGGAGGTGGGAGACAATGGAAGACGACAAGGAGAGACAAGACCTTGGGAAGGCGGACACGCCATCCAACACAAACGTATATTGTGGGGAGACAATGGGAGACAATGGGAGACAAGGGGAGACAAGGAGAGACAAGGGGAGACAAGACCTCGGGAAGGCGGAAACGCCATCAGGCAGACAAAGCATCACAGGCACACATGTGAAGAGTGACAATGGGAGACAAAAAGGGGAGACAAGACGTCCTGAAGGCGGACGCACCATCAAACGCAGGCACACGTGTGCGGAGACAATGGGAGACAATGGGAGACAATTGGTTCAATGGGAGCCAAGGGTAGACAAGACCTCGAGAAAGCGGGGTAAAGTGGGAGACAAAGGGAGACAAGACCTTCGGGAAGGCGGACACACCATCCAACACCAAGGCGGACACCTTAAGAAAGCATTAAGAACCGCTAACAGTACACTGTTTGGGAAACAATAAGGGAGACAAGGGGAGACAAGGGGAGACAAAAGGGGAGACAAAAGGGGAGACAAGGGGAGACAAGATCCTCGGGAAGGCGGACACACCATCCAACAAAGGGAAACAAGAAGGGAAACAAGAAGGGAAACAAGAAGGGAAACAAGAAGGGAGACAAGGGGAGACAAAAGGGGAGACAAGGGGAGACAAGACCCTCGGGAAGGCGGACACCATCCAACGGGGAGACAAGGGGAGGCAAGGGGAGACAAGGGGAGACAAAGGGAGACAAGGGGAGACAAGACGAAACAAGACGAAACAAGAAGGGGTACAAGGGAGACAAGGGGAGACAAGACGAAACAAGAAGGGGTACAAGGGAGACAAGGGGAGACAAGGGGAGACAAGTGGAGACAAGACCTCGGGAAGGCGGACACACCATCCGACAAAGGGAAACAAGAAGGGAGACAAAGGGAGACAGACAAGGGGAGACAAGGGGAGACAAGACCCTCGGAAGGCGGACACACCATCCAACACCAAGGCGGACACCTTAAGAAAGCATTAAGAACCCCTAACAGTACACTGTTTGGGGAAAAACATGTAATTATAGGACCGGATAACCCCACATGTTAGCAACTTCTTCAGACTTAGACGGAGCACAGAAAGCGAGAAGGGAAGAGGAAGTATGAGAGTGATGGAGGGACGATGGTGGTATGTATGTAGGTAGGTAGGTAGGTAGGTAGATAGGTAGGTAGGTAGGTATGTATGTATGTATTTAGGTATCTATGTATGTATGTACGTAGGGTAAGTTGTTTGTGAGTAAGTTGCTTCGCTTTCATCGAGTTCCACCAGGCTCTGATGTTTTTTTCCGACACACTATCAAAACGATGGTGTGCTCACCATACTTCCGCTGACCAAAGTAATGTTCTGCACTCTTTCGAGCGCAGCCGCACATTTTGTGAACTCTTTCTGCATGCCCTGTGGCTGGTAAACATCGCTGGCACATGATGATGATGATGATGATGATGATGATGATGATGACGATGATGATGATGATGATGACGATGATGATGATGATGACGATGACGATGACGATGACGAGGATGATGATGATGATGATGATGATGTTATGCACATTGTCCCACGCCTGCCACGCAAAAGCGGCGGAGCCCCAAGGGACGCCAGGGCGTACATCCAACCCCTTGGCAGTGCACATTGTCCCACGCCTGCCACGCAAAAGCGGCGGAGCCCCAAGGGACGCCAGGGCGTACATCCAACCCCTTGGCAGTGCACATTGTCCCACGCCTGCCACGCAAAAGCGGCGGAGCCCCAAGGGACGCCAGGGCGTACATCCAACCCCTTGGCAGTGCACATTGTCCCACGCCTGCCACGCAAAATGCACATTGGCCCACGCCTGCCACGCGAGTGAGTGAGTGAGTGAGTGAGTGAGTGAGTGAGTGAGTGAGAGAGTGAGAGAGTGAGAGAGTGAGAGAGTGAGAGAGTGAGAGAGTGAGAGAGTGAGTGAGTGAGTGAGTGAGTGATTGAGTGAGTGAGTGAGTGAGTGAGTGAGTGAGGAGTGAGTGAGTGAGTGAGTGAGTGAGTGAGTGAGTGAGTGAGTGAGTGAGAGTGAGTGAGTGAGTGTGAGTGAGTGAGTGAGTGTGAGTGAGTGAGTGAGTGAGTGAGTGTGAGTGAGTGAGTGAGTGAGTGTGAGTGAGTGAGTGGATGAGTGAGAGTGAGGGGACGGGAGGCGGCGGCGGCAGGCGGATACAGAACTAAAAACAAAAACCCCACACGTCAATGTGGGGAAAAACATTCAAACATTGTGTGTGTGTGTGTCTGCAGAAGCATCAGGCTTCAGCTAGCCAAGTGGCTGTAACCAGTTGATGTGCTTCAGCAAACGGATGCTCAGCAGTGTTGAGATCTGATGCCTGTTTGTGCCATGGTAATGAGTAAATGATGCGGCATGGCATGGATCGGTTTTTGCAGTTGAAAGCTGCAGCAAATGGACCAATCCGACTTTTTGTGACCAGCCAAAGTCTCTACTGCTGACTTGAGGTCTGTGTCGACCACGCATGAGCCCGTACAAAGCAGACAGCCTCCGCAGAAACTCAGCAGCCAATCGCTTCTGTGCCTTCCTGCATCCAGCCGTGCCACGTCACCATGTGCTGATGTTGACAAATGTTGACAACTTGGTTGCATCCTTGTTGAACAAAATTTGCATTCTTCCGGGCTTCCCTTTCACTTCATTCACCTATACAGCCTATACACTCCCTTTTGAACCCTTCCAGGTATTGTAGTCCTGTTACACCCCGCAGACCTCACAATCTCAACTCAAGCAATAAACTGGTGTCCTCTCCCTCCAAATGGTGTTCAACTGAAAATTCAAGCAGGAGAGTGCCCAATACCGCCGTGTCAGAAAGCCAACCTCACAAGAGATAAACTGGTGATCCTGGAAACGGTTCAGCCCAGGAGAGGCTTTTCTATTTTGCTCTACACGTTCTTCTATTTTCCATTTCGTCTTAGCGTCTTAGCGGTTCCTTCTTGGCAGGCTAACAGGATTCAAGAGGATTCAAAACCAACTACCAAGATCTACCAAGATCTACCAAGATCTACCAAGGGCACCTTGCCAGCGCCACGAAAGCAGCACCTTCAAAGACTTCGATTGTGCAGTTGTGCAGCATCTGTGCAGCATCGGTCAAGTGCTCCATGTTTTGCACTTTCGATGGAAAATTGCAAAGCTCTTCTCTCCCAGCCAGAGCACAAGCAGGCAAAGAAAGCACGAAGAATCGTGACCAGGTGTAGGGAAAGTTTCAGTGCCTTGGAATTCACGTGCACTGACAAAGCTTTTCATAGGACAAAAACCGTAAAAGTGTGTCTTTCTCTGCGAAATTTAAGAGCCAGTCTCCCGCAGAAAGCAAAAAAACTGCATCTCGCAAGAGTTCCTCTGCAAAAGCGAAAGTGACTAAAGATCGGCCAATCACCAGCGATCTGCAGTCTGAGCATATGGATCAATCATCATGGAAGTTCTCCCACGGAAAATATCCTTTGAAGAGGCAACCACGACATTTCACTTCACCAGTCCCCACCCAGCCTGCACAAACTTCTGAAGTCGCAAGAGCTGCGCATTGAAGATTTGGGACAGTCTCAGCAAAGAAAATGCAAATTGCTATAATGACAGAGTTCTCAAGTTCTCAAGTGCTTTCACCAAACTTAGAGTGCAACGACTCTGAAGTGTCGCTAAACCTTATCCCGGAAGGCTGCACCAATCTCGATTCGGTAAGTACTGCCTGTAATCAAACTCTCAACATCTCTCAACCAGAACATTGCGACGGGTTCACATGTGCTTGTTGGTGCTTGCCGGTGCTTGCCAGGCCATTCTGTGCCGGAGTTGCTTGGCTGCCCTGGTGCCGTAAGTTGATCCAGATCCTTTTGATGTCTAGGTGATCTGCTCGGCGCCATTGCCACCTTGACTCACACCTGGAAGTCAAATGAGGTTGCACGAAGCCGTTCAGACTGTGTCTGCACACTGTACAAACTCAGTAAAAAGGTCATTCCTAAAATATTCTAAATGCACAGTGCACATGGGCCTCGCTGAGATCTTGAGCCTCACCACAAGCTTTGCGAATGGTTTTCAACTCTTCAAATCCAACTCTTCAAAGGTTCTGAGAAAGTTTTCAGGGCCCAACGCTTCTCTATGTATCTCTGCTGGGGGTGGCTAGCCTTGGAATCAACCAGACAGACCGAATCAACTTTCCTGAGGTCATCTGGAGGTCTGGCAGGGTCGCTGAAATGGCGCAGGATCAGCACAATGTCCTCTCCTGTTCCAGGCCTGTGTCACTCCAATTGTTCTTGTCAAAGGACTGCTTTGTCACCATCAATTGTCAGACGATCCCCCCATGCTAGCTTTGACATGATTTGACATGATTTGACAGTTTGACCATGTTTGACCATCCAAAGATAGGACTGCTCTCATCTCAGGCATTCCAACCCATGAAGGCCTGACACTCGGTTTTGACATGACCTCGAGAAGGCAGGTGAAAAAGTAGGGTGGCGGCGGACAACTTTCCGCTGCATGCTGCCGCATCATCCGCATCCAGAAGAATCAGTAGAATAGGGCATCATCCGCATCCAGTAGAATAGGATACTGTAGATACTGATGGATAATGGACAAGATAGGGCAGCACTGGCCGCACCTTTTTCCCAGCATCACTAGGCTGCAGGCTTGTCACTTGTCTAAGGGCACAGATGGGCACAGGTTGCCAAGATCTCCCGCTGGCAGGGCGTTCATCAAATGGATACTGAATCTCAGACCTATTCTGGTGTTTCGTGGAGAAGCTTTCGTGAGATGTTGGATGTTGAATGTGTATCTCACTATACTTATGTCAATTCCGCATTCATTATCCAGCAGCATAGTTCCGAATCTGGAGAGAACAAAGCAAAAAGACGGATCAGGTGAATCTCCTAATCTGCAGAACTGCCAGAAGATCAAGAAGTCTTAGGTATTGATTCAAATGCGACTGCTTCAAAGCCTCCGCTCGCCTTTTTTCGCACTAAAGCGATCAGTTGCATGGCTTAGGCCATCGCTACATTGCAACTTCTTGTCGCTACAACTGCCTTCAGTGATTCTTCTTTGGAATTTGATGGCAGATCTCGGCAGTTTCACAAAGCGTCTTACAAAGCACGGCCATGATAATGCTCTGCCATAGCCTGGTGACTGCTGGCGTCAAACAGTCACCAAGGGCAATGCACATTTCCATATATGTATCTATATTTATCTATGTCTATGTCCATATCTATATTTATCTATATATATATATATTTATCTATCTTTATCTATCTTTATCTATCTTTATCTACATTTATCTAGATTTATCTATATTTATCTATATTTATCTATATTTATCTATACTTATCTATCTCTATATCTATATTCTATGAACGTGTATCTATATTTATCTATAGTTATGTCTATAGCCATATTCATATCTATGTATATCAGTACCTATATTTATCTATATATATATATTTATTTATTTATATTTATCTATATTTATCTATATCTATCTCTATATCTATATTTGTATCTGTACTATATATCTACATGTGCATCTATATCTATATCTGTATCTATATCTAAAATTTGTGTATCTATACCGATATCTATCTACCTACCTATCTATCTGTCTATCTGACCATCTGTCTATCTATCTATCCAACCATACAACTATCTACCCATCCATCCATACATGACATGGCAAGGCATGACATGACATAACGTAACATGACATGACATAACATGACATAACTTGACATACCATAACATACCATGACATACCATGACATATCATGACATACCATGACATACAATGACATACATGCACCCATACATACACCCTTACATACACCCATACATACACCCATACGTACACCCACACATACACCCATAGATACACCCTTACATACACCCATACATACACCCATAAATACACCCATACATACACCCATACGTACACCCATATATCCATCCATCCATCCATTACATTACATTACATTACATTACATTACATTACATTACATTACATTACATTACATTACATTACATTACATTACATTACATACATACATACATATGTCACATATGTCTGTATACTTGCATAATTTGCATAGCATACATATAATACACAGATATAGACCTAATCTCAGAAGATTCCACTAACAAAGAGCACCTGTCAAATCAATTCACATCCGGTCATGGAAAAAATGATTTCACAAATGGATAACTTTTAACTTGATCTTACCGCGATACCTTTGCAGAGACTTGCTGTGCAGTCAAAGGCATGAGGGGTAGTGGGTCTGCCAGAACACTTGGTCCTGCAACTAAAAGACCCATCAGGACGCTATGTTCGCATAAGTGTGGGCTGCGAAGGCTATGTTGTTTGACGGCAAAGACGGGAGTTTCATTGATTCCACCCCATTTCATTAATTTCAACGCAAGCCTGGAAAAGAGTCAGAACTCACTTTCGCATGCACGCTCCTGATAGCACCTGTTGATATGCACTATCCACTATTCTTGGCTCAATTGTGCACGGTTTAGGCTATGTTCACCGCAGCTTGGGGCGAACTTTCCATGCTTTGACATGGTGGCATTGGGATGCATTGGGTGCAAAGAATTGAGCCAGCGGGGAACAGGGGGAGCTGTGTGTACAAATGTATGGCCAAATGTTTGTTTTTTTTGTTTGATGATGCAGGAAAGTCGGGGTAGAACAAACGCCGTACGAAAAACACAGGAAAAATTGTAGAAATATCGAGCATGAAATCTTTGGCCTTCTTGATGCTGATCCAACGCTGATACCTGGCAAAATCAAAAGCGACTTAGCATCAAAGGAAAGCAATGTGTGTGTGTGTGTCACTGTGTGTAGTCCTTCAAATTGGCTGGGTCACTGCGTGTAAAGCCATCCTGTGGTTCCAACCATCACGAGTGAAAGGAGAGCTAGCAGCGACCTGAGCCACAAATCTGTATGATCAAAATGGTAGCTTCGTGTGAAAGTTTTTCTCGGAGAGATGGGGCAGAAACCAGTGATCAATGGAGAATCATACTCACGCAACCTTAGCAACCTGAGCAACCTTTCAAGATCTTTCAAGACTCTAAATGCTGCAGGTCTCAATACGTCTACAGACAAGTTGCAGCTCGTAGTCTTCCCACGACTCAGCATTTTCCATCTCAATCTGGGAGGGACACGCAGCAAATGAGGGGAAAGTGTCCCCCGAAGTGGCACCTCAACCTGAACAACTGAAGTATCAAAGACAAAAGCCGGCGTGCCTCTGCAAGATCCGCTTTTTCATTTGCTCGTGTGGTGTCAATTTCTGCATTGTAGGCACAATCCTGGGATCCAAGTAAGAACAAAGAGGGTTTCTGCCTGGATGCCATTGCAGTTTTCAGACAACTACGAGTTTGGGGCATCAACATCCCAAAAGGTTCAAAGTACGTGCTGCAGCCTGACCAAATATTTTGAACTTCAGAGTTAGGAATGGACAAGCCACCAAGTTGTCAGACATCAAAGTTGGCAACAAAACAAAACCTCGAGATCTTGAGAGCGAGGACAAAGTTTGGCCAAACAAAAATCCCTTCAGTATGGACTTGCGAAAAAGGAAACAACCACTAAAGTTGAAAGGCAGTTGAAAATAGTTGAAAGGTATTTCAAGTCTTTCCGGCGAGAGGGCCAGTTTGCTGGTAGATCCGCTTTGTTGGAATATGCTGAAATGATGCTTCTGAACACCTAGATCCTCGCAAAGAATTCAAAGCACGTTCCGACGAATACGTTTAGAAAACGCATGTCTTGTGCAAATGAGGCTCCAGTGCATTGTCTGCAGCGTGGCCTGGACTGCCACATGCACCCAGGTCAACATGCGTCTAGACCAAATGTCGGTGCAATGTCCGTGCCTGCTTTCTTTGTCAGCGCTTCCAGTTCCTTCAAGTGCTTTTGAGTATGCAAATGTATTCAATGATTTGCGTGTATGCGTGCAGATTCAGTGTGGAGATCTGCTCCAACTTGTGTGACAATTCGCACAAATGCCAATCAGCCTGCTTGGCATGTTCATCATGCGCACCCTTGCTCGCCAAAAAGTTTGTTGGATCATATTCTGGAGTTTTCGCCTGCAAAAGAAAAGCCAAGTTGACTTCAATAGCGGTTTCTCATGTTCATTCACTCCTGCGTTTGGGTCTGCCTGCAAGTGAGCTGGAAGGGGGCTCTCAAGAAAGGCTGAAAGTGCCTGCCAGCTGAAGGTTCAAGTCTAGAATGCTATTGCACGGTCTGCTGTTTGAAGTAGCTAGCCTGAACTCACATTTTTGCTGCACGATTGTAGATCTGACGACAGTACAATTTGACACCAGAGGCAAAAGTGGTAGTAGAGTGGAAAGTCGTCCCAGAGTCGCATTTTTTCTGGGAATTGGTTTTCCCATTTAATAATCGAATTCAAACAGCCTGCTCAGCTATTGGCAAAAAATGTGACCCGGGGCACAAGTTAAAGGTGTTCTGGCATGGTTTTGGTGGGTTCAGTGTCTTACAAGACAGCCTGCCTTGACACCAGGTCGCACAGAGGATGGGCGATTGAACTTGCACACAAACTCCCCAAAAGAGTTTTCAGCAGCATTCCTGCATTTGTCGAGTTCGAACGCATGATATTGAAACAGAACACTTGTGTTCAGTATTCACAACAACTGATTTTACTAGTGTTTCAACTGGTGGAAACAGTTTACGGTTCCAAGCCTTACATATCTGGTGCCAGTCTGACACCACAGACTTTCACATTCGCCATGGAATGCCATGGTGAACGCTGCGTCAATACATTTGATAGCAATCCGTCTGCATTGAACCGCTGGTGATTTGAAATTCAATCCTTGCTTTTGGAACCACAATGAAATCCAATCTCTGCTTCCGGAACAAGAATAGTGTTGAAATGATTAGGCTCCGAAAACGAAAGCTGCGGCAACAACTGCAGCCCTTCGAAAAAATTGATTTCGGACAATTCTGCTGGTTTCAAATGGTTGAACGCTTGTCTGACTATTGTTGCTTATTAAGTGCCCTTTCCCTCGAAATTTTGACAAGAACTAAGAACTACATGTTTTGGGGAAAAATGCATTTGTTTTTGATTTCAAAATCAATCTTGAATCTTGACCCTCCATTTTTCGAGAGCACAAAGCCTCACCAATATGGAACATGAAACTTGAGGCCAAAGGGAAGGGGACAAAAGTTAACCAGGCAATGAGGCTATGCATGAAAAACACACGTGGCATGCCCCTTGCTGTCCGGCCAGTACTAGGGGAAAAAAACGGAAAATAAATATTATACCAGCGTTGACCCCAAACAGATGTAGAAAATCTCAGTTATATGTTAGTTTGCGGCAAAGGATATCATTTCGGCATCCTTCCCTGCATTTACTGCCCGCCCTGCCCCATGCGCCCCAAGGAACCCAGAGTGGGAGACAAGTGTGGGAGACAAGTGTGGGAAACAAGTGTGGGAGACAAGTGCGAGAGACAAGTGTGGGAGACAAGTGTTGAAGACAAGTCGGAGACAAGTGTAAACTCATGCGCCCCAAGACATCCAGAGTGGGAGACACGTGTGGGAGACGAGTGGGAGACAAGTGTAAAATCATGCGGCCCAAGACACCCAGAGTGGGAGACAAGTGTGGGAGACAAGGGGGAGACAAGTGTAAACTCATGCGGCCCAAGGAACCCAGAGTGGGAGACAAGTGTGGAAGACAAGTGTGGGAGACAAATGGGAGACAAGTGTAAA